CAGAAGTTCCTTTAGGCTATGGCTCTGATCCTAATACAGCACCAATGCCCTACAATTTGTATCGCCAATTGCTATTCCACTTATTTTACTGCAGATTGCACAAATACAACGACAGTAGAATTTTACGAATAGAGTTGAAAACAAAATGAAGCTATGGGGATTTGAAATTAATTTTAAAAACTCTCTTTTAGTTGACCCCTTTTAATGGCAATGAATAACAGAAATGGTAAACGGTATATGAAGCCTATATCAAACGATAACTTTAATATCTTCATTAAAGTCGTATAAAATGAGTGAATGTGAAAATGCTAATAGATTATCTAAGCCAAAAAAAATCCAATTCCTTTCAATATAAAAATGCATATTGTCTTTTTCTTATGTGGTGATTTTGTAACTTGTTACTTGTGTATTATGCGCAGAAGCATACTCAACGTTATATCTGGAAGACTGCTCTTGGTCAGTTATTGGCTGAATCGGGCTATTTTTACTGACGTTGAAATGATTTGTTGCCACATTTTACTGGAAGCCCTTCAAAAAGTTCCGACTCGAGAATTGCCCCTACTCTCTGAGCCAACGATTTTGCGCTTCCAACGATTCGAATATAATAATTTATTGTTATTATCTTAAACTCTATATTTCATAGATTGTGGATACTTTTGTGATACAGTCGCGACGGAAAGCCGTAAAATGTTTCATCAATCATGTTTGTTACTTGGAAAGCATTCGTGAAGAATTGCTGGCATAGCAACAGAAGAACAGCATCATACCACGTGTAACGATAATTGATGATATAGTGAAAGCTGTGTATCATAAGAATTCTTATCCTCATACATTTTGCCAACTAGCTATTAAGTCAGAGTTGATGATGAGGGAGACGTTAAATGTCAGATATAAAATTATACGCACAAAAATATTTGGTAAATGGTACGCTTTACAGAATACATGCATGTCAGTGAGTCATTTGCTCTTGAAGACGTATCTACGTAAGATTTTAATATGTCTTTGTTTTATGAAATAAGTCCCTTTCAGTTTCTCAAAAACTTTATTTTTGACATTTTGTGAACAGCATAGCATAAAATTCGACAAATCTGATTTTTTTCATTTTATACATGTAAGTCACACAGATTTGTGTAGCGTGCATGTATAAAATAAAAAAATGAATAAAGTGATATTCGATTCAACTCTATATCATGATGAAATTTTCAATTGAACGTGAGAACAATGGAGTTAACTTTTCACTTGGCAAGCAGGAATTTAGAGTTAAAACTGCTTTTTGACAATATGCCTTTTTGAATGAAACAAACAGGGCACCTAGGAAACACTTGTCAAATAAGGCGACGTACGTTGGTGTATTTTAGCAAGGCTAATCAGGCATTTCCTTCCTTATGAAATTAAAGTGTGCTCATTTGCCCAGAACTACATTTTGCAAATACTGCCTTTCTGCTTTAGGTATTCCATGTAAAGGCTAAATGATTTCAAAATATGAAACTTCAGACGTGGAATGTATATTTCATTACTTTAACCACGTGTAAGCAGCACTAAATTGTCTGATCTTTTTCATCGGAACGAAAATATACAACTACTGAAAAGGACACGGAATTCTTTCGAAATATTTCACGTGCATAACTATTCAGTTAAACATTTAGTGTGCGATTCAACGAAAACAATATTTTCTTCAACGCGAAGCGGTCACTCTTTGAGTCTACGTTTCATGTCATCTGGTAATCAAGAAAAATGCTCCCTTTCAATGCAAATAAACCTAACAGAACTTTTAGATAATAAAAGGTTTCAATAATCAGTCATTTTAAATGTTGATTTAAAAAGCGCACAGTTCAGAATTCACCAAAGGAATTTTTTTCCTGTGCGCTACTTACAATATAACAAAAACTTTCTTTAATATTGTACAATTCACAAAAAAAAAAAAGAAAGAAAAAGAAAAACGGCATGGATTTCCTAATTTTGAAACCAGAAAGAGTCACTTAATTAGGGTTAAAGCATAGCATTTATCTCTTAGTGAAATTAACTCGAATTGTGTCACCTAGGCATCTGGCACGCTTTCTTCGGATTTTGTTGAGTTTAATTGCCTCGCTTTTTTTTTAAACGTTAAAATGTAAATAAAGTCTCAGTAAAGGTACCAATTTTAGCGTTCCCTTCTGCTACTTGCACGCGGTTTTGTACTCTTCTTCATTTTTGATATTATGAAAGTAGTGTTCCTTTCAACTGTAATTCTACCAAATGCCGGTAGAGTTGATAATGGGGAATATCCGTCTAGTGTGAGTGAATTTTTGTTCACTATTGTATTATTTCATAAATTCTCGATCTAATCTTTATCGTACAAATTTCATTTGTTTTTATACTAGTATTGTCTCTTTAAGCATGAATGTGAAATAATGTACTGTTTCTAGAACATTAGTCATTTTACAAACCTTTTATTGCGGAACAATTGAGACACACTGTAAAAATGCCCTTGTCGAAATCAACATGCATCCAAAATTTATATATTATGTAAGGTCTGGAATTTCCCAAAAGAGTCCCCATTTGTCATTCTTAATTTTAATTACATTTTTAATTAAAATTGCAGAAAAACGCCTTCACTACGCCTTTTGAAATGTCCACGTATGAGGTACAGGCTAGACAAACGGTAAAAAACATGCATCCTCCGCCAAGTAGTCGTAATTTATCTTTTTTTAAAATAATTTGTCTCATGGCAAAGGATATGGATGGCTGAATTAAAAATATTGCCGTTTCAAGTTCGTCACCTAGATTGTCTCACCGGGTGTCTATAGTACCAATTGTTAAAATCTTCAAAGTTCTCATATCCCATGATCTTAGGATTGTTTCTAAGCATTTGTTTTTAAAGTCAAAAGGTGACTGTTAGGTGTCAGAGGTCGTTTACAGTTTGGAGTGATTCGACTCATTTCGTTTGTGTTGGATTAACAGTCACTACTAGCTCGACTTCGCCTCTGGGTTGTTTTTTGTTAATTTGCAGAACAATACAAATACAAACTTTTGGTGTAATTTTTTACCTTTTTAAATGATTCAGTAACTCTGATAATGAATGAAATGAAATCTAGGATGTGAATCGCCTTTCTTAATTTCAAAAGAAAATGCTTACCTTATGGAATGATACTTGATTAAAGACGAATATCCGTTACCCAACGCTTTTGCTCTTCAACGAAAAAACGCTAGTTAAGAAATACATAAATATTAAACACACCAATATTACGCGTTAAATGTGACTTTGCTATCCTTACCTATCTCTTCCCAATGTTAAATTTTTATATTTTTGAGCAATCCAATTTGATCCGACATCGCCAAATCATATCCAATTGCTGAAGCGAATTGCAGGAATTAGAACTGAAAGATGGCTGCAAACTTGATGGTGAAGGCAATTTAAGTTGTGAATGTTCATTGTTGGGTCGGCTCGGTTTTAGAAAAGTCATTTCCATGATTCCAAGCGTTCGTTTTCTTGAATATATACAACGGGAATTACACTATATTTATTCACAAGAGTATTTGTTGTTTATTTATGAAAGTTTGTTATTCAACATTTTTGCTTATTTCCAGAGTTCCTAAATTTCCCAATTAATGGCGTTTCGAAGTACCTGTTGACCGCTGGTCTATAAAATAGCTAAATTCAATTATAACGCCATTAGCCTCTCCTTGAACAATCTGGTATTGATTAGTGATAATTGAATTCCCAAAATATTATTTTTAGAAATGAAGTTTGAAAACCTCCCCCGGTTTGCATGACCGACATCCCATTGACTTATTTATCTCCTGATTCCAATATTGAGACACTGGTCTATATCCCAGTGAGGAATCCAACACACATTGGAGAGGTTATCAAATTACGATAAAGAGTATATCATTTTATTCGCTGCATTACTGTATTGACAAAAACGTGTGAGGTCCAATCTCATAAAACATTTGGTTAATTTTTCGATTTCAGATGACATTTCCTCACCAGCTGTCTCCGAAAGTCAACTTTTCAGATGAAATCTTTGCAATACTTTTACGGCTAAGAAAGAGTAATGTTGGTTCCGCTTAAGTACCTAATATTTTCTTTCTTTTTATTTGAGAGAGAGAGGCAGGGAGAAGGAGAGAGAAAATACCCAAAGAAACTTGATACTGTGATTGCGAAGAAATCCTACCTGGTGATAACGGTTACAGACAATCATCGAATAAAGAACCTAATACTAACAAATCAGTCGTAATGACGGTTGGTTTATTTTCGTGTCAGTTTATGTACACAAGTGTTCAGCACGCTCTCAAAAACCAGAAAACTACACGACAGCATATTTACAGTAGCGTAGTAAATAAACACACACTTTTAACCTTTGATACTTCATTTTACACTTGTTCTACTTTATACATACACGGTATTAAATATCGCTTTCATTTCAGGTCCCTAAGTATATCTTGCGCAGGAAAATAAATAAAAACCCAAAAAAAATTGTATTGAAATTAAACAAATGCGGCATAATATTTTAATGTAATACAAAGAAAACAAGCGGATGTTCTAATAATCAAATATTTCATTATATCAGATAAAATATTTATTCAAATCTATAAGAGGTGTGCCACCTTTAAAGTTACTTCAAGGACTGCTACATGAAAAAAATTTCCTTCATAAATGGAATTACTATGAAAGCATACAGTTGTTTGAAAATATATACATTTAGAAATAAATGCATCATCCAATGCAGTAACTTCGGAGGAACAGCAAAACCCTAAATGTAACATACAATGTTTATATAAATAAGAGAATTTACAATTCCTTTTCTTGCAAAGACATACAATTGATCCCAATAATCTTGAGTACCACACATAAACAGGTTTAAGTAAGTAAATCCAATGTTTGCGGGAATTAGTTACAATAAATATACCATTGTATTTCTCTTCGATCGCGTTTCTTCATGCTTATACAAATATAACGATGGGAACAATTCTTAAATTGATAAAATCCAAGACACTGTCCATTACAATAACTAATGAAATTGAGTGTAAGTGGTCTCCACTGGTAAAACCGTAGGAGGAGGGAACTTTTTTTAAAAGCGGCAGCTGGAAGTTCTGACAGCCTATCCGTGATTAAGCCAGTGAAAATAACTGGATTCGTTAGTGCACTTGCAGTATAACCAAGGAATCAAAAGCACAACATATCACCAGTCGGTCTTGACCATTATCCAAATCTATTAAATGAATGGTTTAACAGTATTTTGCAATAGTAATCCAAGGCTGCTTTGATTTGGGTTTTTTGTTAAATCATTGTGACTGCGCCTTGTTTTGGGAATCTTATGTCTCAAGAAATATTACAAAAACATATCATTTCGTTCAGTAGAACATGTAAATGGTCTTGTGTTTTGAATATTTCCACTGTCTTTTTACAAGGGACGCTCTGCAGTTGATACAGTGTTCAACATTTGACTTGTGCTGGTTGGATTGATGCTATCCACAATCATAGATAAGCAATCGAGGCTTGAAATGCCGGAGGAGTTATTTGCTGCATCGTAGCCTGAAAAATTAAAAATTGCCCAAATGTCAGTGAAGGACTTCTATTTCATGTCGAGAGTCAGATGGCATTCTTTGATAAACACAAAATAATAAAGTCTTGGAGAATACAGGTTCTAGCAAAGACTAGCTAGATGTACATGTGTATTATTATTTCAAGATAACTATATTACATGCAATCCAAAGAAACAACTGAAAATTTCATCTAACATGTAAAAAGAAAACGTGATTAATATAACAATTACTTGTTACTTGATATGGGAACAAAACACAAAAAAACAACTACTTGGTTTATAAAATTCACACAGAAAATAAATAGCGGCTACTGTTGACTTGGTTACGTGGAGGAACACAGTAATTGAAATGATTTAACACTCATGCTCCACGTAGGTGTACCACGTGAGGGCCAATAATTCTAGAATAAAACACTCAAGTGAAATATAATGAGTAATAATTGCCTTGGAGCAGAAAGATATAATTGAAAACAGTCTTGGTTGGCTACTGGCTGAGGAAAAAAAGCGTGTAATTAGAAATGTAATACTAGAAGAAAAGGCGGTTGGAGCCATTCAGTGCACTGGTGTCTTTGAAGGACACGCTGTTTGTTTGTCGACAAAGTTGGGTAAAAAGGAAAAAAATAACGTTTACTAAAACATTTATATCCTCATCATTTATACTTATATAAACATATAAGCCTCTTTCCGTGGCCATGCAGGAAAATAAAGGCAGAAAGTCAGAAAAGTTCAATGGGCCGGAAATTTAAGACATGGCGTTTAAATCGCATTCAATCAATAGCGCCGTGAAAATCATCCCCTTTGAAAATCTTATATCTTTGAACTACCTACTAACCCTTGGCCCTATAAAGCTCAAATTTGGCTAGACTTTATTGCCACACTTAGCTACATTATTCCACCACGGTAAATGAAAGAAACAGTAAGTATTTTCTTTCAATCGCTTGTGACAAATGTTTGAACCGATCTGTCCCACCAGAATGTGTCCGCTTTCAATTCATCTAACATTTGACTTTAACGACAGTTAAGTCTATTATTGTTATTGACTTCAACTAAACGAATAGTTAGATTTTAGTAACATGTCTGACGTAGCGTTTGTACAGGTAAACAAGAAAAACAAAATGTCAGAGGGTCAGATTCTTACTTATGGCTGGGTGAAACTCTACTTTTATACTTCGTCGCCGCCAGTTGCATTAAAAACATCGAAGCAAGAAAGAGGAACACGGGGCCTTTAATGTATTCTTTTTTTATCTCGACCCACTATTAACAGTTTTCCAAAATTTTGGATATACAATACTTGCAATACAGTCCAACGAAGCCAATGGTTTATATTCAGTATATGTTTTCTAGATCTCTTTTTGTTCTTATCGTACGTATTTTGTCTTTACTTGTGAAAATTACACCAGCCTCTGAAAGACAACAAAGATGATGATTGCTTTTAAAATTAGCGGTTATTTCTCATCATAAAGCCTCCTCTGATAAATAATCGCAGAAAGTGGGCAGATCTGATACTGATGCACAATTTCTTGAATGTTTTATCACTGGTTTCAGGAACAGTTTTTGATTAATAACATCCTGTTCACATATATTCCAGCTTGAATAATGCACCATTGCAATAAATGTGCGCCCGTGTTTCTGATGTGCCCATTGCTATACTGATCTTTAATGGTTCCCTTCCTATATTATATTATATTATATTATATTATATTATATTATATTATATTATATTATATTATATTATCATACTGAGGTATGTTTATGTGCGTGCGTGCGTATAGTTGATGCAACGTCATTTCTTTACGATGTTAACAATTAAAGAGGCGATACTAAAGCAGCTGTCATTATAAAAATTGTGAGCACAAAAAAGTTTGATCTTGCAAACTGGCAAGAAGACAAAAACTTATGCAGCTGCAACCCTTGCAATGAACAAAGAACATTTTCGAAATTACTGCAGTGGCATTGCAATGCGATCGGGGGCTTGCACCTGCAGCCAAAATGGTCTCGTGAATCTCTCTCAACAAAATCTCTCATCTAACGCTCAGAGACGCTAGAGGGAGCATTTCAACCACGGGGTTCTGGGTTAATCCAATATTCCGGGAGATGAAAGCTGGGAATACCTTGAATTGCCCGTGCCAGCAGGAGGGGCATTCGGTGGGGTTCAAGTTGCCGCGAATTTACTGACCTAACATCTTTGCCGGCAGGTATAGCTATAGTGAACCATATCCTAAAGGGTCACCTTTCATAAAACACTAGGGGTGAGATCATTTAGTCAAACCAGCAAAACATTGTTTCCATTACGGTTACCGACTCGGGTTATTATCTCCGTCCTCTAATCCACCAAATACAATACATGGCTGTCTAAGAATAGGTTTATCCAACTGAGCAATTTCAGAAATTGTACATTAAAGAATCGATGGAATTTGTATCCAATCAAGTGAAGGGCTCCTGAAATATTGTACAATTCATAAACCAGTGACGAGGGAGAAACTTCAATTCATTGTGGATTTTTCACATTCATTGGAACCAAAAATAGTTGGGTTCAATTTTTTTTAAATCCCGATACCCACGCTTGCCTTTTTAATTTTTGATTTACAGAAAATGAGGTAAATATTTTCATGTTTATTTGAACTTTTTTTCCTTTTGCCAATATGGAGGCATTCTACCTTTACCGTATATTTTATACTGTTCCTTTTGGTGCTAAAGTAAGCTTTTATACCTATGTTAGTATAAGGTAGTCGAAAAAAAAATTTATATCAAATATGAGTCCACCTTAAAATAATATCTTTCTAAACGCTAGACTTCGCAATAACTTTTCGAAAAGCCACAGAGAATCAATTTCTTAAAATAATCAATTATCCAAGTCATCCTACTTTTTTCGGTATACTACTCAAAAAACCATTGCTAGCATTAATAATCAAAGTTAAATAATCATACCAAAATACACCACTGCTTTCCCATTGAAACATACGAAAAAATAATCAAACCCCTCTCCAAGGATAGCAGATGATTGTCTGAATTCCTAAGCAATCATTGAAATCTAAAATATTTTCGAGTTTTATGTTTTCTTTTCGCCTCACGTGTTTTGTCAGACGTCTCAAACTTTGCCTGCCGTATAAGGCTGTAACTTGAACATTTCTTCTTGAAGAAAGTATCGATCCTTTCTCACTCTGCAAAATATAAGTCTCTGAAGATAAGACTCTTAATTATTGTCTCTGTTTTTTTTTTTCGGCGGGAGATATCAGTATTAGGATAGTAGATTTTTGAGAATTTTTTATCGCTCTGTAAAGATACTTATAGAACGTACCACTATCTTCGTGGGGTATTATAGCAGAAAGTTACAAAAGGACTGATATAACTTGATTAATATGACAGTAACGCATTTTACACTTGACTTATCATAACCTTCTTGAATGCATTTCATTTTGGGGGTTTTATTGAAGGATTTAATCGACTTTCAATTGATACGCAATTGATAACTGTCATCAGGGCACGCACAATATTAGAAAATTTATAGAAAATTATTTTACTCCTTCGGGATTTTCAGTAAAATATGGCTTCACTTGCGATAAGAATTTTGATCTTGGATGAAAGCGTGGGTGAATATATGCAGCATATTAAAGAAAATATGCTGTAGTTAAATAGATATTTATGCATAAGACTTTCCTATTCCTCATTTATTCTTTACCATAGTCATAATAGATTGGTCTCAAATTCAGGACATTGTGTTCTTTTCACATAACAAATTCAACAGTATCTAGAGTGCATCATACTGCCAAGCTAAAAATGTTTGAAGTACAGGAGGTCAAGCGCCAAACGTCTTCTAAGTTTGATTCAGCACAACTAAACAAAGCTTCTGAATTCATAAGATTCTCGTAGGATGCCGTCACTGCGTCATATGCCAGAGCCAGGCGCCCTCCAGGGCAGGTAAATAGTTTTAGAAATTTCAAAATTCTTTCATTGTGACTTGTTTTTTACACTTTATTATGCAATTAAATGAATCAAAGTTACATTATGTTTTTTTAATATTGCGGCAGACAGTGTCCTAATTATATGTCATACTTATAACTGTTAATAATAGAAAAATAATTAATCAAAGTTTTGGGGTAATTATAATTCAACTCGACAACTAGAGAAACTCGCGGCAATAATTACTTATAGCCAAAGTGGAAAAAAAATATTTATCAAAATCCAACAGAAACAAAGAAATCAATTGAATATCGCATATAATGAATTAATCTTAGTGAAGCTATTGAAGGCATTCACTGTAATTGGCAATAGCAAAACAAAAAATTAAACTTATTCTGTGACCCTCCGATCTCAGTGCAAACCCCCGTGCTGTCAGTTGAATTTGCTGACAATGACGGACAGACGGGGAAATGAAATGGTGCTGCTATAGGACTGCCCCCTCGTCACGGTGTGCCAAAAGCAATTTAAGCAGCATTTAATCAACCGTTATGATTTCATTGGTTTTTATTGCATGGGATGACCCGTGAGAATATCTCAATCCATCACAAAGAAATTAGTGTGAGAACACGAAAAGGCAGAACTTGAAAGTCAGAGAGCACTCCGAGTAGACATAAAAATGGAAGTGGAGTGCCTCCCCTTACTAACTGGAACGATTGATTTAACTATATGTTATCAGCAGAATTGGTTGAAAGAGCATTGCCTTAAAGAGAAGACCGGACAGTTTTGAGATAATAATGTAGAATATAGAGATATAGATAAGAGCGCAATCTTACAGGGATTCATCGTATACTAAATCAAAATAAAAAACGATGTCAAATGATCCGGAACAACACTCCTGCTTCTTTTTCTGCTGAGATCAAAACGTGTTTAGCCAAAACAACTGTGTATGCATACAGAAGTCAAGTCAAAAGATAGAAAAACAACGCTCCAACCACACGAAACGAATCCGGTATTAACATACTTATTGGCAACAGGACAAAGGTGCCGTTCTTCGGGGCTTAACCTGTGTATTCGGTCTGGAGTTCGGCGGCTAATTTAAGCAGACTAAAATGATTCAAACACTTATGAAATTGACAAAATTAACCAAATAATCCACTTCAGTACAGCAACAGAGAAAGGTCCAAAAGAGTAAAAATGCTCGTCTGTATGACGCTGCTGCATATGTTTTTCAATTCGCTAAATATACACAGAAAATTTCTGCCACGCGACATATGTTTACTTTGGGAACTAGGAGCTAGTATAGACTAATGAATAAATGCATCCCAGGCAAAGAAGCCCCCATCACAATTAAGTTTATATATTCTTAAGGGTTAACGTAGGAACCAAAGAGACATTCTAAAAGCAAGTGACGCCATGGCAGATTAGGGGACATTTCCTCAAATTCAAAAACAAACTTTTCTCAGATTAAATTAAAATACACCCTCTTTGCTTAATGTTATTGTGCAAATTGACTTATATGTTGTAAAACTTCTAACAGCGTGTACTACAAATATATACCAAGTGTTTATTTTAGTCCCTAATAGGTGGGTAGTGTGCCACATTTAGAAAGAAAGTTACTGTACGATTGTGTTTAGTTTCTGAATCATTTTTGGTTGTAGAGGATCGCTCTGGTATTACTTACAGAAACATTTATTGCCTTGGGAAAGTCATAAAAAAGGTTTTATATCAACGATAAGAAAAGGCATTAAAGTCGTAGGCTATGAAAAAAAGACTAGACTAGACGCTTTCCTCGTATCTCTAGTTAAATACATAAAACTGTTGGCAATGTAAGCCGTGAAATCATAATTTAATTCTGTTGGTCTGTGCTACGAGACTCCATTCGACAGTGTTCCCACGCGGTTACATTCATCAGTTTACAAGCCAGTGATCCGCTTCACCGGCAAGACCAGGGAGCGCGGACGGCGAGAAACGGAGGCCGGTCTGAAAAGAACTGAAGGGGGAAATACCACTGATAGCCGCCCATGAGCAATCCCATGACTAGTTTGTGGAGTCTGTACAGAGTCGATCCTGGTAACATTAATTGCTGACTCGTCGATGGTCCTGCAAAGTGTGTCATTTGTGGGATGCGATATTTACCAATTGTCACTCGTGTGTGTGTGTTTTTTTTAGAATAGTTATTTGTACGGAATCTTAACACCCCTTATTCCAATGTCAACGTCCCTTCTTCAAACTGAAACCAAATCTTCCGCAATATAACTAACAACTACTGAATACAAAAGGCCACGACCCTTTAGTTGGCCACCAGAACTATCTGAACAGGGAATATGTCATTGCAGATAATTTATCGTGTAGAAGTCAGCTTCTGATAACGAAACTATATATTTGGGAAAGGTTTTGAAAGTAACTTTGACCAAGATAGTCACAGACGAAAGTACATTTTCTTTTCTCACGATCATGATGCCAATTCGCGGAGTCAAAAATACATGTTTGCAAACGATTTTTAAAATCCATGACCCGAAGAACCGTTTGCTGATTGTATGTGGATTGAGGGCCTTTCAAAAAGCGATGGTCATTACTGACTTTTTCATTTTCCTGCTAAATTAGTCGGACATAGTTAATTAAGGGAATCCACAAATTAGACGTCTCGTGTACCCCCGGTATTTTGATCGGTCAATCTGTAACAAAAACCAAAAATTAAAGACATTTTTTCTAGAAGTTTCTTGTCTATTTCTTATTTTTTCATCCTTTCTGTCTGTCAACTAAGTACTTTCCCTTCGATACGGCACTATGGAAATGGCTTTTTAGATCAAAGTACCGCTACAAATTTCTGGCAAATTATTCGGACGTCGGGGCTTTAATGAGACCTAAAAGTAAGGAGGAAGAGTGAAAGTTTGCCAGATTCGATCTGTCAGCGGCCTGTACCTGGAGGGAGAAAGGGTTTGTAAAAATTACATTTCAGCTACAACACAAGTTGAAAATTGTACCATTCCAACTTGATTGTATCTATAACAAGTTTAACAAGGTGGTTAGGCTAATTATCTAGATCACACGACAACCGCTGCGAAAATAAGCACATCATTTCGTATCAAAATGTATCTGTAGACAGTGATATAGGGAACGCGGTGGGAAACAGTGAAGCAATATGGATACAAGAGCAGAGTAAACAAATAGTCCCCTTAACTCAAAAGAGAATTAAAATTTGGAAAAACATCTCATTTCTACCACTTGCAGTGCACAAGGAAACCGATAGGGCTATAAAAACAGATCATGGGGCAACTACATGAAGCAGCAACCAGTGTTAGCTCTGGCTCCTAGACTGGCCTATTATAACTAAAACCTTTGAGCTGCATTTTAAACACATTTGGTCAGCCTGGTGTGAGTCGTAAGGTGTTTACCGGTGACTTACCCCTGGGAGGAAAACAACCCAAAGCAAAGAAATCAAGTGAGGTGATAAAAATCTATTTGAAAAAAAAAAAAAAAAAACGGCCATACGTAGTCTCTTTTTACGTCCCTGTGATTCAGCATACTGAAGATCCTGCCACTAAATATTCGGCATGACTGATATTTAGGTGTGCTCCGTTCTTCCTTGTTATCTTCAGAATATCAGTTGGGTGTATTAAATCCGGGCGGTACACACATATTTAACATTTGGGTTAGTTTTGAGACTAAGTACCTCGGAAATGATATTTTATGCAGGGAATCTAATTATAAATTACTCGAAGTAGTTAGCTTTGGGCAATGCTTTTTGACAGAGATGCCATAATTCCAAGACTATACTGTCGTGTTGTCTTTAGCGCATGTAAATCAAATGTTTATTCCAAAACTTATTCGGTAAACATTCTCTTTATGAAGATTTCTGTTACTGAATTGATTATACCCTTTACCAAAACAATGTTGCAATGATAGATTTTTTCGTAACCCGCATCACCTCGTCGTACATTGAGCTGATGATAGGGTTCTGCTTCATTGTAATATTTCAAGAAGTTATTGTTGGAAGTTATCCACGGACATCTTCCCTTTCTAGGGGGAAGAGACCAGTTTTAATTACTGCAACTTTCATAGATCATGTACAAACAAAAAAATTGGATTTAAGACTAGCTTTTTTTATCTTAATACTCATTTTCATTTAAAATTATGTCATAATTTATTTAAGGCCTTATTAAACAATTAATAATTTTTATCTTATACAATACTTGCAATTTTTTGTTGTCAGAAAAACACGTTAGATTGAGTTTAAGGATTTGTAGTAATGCATTATTATTAAATGTGACGCAGTCGACAATTATATTTCACATTGTGTATGATAAAGTAATGAGTTTTAATCCGTTTGTCTTTGTGTCTATACATGACCCATTTTAATTATAATTCAATAAATTTAAAGCACCTTTTGATTCATTCCGTTCTTACCATTTTGGCCATAGGAATAGTTTGAGAGGTCGCCATAGTGATGGAGCTTGTCTGCAAAATAGCCAGGACTGTTAACCGTCTGAAAAGAAAATATTCTCTCTGAAATATGAGTTTGCAATCAAATATGGTGGAACCTTTTATAAGTGACGCTAAATGCAGAATTAAAGTGATTCACATTCATTAAAAGATGAAATTGAATAGAATTGAGAGGAAAATGATACTGTCATAATCATAAATAAAATAACGCAAGACCACAACCTATCAAAATAAAATTCTGTGATTTTAGCCTCTTGCGCAAATGCCTCTGTGGTGGAAGGAGGAAAGAAGTGCCGATTATTACCCGCAAGTGGCAATTTCACTATGATCCCTGTTATTAGAAATAACAAAAGGAAACCACGGTTTATTTTTCCGAGGTAATGGTGGATCAAAGTACTGCATACACACACATAACACGATTAGGATTTTTACTTGTTTTTTCTACCTGTTAACGTTCTTGGTTTTATTTTTTACCTTGTTAAGCGTATTCTCACATATTGGCACAACTGATGAAACACGTTTTTGTCCAAACACCTCATTTAATAGCTGTCTTTCTTCTTGCCTTGCAACTCATGCGTTACTGTGCCAACCCATGAGTAACTGTATCAACAATCATACCAATAATGTCAAAGTTTATTTTTTGTAAAGTATCGCATTTTTTATCAAATTCACTGAAAAAATGAACTTTAATAATATGAGGATATACTTTTCTGCTGGTCACCAGGGTCGGATTTTTGAATAAGCAGACTGACCACGTGTTATGGGCATAACAGATAAGGCGGCACCGATAAGCTGTCAGAGTAAAAAATGGAAAAAGTTTGATAAAAATTTAGAAAGTGATATTTGGATCGCAGATATATGGGTGAATCAGTCTGAAGATTATACGGATCATTATGGAAAGAAGTGCATTATTTGGAAAATATAGTTTCAGGTTCAACTAGATTCTCTATTTAAGGTCTACCTACTTCTAAGAGAGTCGTATGGGCTGCCCTCAATATACATTGGGTTAACACAAGTAGTCCATAATTGTATTCGACATGCTGCGAGCCGAACATATTGAATTTACTACTGTCATCTTCATCTTTCAGCACAGGTTATTGGCAAGTGTAGCCGATGCGATCTATTTCTGAATCTTTCGAAACTGATACCTGTCAGTATGGGGAATCGCAACTTCCAGTGGTCTCCCGAAAGTAAATTAAATAAAGGCAACAATACAGAGAAAGGTCAGTGTATTAATCCGTTAAAAGTAATGTTTTATTTTCCTTTTGCACACTAGGGGCACGCCTGAAACTAAAATAACTTTCCAAGTCTTGTTTTTGCCCAGTATGCACGTGACTGGTAATGTTCACAGACAACTTTCTAGGGCCGCATCAGGGAAAGTTTCGTTTGATTACCTCGACGGCATGTTTTGCTCAAGGAAACCTAGACCTCTGCTGATTACTGCTGCTCCAACCGAGGGATCTGGAAGGCTTAACACTGTTCGGTTTCTAGTAAGATAGAAATCTAGGCCGATCATAAAAAGGCAAATTGTTAATCTGAATATTTTTCATCGACTCAACAATTATCAATTTCGCTTTCTTTTGACAACTTTTTCAATCCAAATGCACAGAAATTAACATAAAATTCTGCAACAGTCTAATCATAGTTTAAAACTTATTTAATCCGGCATCCATAGATTTATAAACACAGCTTAATTATTGACCATTACTTCAGTTAGATGCTTGTCGACCAAATCATTCAAAACATTGGTACGTGCATCCTGAAGTTTTAGTTATAACGGCAACTTTGAAATGTAACAAATAAGTTTTACTGGTTGAGATGCGAGGTTCTGTTACTTCTGTATGAAAAGGGGGCAGCGAATTCAAGGGTTACCAGTAAACAGTATTTCTAATGAGTTAAGACTAACTTGATAGCGTTTCTAAAATTAATTGAGCTTTTTCAAAGGTTTGATTCGGGGATTAGTGAATCAGTTTATGTGTACAATCTAGGTGAAGGTGATATTAACTTTTACATTGGGTGTGGTCCGTGTACCCCACGAGGCGCTGTTTTCCTTTCGCCAAGACAAAAATTTTAATCGTTGCTTTTATGACATATACAAAATAATCTTTCGTGTTCTCACTGTCTTTCAGCGCCATATTTTTCTATTTTTCATCTCCGTTTTTCTTCTTCATGCACAGTCTGGAAAATTTCAACTGACTGTGATAATTGAAGTGAGTGGTATCGGATACAAGACACTTCTTTACGACTTAAACCACTTAAGTTTGTTGTTAAACATTTATTGGCTCAGGCAAAGCTAATTTGCTGTATCTTTACCGCCTTTTGAAGTTTATGGTGGATGAGAAAAAATTAATATTGAGACGAATATGCAGAGAAAACTTCACCTCCCCGTTTGATGGCGATTTTCTTATTATATTTTGAAATACTTTACTGTATTAGTATAGGCAGTGAATTTCACTTGAATTATAGAGAGATGCAACTTTGTCCTGTTTTCCCTAAATTAAAATCTTGAAACATACTGTTCTCCCAAATTAAAGTAATTGTTGAGAAAATGAAAAATTGATTCTTGTTTCATGCAACTCCGCGCAATGGGGTCAACAAAAACCTGTTACCTAAGTTTAGTCACCTCGAATCTTTGGAACTTAAAATTAATTCGGCACGCTCAGTGTAGCGTGATGGCAGTCGAGATGCAGTGCTTCCGTTCGTCAATTCAGGTCGTGTGTTGCTACCATCTGGAACCGCCATGATTGTATAATCGCATATTTTGTATCAGTCACTCATTTATTTATTAATCATATTCATGTCTCTTTCAAATCTGCTCTTTTAAGAATGCAGAATGTCGCTTATTAATATTCTTTATATTAGAATCTTATTTTTTCATTCGTGTATTTCATGTTTGGCAATATTTTATTTCATATTTGCTTGATAATCAAATTTCCGAGTAAATTTCCGACATACATCTTCATCTTCCCTGATGAGTGGCGTGCGTGGGTGTGATAAGAATTACAAATGATTTAACTCTCAATCTCAAAAAAATATATATTTCAGGCCGCCTTCCCGGGGAGAAGCTCTGAAAGTATTTTCTCAAGTGGCTAATTTGATACGATAGGTGTGAAAACGGCAGAGGATTTGTAATACAGAATAAGCACTTTAATTTATTTAGATACATTTGAAACAATAAACACCGCAGCTTCTTAATTGGCTGCAGGTCCAGATCAGTGCTGCTTCTAAGTTTCATTAGGCAGATTACTGATGGGAGGAATCAATTAGATACTCGGAAGGAATTAAGAAGCGCGAGAAATTACCCTGCACGTGCATTGAAAGCTGGACTTAATTATAGTCGATAGATTCCAAAGATTTCACTCTGAAGCTCCCCAAACTTCATCCAGTCAAATTTTCTCGGACAGCTCTCTTCGGAACCTTGACACGACATTTAACGCTCTAATCATTCGTCGATAAAAGTTCAGTTTTAAACCATAAATCACACATAAGTCGAATTTTGTGAAAAAAATAACCTTCAGCGCTTTTATTTTTCTTTTGCTTTTTTTTTTAAACATGTCTCCCCTCTGTTCTAAAATTATTATTTAAGCAACTACTCTGTATTTACTTTTTTCTTTTATCCTAGGATCTAGTGTAACATGACTGAGCTTCCGATAGGAAAACCAGAGACTTGGAGACAGTAAATGCACCCTGAAATTAGTGTCAAGAGGACGTACATGTAGGACGGTGAAAACAGCCCACATACCCCAGGAAACTAATAATTAATAATCAAGTTATCGTTTTGCACATTTTTGAATTGAAAATAATTAAAGTGAATCAGTTTGTTCCAATGGAAATAGTGTAAAATTGATTTGCTTCTGTTTTCTCAATTATCTTTAACACCAAGTATTTCTGAGGTGGGGAATTAAATCAAGCTAAGAAGTCAATGAATATATCAGCTGATACTTGCGGATTAAGATGATTAAGAAAAGCGGGTCAAAGTAAAGTGTTTGTGGTGTGGCGTTGTAAAATATATTAAGTGTATTTATTCATGTTCATGCACACACACACACACACACACACACACACATATAGAATCACATCATAAAACAAACTATATTAAGTATCTAATGCATTTGCCTTTGAGGAGTAAAATTAAACACAACATTAAATTATTAATTTTTTCTCCAACGGAAATTCAATTTCTTTATTAAATGAAAAGTAGAAAAAACAGATGAGTCATGGGGTAATAAAAAAAACTGAAATTCTTCATTAAAAATTCTGAATGTACATTTTATAACTATTTAGTAAAAACACTCTTGCAAGCTTTTAAAAACATCATCTCTTGTTTAACAAGATTGCTGTGTTGATTACATTTAATTTGTCAAGCCTCTTTTTTTTAAATTACTTTCTTAAAATGTCGTTTCCTTTGAAAGTTGTTTTAAATAAAAATTACCCCCATCTCGCGTCCTGTAAATGTTTAACACGTGTGATTCACTACGTAGAGCACGTTTCGCTCTTGACGACATGTGGATGTTATTGTTTTTCTATTATCTTAGGATCTGCTGTTACATGAACGTGCTTCCGATATGAAAACCAGACATTTGGAGACAGTAAATGTACCCTGAAATTAGTCTCAAAGTCAAGGAGCGGTACGACAGGAGGGCAAAAAATAAATATAATGAACCAAGTTTAAGGGACTGTACATATGAATATGATTACACGCTATGCAAGTCTGTCGACCAATGATTACTTTTCAGTGTTTTCGGCAGTGTTTATTAATCACAGTTGTACTATTGTATTGTTTTCAATCATTCCACTGTCACTCACCATGTAATCAGAGCCACTGCTTGTTGACCCGTTGTCGTTGTTGTTATCATCCCCATGGCCCATTCTACTGCCGTGAAGGAGATCTTCTAAACTCTCGATGTATTCGATGGCATTCCGTAAAATTTCCACTTTGGGGAGACGCTGATTGGGATTGGGGCACGTCCGGCGTTTCAGTGTCTCAAAAGCTTCGTTCACTTTACGTAAACGTCGACGCTCACGCAGCGTCGCTGCTTTCCGCCTGTCTATTGTGACGGTCTTTTTCTTGCAGGCCTTGCACGCCCAGAGGAGACAGCGACGGTTCCCTGGCCCGTGGAACCCTGGGGCAAGAATGTGTGGGATGTGTTCCCCGTCCCCATCCTCCTCTTCGGACCCCACGTCAGACTCCATGTCTTCAGCCTTCACGTCACTGTGGTCGTGACGGTCATGGTCTCGGTCTTGTTTCGTTTTGTTGCTTTCACTACCGCTACTGTCTTTTTTGTTCATTTTGTTACCGTTATTGTTGTTGTCATTCCCACATTTCTTGTCTTCGCCCTGTGTTGACATTGGTGAACTTGGTTCAGATTTGGTGTTTGCCTGTGAATTGGGTGAACAGTTACTACTGTCCCTGGGTGCATACTCTAAGTCTGTAGACTGTCTCTGAAAATTGCTCTGGACATTATAATAGTGTTGATTAGTTGTGGGTAGGTTACGGTAGCCATATGTCTCTGGAAAGTGACTTCTTTCATATCCTCTTGCATATGTTCCCGTCGCTTGGCCGTAATAATCGACACCAATGCTGGCTGAAGGGTGATGATGAGAGTGGGAAATGTCCATTAACTGCCCTGGGTCCGTCATGTCCATCCGTCGGAAACTCGGGTGCTGTGTCGGGTAGTATGGCCCTGGTCCCATGGCGGCCGCGGCTGCTGCGGCTGCTGCAGCGTTTGGATCATACCTACAGCTTCGCATATCTGTCATCATCATCATGGTGGAAGTCTAGAGAAACACCTATGTGGCAATATTCACGAGGTAAAAAGAGTAGCAACAGGGAATTTATAGGCCCCGCAGCTTAACTCGACTCGACTCGACTCGTCCGGCACCCTCCTACTACACTGTTTTGTAGAGGACTTCAGCATCCACCCTCTTGCCTTACTAATTATTGGTTTAAAAGTAACAGGAAATAGAGGTGAAGTCTTGCTACCATGTACAAATTATCAGAGGGATCCGCCGAGATTCACGAGTATCGTCTGCTCAGTGTAACACATGAATGGCCCTCCTTGCCTGTGAGCTACTTGTTTATATGCTATCGTAGTTCAGGTTTACTACTGCGTATGATCGGCGGGAAATCCGAGCTGAGCCTCCAGTCAATCAAGCAAACTTTTTCAATTAATTAATCCAGTGTTGGAGAGTCATTACCTAGCTATCAATCAACACCGCGAGAGGATCATACCGACCAATAGGGATGGTTCTGTCTTAGCCACTTTAATTTGGGGTGTGACTTTTTTCCATGTGCATCATCATATCCCGGTCTAAGTCATAATTTTGATATGAAACTGTTTGTAAGAATAGAACGGTTTCACGCGGTACTTCTCGCGATTGGAGATATTACGTGAAGTATTTCCTACCTTATTGTTTTAATTATACGACAACGATGCAATTATATTTAGTTGATCTCGGCGCTCTTGCAATCCCTATTTTAAATGGAATCGACCAACTTCAAAGCAGACGACAAGATTCAGGTCAACTACAGAGGTCGGCAGTGCTTGAAACTGCTACCAGATGGAGAGGGCAATTTTTTGGTCGAAATTCAAAATTCCCTTAAGTTTTCGATTCAGGCTTAATATTTTGTCACTGTTTCGAACTTTATTTCGATTACATTTCTAAGTACACTGAATAATCACTATACTGCCGACCTTCAGAAGACACGCCTTTGTTTTTAAGTTGTTTTTGTTTGGGAGGTGACAAATTGACTTCTGGTAAAACAATTACTGTTACTTTTTTGTGCATGAATGAGAGGTTGTAGTACATAGTATGATTAATTGTTTAACAGACAATTTATTTCCTGTTTAGTTTCAAATGTACTTTGGTTAATTTTGGTGTAATTACTTTTCCTTCTCAGTCAGTTTTCTTCATTTTTTTCCCCTCTTTTTTCTATTAAATTAATTTTCTCTTTTAACCGTTTTCAAGATTTAGCTTTTTCTCTTCTCTTTTTTTTTACAAGCGCACCAGCACCGATGTAAAATTACACCGTGACACCTGAAGGGTGGCTAGACATAACTAGAGGAAGGATGGAGAGCTCATCTATTATCAAATTAATATAAACGGACTTCGAGAATGGAGAGGTTCGTCCCACTTTCTAGGCATAAGTTAAGGGGCGCTCATGAAAAAAAAACCCAGAAAATGGACCGAAGACGCAGAAAAGAAAAAATAGTCTTTAACATATGCTGGCAAAATCGCATGAGACAGGTACATTAAGAGGTAGAACTAAGCAGGCCAATCAAAATACAGCTAGCAATATTGATACTCGTTTTTAGCAAATTAACAAATATTAAAAACAAACAGTAACATTGCTTATTTAAACTTTGAATTCGAGCGTAATAGCTTTAGTGTAAAAATAAACCCTAGACTTGTTACTTGAGTCCACTGGAGACTTTGGCAAGCTAAAAGATTCTAATGAAGGCCAGAGTCAATGTCTTTAAAGGCAATCAGTGAGTTAGTGTAAGTTTCTTAACTTTTCTTTTGAAGTTTAAGAAGTGGTATGCTACGAATGGGTTTATGAGACACCAATGCTAAAGCTAATTAATAGCTAGCGAGCTAATCGAATAATCCGATGTTTTCGTTGTGTCAAACTTTGTTGTAGAGTTTTCCCGGATTGGCCTTGTAACCGCAGCGCCCCCAGGCTACCGATGTGTTCTCTCAAAGCAGTAGCGTTATTTTCAAAGTTTATCGGCAATTCTGGCTTATTTATGTACATTAGTCTATCGACATTTTGGGGCCTTTGTACATATTTACAGCCATGTATTACCTTCAGCTCTTTAGGTAAAGGCCTATTAAGCAATTCAGGTTACTGATGGAAAATTAATAAGACACGCTTCGTTGCAGAAAAAAACGCGCTGGAGGGTTTTACGCAAAGTCTAGAATGTGAAATATCAGTGTCATATTTCGAAAATGTGGTCCGGGGGATGTACGCAATTTATAAAACATAGGCGTATGTGCATGCATGGTGCCAATGTTTATAACTGTGCCTACTTCCAAGTGTGTGATCGCGTGCATGTGTTGTGTGAGTGCGCGCCCTCGTGTCTCTGTGCCGTCATTATTGCACGATTGTTCAGAAACCATTTAAATTGTCTATAAAAACAAGATAACTTGTGTCTCCTTTATAAAAAGTATGGAAAGGAAAAAATCGGGTTCTTTAAAAATATACCCCTCTAAAATAGTTTAAAATCAACTATCATTGATCATCTCTCAAAATTTATCAAAACTTGATGTGTTTTTGGAAATTAAAACATATCTCAAGCAGGCAGCGGAACTGCATGATGAAATACACCGAGTCTACAAATATTGTGACCTATTCGCATCATAGGCCCCCTTTCGGTCATCATGTTGTTCCCAGAAATCCCGATATTTCCCTTTTCTCATTTCCGATTTTATTAGTAATGATAATATTTTCATACTAGAGCCATTTCACAAAAAGCTATGGCTTGGAGGAATGCATAGGCCTTAACCAAAATCCATATCTAATTCTGGATTATAGATATCAACAAAGAGGGGGCAATTCCTCACTTACCGCCAACACCCAACCTCGAAGAAGAATATTAAAAAGTGGTGCGTGCCATTTGAAGCATTTTTCAGAAATAAGTATACAAGAAACAGGCCTTTACGGAGCCCCTGCGTGTGTGTCGGTATTAGTGGGACGAGATAAGCTTCATCCTCCATTTTGTTTTGAAAAATGGGGAGGGCACTCGCTCCGTGTCATTATTATTATTATTATTATTATCATCATTATTATTATTATGTAGCGTTTTTCTTTCTTTAGTATCAGTTGCAAAAGAGATGTTGGCGCATAAAGATCATGGTAAAAAAAAACGTTTTAAGTTTTAAAACTTTCTTTAAATGACCCATCTTCGGGGATTAACATTTTTAAAACTTATCTAAAGACTTTCTTTAAAAAAGCCGCCTCTTCAGTTGATATATTCCTTAATTTCCATTTCTTTTTTTTTTTTAAGATTACACATCTAAAATAAAAGTAGCAGTACCATGTTTGGTCATCACTAAACATTCGGTTGGACGATGATAATCAGTTACCTCGATCGTGTCTCTAATCATCATCCCCTAATACGATTATAGTTTTATCTTTCCTCATCTATCTCTGTATGTTTTCTTTTCGGCGGGTGCCATATCCATTGCAGTTTCAATCACCGGCTTTACCCAGAAGCTTTAATAGAATCGATGAGCCAAGATTAGATCATGGATCAAAATTAGCCAGCTGAATCCTCGAGAGGTTTCGCCTTGGGGTGTTTCCGATGCACCTTCTGCAAATTGATTAATTAAGTTTTGAAAAGTAGCTTTTAATCATTTCCTTATCAGCCAAGCAACTTAATTGTTGGTATTTCAGGTTATACGAAAAGCCTCTCTTTTCCTGCTGATTTTATTCAAATTAATTCTCTGCGTTTATTTTTCAACGAAACAAGTCTCTTCACCAGTTATGGTGCTACTATTTTCGGTCTCTCATACAGAGAGAGAGAGAGAGAGAGAGAGCGAGAGAGATCCACAAACATTCCTATTTCTGCCCATGCACACAAAGATCGGCATATTCAAATGATAAAAACATTTTAAAATCCTGTTTTTGTAGACACTATACCTAAATGTCCTAGTATCTGCTATCACTATTCTTATATGTTTAGAAAGTTTTGAGTTACTTAACTTTTTAACTTGTCAGAACTAATTATCATGTAATATTTCCAGTTAACAGCAGAGGGTTCTTGATGATGGGTTAAGCAAGAAATTTCACAAACCCCAGAACATGTATGTCATGCATTTCGTTATGATTTCGTTCTTCCGTCCATTGGTCAACTCTCTCTCTCTCTCTCTCTCTCTCTCTCTCTCTCTCTCTCTCTCTCTCTCTCTCTCTCACACACACACACACACACACACACACACACACACATTACATAAACATACTGAGCTGCAACATAGTGTGCACCTTTATTAAGTAAAAAAAAACTTTAAAAACAAGATGATGGCTTTTACCTAACTTATCAAACATTTATCAGGTGTATTCATTGCTTGTTTTGTCAACAATTTGACAGTGTTTCTATTTAAGAAAGTTTGATCAGTATCCATTGTAACTGACATTTGAGAGATGGAAAATTTTGCACAAAACTCGCGTTATTTTGATCTAAAAATTGCTTACTGCATGTTAAAGTGGTTTAAAGTTTGAAAGTCATTCAAATTGTTTTCTTTAAAGTGAAAAATACGTACTGGTACAGAAGCGTGGTTTGAGAGAGAGAAAGAAAGACTGATGCAGATGGTGTACTTAAAACTAGATATGATACACAATGTCCATCTAAAGCTCTCTTAAACTCCAGTGAAACCACTCAGCAGTTGTACAACAGTTGAGTCATAACAAAATGTATTTACAGCTAAGAGCGAAGCACGAAAAGAAAACGTCGATACGAAACGTGTCAAAGGTAAGTCGAGCTGGCGCACAGTGCAATGTTTGAGATATTCAGCCAAAGACGCATCCAGCGCAATCACTTGGACCCAACTGAAGCAATATGTTTGAACATGTCTTGCACAAGCATATCGAACAGACATTCTACGTACATTTCTAACGTTGAATTCTGCGATACTTACCACTGCTTCAAAGTGTAGATAAAGCCTGTTTGAGTATCCATAAATATATACGTTTAGAGTGTGTAGGTCTTAGATCACTGTGCTTTTTTTCTCTAAAGAAAGTTAAAAAAAGTTATTATATAATCTGGTCAATGCCCTTACATTTTGTTGTTTTCAGTTCTTCTAATTACCCTACTTAAGTTCTGGGACATCATTAAAAAAAGCCTGTCTTTGACGTTCGTACGTAATATGGACGTTGTATGAGAAAACACACTTCGTCCTCGACCCAATCACCAATCATGACACATCTTACGGGGTACTGGGACTGTCTTTATACATGTATATTTACCCGGATTGCCTCATTCCCTGTTGAAGATGTTCTAAACAATTTCAATGTTAGCTGTTGACTGAAGAAAATCATTTCATTCTTATAACATTACAAAGCGAATGAAATTCTGAATGATGTAATAAAAGTAAATGTTGCAATGAAATATGATTTGTATACATATGCACACACAGCATTACAGGTTCAGAGAAGCTTAATAATAACAAAGTCATGCCCTTGATGCGCTTTGTTGGTTGCTCAGCAGTAATGTAGTTTCTACGTCAATATAGATTTTATACACTGTTAAATTGGTCTTGTTTGCAGGTATATACGTCAATAGATACTAATGAGTGCATCCTGAAGTTCTTACCACCGCCAGCTGTACTTCTAGATTGCCAATAATAAAATGTTTAATACTACCGACGGTTAAACTGATTAACTGGAAAGGCGACTGTCCATCTCCGAAATGATTAATGCATCTATATGCTCTCCATTTCTTCGAAAATACTGTCAATTTACGTAATGGATAAGAGAGGATAACTTACACGCAGGGCATATTCAAAGTAATCGTTGTAATTACAATAAAATAATATATTTATCCTGTAAGTGATAATATATGAGAAAGAGTGGTATAAGACACCGCTCCAGTTGAGTAATTACACGACACTTAAGCAGTCGGTTCTCAATTCGACAAGCTCTAGAAGAAAAGGAACCACAAACTCCCTTACACTGCCAGTGTTACGACTAACCGACTGACGTTAGACACAACTGGGAGAGATGTGTTACAAGTTAGATTGCCGTAGTGGCTTGGTGTGGACAGTAAAACTGTTTATTGAGATTTGTGCGCTGACTGCATTATTTAACCATGCAATATTTGCAGAGGTAAGTGTGCGAAAAATTATTGAAATCGTAACTTAGAGAGTTTTAGAAGCAAATATCTGTAGTTGATTTCCACTCGTAGACTGTACACATATATCGGCCTGCGTCTCGTTTTTCTTAAATTTTTTTTAAATTGAATGTGCATCAGAGGCTACATGCACACTGTTGGAATGGGTACTAAAATTAAGGCTCATTCCTGCGGGCAGGCAAAGTTTCGTTAGTTATACCGCTGAACTTGGCTCAGTCAGATTCAGCGTCAAAAATAAGTGACTTTCCTCTTAAGTGATAAACATGCCAAGTTCAACGATTATCTTATTTCCGCGTACACTGTAGGTCGCAATGACTTACCAACCTTTTATCTCCTATTTGATTAATTTTGTTCGAGTTCTCCCAATTGGCTTCATTCCTTTACTGGGCAAGCAAAGAACAATTGATGCTACAGTTAAGTTAACAGAAACGTAAATGGTAAGCTTGTCCCCACAATTCTTTGAAAATTGCCATTGAAATTAGCAAGTAGCGGCTAAATATTATTAAATTGACTTAAAACCTTTTTAATCCCCTCTTTAGAAACTCCCACATTGTATTGCTATTAGAGAACAACTCCAGGGGAACCAAAAAGAGAGACGTAATGAACATCATGATCGACTATTAAGTCAATAAGAACTATTGAAGTGCATTTTGAATGTGTAAAAAGAGTCTGCACTCGCGGTGTGAACTGTATAATTGGTCTCTAACCTGTAGTGTGGTATATAATGTGACAGTAAGTGCAACTAGAACAAATTAACTTGGCAAGCATTGGTCTACGTCGGTCAGTAAATGAGCGATTTTCACATTGAAGTTTGAGAATAAATAAATTAATAAATTGATTAATTAATTAATTAATAACTGAATCTGATCCATCGGTGTCCTATAAAGTATAAAAATTATCCACCTGTATCCACTCAAAGCACAGGGGTCAAAATCCAAAATGGTCCCCAATAGGCATATAACAGACCATGATACCTAAGAACCATACAGAGTTTATATCTGATAAGGAATAACTTTTTCCAAAACATTTCTATTTGGGGGTTTCCTTTTTTTCTGAGTAATGAATGAAAACAAAATTTATAATCGTGTTTAGATGACTTTGTTAATCTAGACAGTGCCACTGGGACAATCATTTTAATTCACAGATTGACTATACCAAGTTCATATCTTGTATATTCCATTACTGGACTAGCCTTAAGCTAAATCTAAGTCCAAACATTTTAAAATAAAGGAAATTATCATATTTGACTGACAAAGATTATATATAACGAAGCCATCAATGCCAACAATACCAATTGTCAATGTTTAGAGAAAATATCGAAATGTGCACTGCCTTTTGGGAGGTAGATCATGTTCAAGTTTGCACTGGCTGCGCGGTGTCTTAAAGCAGAATAGCAAATACAACGAGCAAAATTAAATCATTTAAACTAAAAGGTAAATACATGTAATAGATATACCGTGAAAATCAACAGATTTGTATGTAATCTAGTAAAATGTCGTCACATCCCTTAATTCGTCATAAATAATTGACGCACGTTGATAAATGACGTATGTTGTATCATTTCACTAGCGGTTCAAGGTTATTAAACCCTATATCACCCCACGTCCCGGTGTAACAGGAATGCAAGTCCTAGGAATGTAGTCCGGGCTCTTATATGATTAACACAGGTTAGGTTTAGTCGTAGTGTTGGGGTGAGTATATGGGACGAATGTCACCTGTACAAAGTAATGGGAAGCGGACTACAGTTCCTAGCGGACTTGCATTCCTGTAACACAGCAACAGATTCCATATGGTCCACCCCAGACTTTTCAAGGGCGGATCTAGATTTATTTTCTGATAGTCTCCCAAATTATCTTAGTCGATCCGTCCTCAATTTTTGACAGTCTTCCGACAGTAAAAATAAGATGCCCATCAATGTAAACTTGAAAACCCGGAAGACGGTCTACGTTCGCTCCTGCTTTGAAAATTTCAAAAATTGTCTGTTTTTTTAATGCAGAAATATTTACAAAATTATTTACACTTTGTATATCATCATTTCGTGGATAATTGAACATCTTGTTAATGTCATGCCGTGACACGTTAGCACATGTATAATCTTCCAGTAGGCCCTACGTGTATAATCTTGTGTTCAGCGTTATTATTTTGCGTACGAAGCTTATGAGCTCCCTATAATTGCAAAGGATGTTGTTAGTAAGCAATAACATGTACATGTATTATATTTACCGTGGAAGCTTGGCCACGTGCCAATAGAATCCGGTTATATAAGCCCTCACACAAAAAAATTTACTTTTTGGACCGTTAATCAATTCCGTATTAAGAAAGTTTATGGATCGCTCTATTATGTAGTTTTTACTCACGTTTCATGTGCCATTGTGAAAAACGTTGGCACTGTCTCAAGCCCTGACCTGTTATCAGAAATCCCCCTAAAGGAAGATTTTGATATTTGGCTGAAACAAAACTGAAATTCCTGTAGGACGGTCTCACTGTTTACGCTTTAAGTGCGTTTTCGTATTAGATTTGGTTACAGAGTATTCGAGGACGATCGGGAACCACTTACCCACCTATTGGCATCTATCAATCCCTGCACCAATCATTACAGAAACAGTTTCTGAATCTTGAATAACAGTAATGTCATCAAGGTAGGCTTTCTGCCTGACACATTGTTTTGTGTAAAATAGTGATTTGTACAGGATATCAAATTTTTGTTTGACATATACTGATATCTGATACCGAAACTTACGTTAAGTCCTCTATAAGGTGGACAGCGATCTTTGTGCGTCCCTTCTACGACCAAAAATGCGACCAGGACGCTCAATGGTCGCCAAAGAAAGAAATTTGTGGTTCAGCATGAATGCTTCTGCGAATAGTTATTCTTATATTTAACTTATTCCCAGAGTTGGTGGATGGACTTCATTCATTTTGTTGACTTTTATGATACCTACAATTTTCGAGTGACTTTCTAATGTGGGCATGTTCATTAGGGACAAGATCTAGATTACTATCGACTGTGTCAGTTCTGTAGTGTTCTATAGTGTTCTTATTACTCCAAGTTTGGGTATGAGTGGGTGGTGGGAGTGAAATTGTAAATAGTGGTCCGTGTGTGTTGATTTACGCGATCTCATGTACCTCCTTGGTTTTCGGCACACCTGGGTGGGTAGGGTGCCATCCCTAGCAACAGAGAGTAAACAGTTAGGGCATTGTCTTTGCTTTCCTCTTGAGTGAACTTAATGTTTTATCTAGGCTGTTGATATGGTTGAAAAACCGCCCGAAAAACGTGTCGTCAACAAACCGGTTACACAGTCTGGGTTTGGTGCCACCAAAAGATGTTAGTGCTTCTTGTTCAAAGCTTCCCTTACACAGGTTGGCAACAGTGGGTGAGATTGAACTGAGATGGGACAGCCATGTAGCTGAAAGAATTCCCCTACAAATTCCACTATATTGTCAACGAGTCTCGGGTGGAGACCGCAACGTCGTTCAGTTATTTAACAAGGTAGTTGTGTGACATGCCTACAACAATAAAAAACGAAAATCAATACTCGCTCGATGCTTTATAACAGCATGAAAAAACAGTTGCAAGTAATTTTTTTAAATAATCAGTGATTTTTAACAGAACTGTGCAGATTGTCTTTGATTTATAAAAGCTTTGACTCGAGGATGTGTTCAGTACACAAAATGCGCTTGACACGACAATCACTGTTCTTACTCGGGCATTCATTGATATAAAAACCTTCATTGATATAAAAACCTTCATCATTCATTCACAGATTTGGTCGGTCTTATAGATTTCCCAGATAATTATAATGTTTAGTGGTCATCGTAAGGAAATAGGTGCATGTTAGTTTGATGCCAATAAGTCTTTTGATGCCGTGAAGTTCTAACCATATTACACCAGGATATGCCATACTTAGTACCGTAATAATAATAATAAGAGGATGAGAGATTCTTCGTGGCTGGAGCCACGGTCACATTACCTGAGAGTAGAGCATATATTTCATATCGTTATTGAGGATATTGATGTTGTATACAATTGATGGTGGGCATAATCAGGGAGACCATTTTTCGAACCTCACATTAAGTAAGCATCTACATGTATGACTGTAAAAGATAATATATTTTCATTCACTAATAAAGATAAGTTTAAAGAATTTGAACATGTTTTTAATTATTCTTACATTTACCAAACGTCAGAAGGAATATCAAGCAGTATTTTAGAGACTTAAGTGTCATTTTCATGAAGTGAACGTGACTCTAATGAAACACATTATGTCATATATGTATACATACTGTAAAAACACTTCTAACGCTGGTGAAAGAAAATATTCACAACAACAAAAATATCTTACTATATTTGTTTTTAATTGTACGATGGTTCTCTCTAGAAACTTTCTTATGCTCAATGCAGTCAAGATTTTAAAGTTTGAAAAATATTGATATTGAAAAGAAACCTCAATTAAAAAGAAAGGAAGTTAAATAGGTCAACAGACATGTATGTTTGATTTCTGAGTTAAATAATGTGTTTTTTTTTATTTTGCAGGAAATACCAGAGAGTTTGTACAGACAGACTCAAGTTGAACTGAATAGATTAGGAAACGGAAGAGTACGTATTGCGATGCAAAAACCAGAGATTCCTATGCCTTGTCGGTTGGGTCATTGCGTCAATTCCGATAAATATGCACTTCGCTTGTCACGCCCGAGGCGACGGAAAAACCAGATAACATTACCACGCTCACTTTGGCCTGCCTATCAACTTTTTTTGGGATCTTTGGCTCAGGTTTGTAACACGCTGTTTATGTTGTGAACAGTTTTGATTTATATTCATTTATCATAAAATTCTGTCAAACCGAAATTTAGCAAACAATTTTAGGACAAACTTACTAAAATTTGTAGGGTACGCAGATTATATTTTTCTTTTTTAATACGAATGGCGAATCCGGAGGGGGGGGGGGGTCATAAGATGCTAGGGGCGATTACTCGTTGTGCCCCCACCCCTCCGGATTCGCCATTCGTATTAAACATTATAATTATCTATACATATCATTCCTTAAGGAATCAATGGACGACTTGGCGGGATCGAATGAAGGTGCGAAAGAAAGCGAGGCCAACGAAAAGCGCAAACCAAGTCCGGGAAGGGGATCAGGTCAAGATATGACTAATCATGATTTTGACTTGAATGCGATAGGGGCGTATTATCATGTATGTTCTAGTGTAAGCGACTTCGAAATCATATCTGTTGCTATGAATGACAATCTGGATGAAGTTCAAGTCTTGCCGAATACTTGGGTTTTCACTACAAAATGCCGGATGCCAAGTCATTCTTGTTACGGAATTGGTAAGTTACTATGTTGAAAATTGAATAAGTTTCTATTACAATATTTTAAAAAATATGATACCTACAGTTTAGTATATTTTTATTTAGCATGTCCTCATTGTTTATTGAATAATTTGTTAAAGTCTTTTAATTGGGGGAGAAAATGAATTAATGCGTCTCGAACCTCTTTCTTCCCGCCTTGTGTATACTACCAAGACATTATAAAAGTGCGTGTCGGTGTCGGTAATGTACGCGGGAGACTGCAAATGGCACATGATTACGTTGAGCACCCGTTGCGAATGAAAAAACAAAGAAGAATTGGAACACAATCTAACATGATTATCTGCTGCTTTGCTCGGAAATCGAGAAGTGCATATGATAACGTAGGCTTTTCCTTTCTGTCACCTGAGGGCGTAATGATAATATAACCACGTTGCATCACACCCTGTGCATACAAAATCTCACTCTACAGCAAGTCCGACTCCCACAACTTTGTGACAATCAATAACTCATTCCGGGGCTTCCGAAGTTGTCATTAACTTTCCATAACTTCAGATATGACATTCATAAGATTAGTAAATGAATACTTCACCTACATTGATGGTTACAAATGACATATTGCACAAACAAATTCTAATTATAGAATGTAAGGGTTTCAAATATTGCTGTTGTGAAGTAGGTTACACGGGCTGGTTTATTGTTTTGCAGGCCCTGGATTTGAGTCTCATTGCGAGCAGATGAAGACATGGGTGCAAGCACTTGCCAGGCTAAATAAAGAATCCCCGTGGCAGTGGCATTGGATAACTGTAGATTCTTCCTGCAACTGCGGTGTAAGACCAAAGGCACCGGAATACAAGAAAAAATAAGATGGGTTTGACCGGGGCCTAAAACTTAGGCCTTGTCATATGAAAACGTTACTAAGGATGCAATGAAAACATTCTCTTGGTGAATTAAGACTACGATACTACAGTGACTATAGTGTATTAACAACATCCTTTTTGTTTTTGGCAATTTATACAGTATATACGAATTATTCACTAATCTGTTGGGGTTTCATGAAAGAAAATCAACAGAAATGATTGACCATATAAGCGGCATTCATAATGTGATGTCTTTATATCTGTTAGCTTCTTCTTGTTAAAAGTACATGTTCATCTTTCCGTGGTGAATTTCTGTTCTTGAAGAGTTTGTTTTTGTCCTTTTTTGCAGGTAAGAATTGGACAAATAATTAAGTGAGCACCAAAGTGTAATAAAACAGGTTAAAGATGTTATTTTGATTTCACGTCATGTAGCATGAAAAGTCTTTAAAAGTTGACTGGTTGGCTCCTGTTATTGTTTCATTCTCTGCATGAAAGAGGCGTTGACTACAAATACGGCTGAAAAAAAAAACACCAACATTTGATTAGGTACACCATGCAGGTGCATTTCAAGGCGCCCTTTCGTAACACCATAATGCAAAGTACACTCGCATCATTTTCCGTGGAATGAATGACAAGAACGTCCCACTCATATACTACATCGTCAACCATGGCCTAACGACAATGCTGCAACTGTCGTTTGAATGTTCAAAAAAACAATAAAGAAATGCCCGGAAATGCACCTTCTGTGGCATATGTTGTCGTGTGTCTGTGCAATTAAATCTTTGGACCACCATGGGTCCGAGCAATTGAACTTCACAACAAACAAAAAAACAAAAAGTTTACTGGGTCTTACCAAGGAGTTATAACTCCTTGGTCTTACTGGAAGCTTAAGTCAGACAGTAGTGAAAATATTTTGCAGCCTGCGAATAAACTTAACAGTATTTACCAAGTTATAACACTTATGTTTTCATATGTCGTAATCTGTATGAGTGTAACAAGTCATAAAGTTTTACTGGTTAGATATTGAAGCAATTACTCACTTAAATCTGAATTTAACACAGAATGTTACCCGTAGCTTTCATCCATAGTATCAAGAGGAATGTCAACTGGTACTACAGAATGTGCTTTTTAACGTAGGATAACTTGTAAACAAGCAATAACATTCTGAGTGCCAATACTGTTTGTACACTTATATTGTATTTCTATTGTGCGTTATCTAAACGAATCTGTTTTGCTTGCCGCGGTCGATAATTCTAATCAGTTTCATCTTCGTGGAATGTAGATAAGTGCGGAGTCGCTAGAACAAAGTGACTGATAGCGTTTTAAGTCAAGATCGAGGTTCACCAACTAACTGAATCGCTAAATTTGAACTTGACTTTTCCATTTATGCAGTCCATGATAATCGGTTTAACCTTGTAGCTGTGGTTTTCTTGAATGGGCGAAGTATTCAAACATTGCCCTACATATTAATGGTACTAAATGGCTTTTTTTTTGTCATTTGCTTTGTCGACCTCAAAGAAGTTGCAGATGTGATACCAATGACCTAAAACAACTTCTCCTTATTCCTGAGAGAATATGTTAACATAAAGTGTAACAATATGCAGATAATGTTATTATATATAAATTTTCTCTTTTACACTGTTGTGTAATTTAACATAGTAATTCCTCCGATGGTATGAATTCCCTAGATCTACGATTTTCAATTGTAAAAACTGCGCAGGGCAAAAATGTAATATAAGAATTGTTCAATAGTTATTTCCGTTAGTCGCATGGTAAAATGTATAATACTTCTATAAACGATTGTGCTACATGCGATTGTTCCGATGTGTGAAGTGTCTATTTAAATGATGAATGATTTCCGTATCATCATTATATTTGTATACAAGTGAGTGTTTAAGTCATAGTTGTCTTGACATGACTGTTGCATGACACAAAAGTGTCTATAGAGAAGGTTGGCTTTTGGGAACAGCTTCGCGGAAACTTGCATCTCCATTTGTATTTTTTTCATAGATTAAATGAGTTTTATACACCTGGGTACCTTTAAAGGAAGCATGCTAGTTAATTGAATCCCGTGCGTAAGGAAATCGGTCACAAAGAACAATCATTTAAGAAGTATGTAAAGACGAGACAGGATTTTGACGAGACAGTCTTTTTTATGGGAGGGAGGAGGATGAGATGGTTATTCACCTCATTTTTCATTGATTGTTTTCATCGGATTAAATCCCAAGAGAAGACGTGGGCGTCTTTCGGCGTCTAAATATCATTGTGCACGACGATCATTGGTGATACATGTACAGTAGGAGATATACTTGAGATACTGATAATAGAGTCCTTTCCAGATTCAAACCCTGAACTTCACATTCCGGCAAACATTCTTATCCACAAGAAAGAATTCGTTTGCTTTAAAAGGCCTGTATAGGTGGCAAGGTTCACAAGATGGTCCACACCGAACTTAGGGTGCCACAGGATTGGAGCAAATTCTTCGTTCGTTGTTATTCCAAACAAAGTTTATTGTGGAGTTTTCATACGCAAAGACCTAATAAGCGCCGCATTTGGACTTACATATAATGTTTTTTATTGTTAATACCTAATATAACTATAAATAATAACCAGATGTTTAGTCCGAGACAGGGGCATGTTCAGTCCCTAGAAAACGTACGTATATAGATTTGAGGGGCCCGACGTGACTAGACTTTTAGATCAAAATCTGTGTCCACTTTGATGCGAGATGAATTGATAATAGTCCGATTCAATGGGATAAGCTACTTGCTGCTACTGCACCTCTTTAATAACAGGAGAGATCAATAATTACTTTATTCAAGTCGACTGCTATGGCTTGACTTGAATAGAAATAGACTAAATATTAGTCTAAGAGTTCACACTAAACATTGGTGAAAAGTCCCTTTGCAAACCCGCCCTCAGATCTAGTATACCTCTAAAAATTTAGATCAATTATAGCCGTTTTGTAAAAAAAAAGTCCCGTGGGGTATTTTGCCGTTCAACCGGACAGTGTCGGCAATGTAACCTGTCAGAAAAACACATCAACATACTACGCACTCACTAGTAGTCCGTCTACTTGAAAAGCGAAACTCGTGAATGCGAGAACACATTTACAGTAGAGTGACATATTCATGAATAGTCACAAGTTTATAAACGCCTCGTCGCTTCTCGATAGGCACCGTCATTAAAGACCGGTATGTTAAATGCAATTTCGTATGAAATGGCAGTAATAATAACAACAGTTTGAGGTATCTACAACATCACCCTCACCTATACGACAACTTTCTTCTTTCAGCCTTCTGTAGGTGTGTGTCAAGCACCTGTTGCTTTATGGTTACCATTTCTTTACACCCCTCAAGGACGAAACGAGCGCATTCTTGCCAGGACCATTTTTATATATCTGACAAGTCCCAGGGCGTGAAAATAAAAACCAATTTCCATTAAAAGTTTATTAAACAAATAACAAGAAAATAAACAAATGGAATAAGGAAAGTGTTAACTACGACCCAGTAAACACTGGGTCCTAGGTGTTAGTGTGGAGTTTTAGCATATAGGCAAAGCCAGTCATCATGCTAAACTTTTACATTCTCATGTGCTGCCTGCCCCTAAAAGAAATAACTAGTAGGCTTAATTACTTTTTGAAAGCTACATAGCTCGATGCACAAAATAAAAAACACACACCGAAGTAATAGTACATGTAGGCTTCCTCTTCTAAGAAGAAAGGCACGGCGATGCTAACACCGCTCATTGTCGGGAAAACAACGCTGTCACTAACTTGACAGATACACTATAGAATTCATTATAGTTGTTCCGGGGTAAGGACAATCTAATGTCCCCCCTCCTCTGGCAAATCGATAACTAAAGCCATTACAAAATCGATGAAAGATTTGAAAAAAGAAAACTTTATTAAGACCCGAGAGAGAGAGAGAGAGAGAGAGAGAGAGAATTAAGAGAATTAAGACTTGGTACCAGTATATCGTGATCATAAAGTTACTATTTCAGTCGACAGATGAGCTGACAATGTAAATGACACACATGTATCATTCATGGATGGTTATAGTGCACAAAACTATGAAACTGTGCTCACGTTTCCCTTTTATTAAACGGTAGTGTTTTTTGCATTTGTTTCAACGGCTGGGTACTCAAGGGAGTTTTTTTTAAGGAATGCAATGGGCAGAGGCCTTTATAGGGAAAAAATCCTGAAATTGTTTAACAATTATCACTAAGGTATACCTTATCCAACCCCGGTGAAAAAAATTGCCATCAATAAATCCGTTTCCGAGTTCTTCAGTTCAAACTTACTTGAGTGTCTCAAAAACTACAGATTTGGAAAATTCGAGCACAAAGACGTTTAGGGTTAGCCAAAAGTAACGTGGAGGGGAATGTCACCTGCTGCAAGCAATGGAAAACAGACTTCCATTAATGTCACACTTAACTGCTTGAAATATATATATACCGGATCATAGTGAAGAAAAACAATTAAGTATTTTATTACTTTATTAAAAAGTCGGTACCATAGTATTTGATCGTTATTTACAAAAATTTTATGGGTAATATACAAGTTACTTATTTACTGTCAAAGTCGAATGTCTATATTTGTTGAGATTTATTGCTCATCGTGGCTGGATCTTATATACGCAATCCAGGCGGGTGAATATTCTATTCCACATTGGATCACGGGTGATTATTCAATGGTTAGCTCTATCTAAAATATTTTGTATGTACAAAAAGTCCCAATATTATTTATATGCTTATTAAAGCAACACGATCAGTCTGCTATATGCTTAATATACATTCCTAGCTGTCACTTGATGTAAAAGAAGGTACACTATGAAAACAATTTTGCAAGTGATATGCATAAAACTGAAAGTCCAAAGGAAAATGTCGCTGAACTGGCACCATTACACTCGTCAGTAGTACACGTGCATTTGGTGACCTTTTGGTTTCCCTGCCACTGTTCATCGCATCGGTTGTTTCCGCGACTGGTGAAAGCGCAGTCCCTTGAAACGGTGTATTTTCCTGAGTAAAACAGAGAGAAATGTGTTAATTCGTGCTAATATATTTGAAAAGGTAACAATTATATAAATCAAAGGTGGGCAGACACCAAACTTAGGGAAAAGCTTGTTACTTTTAGTTTCAGGATGTATAGAAAATGTAGGTGTGAGAAAATAGATACCGTTTTCTTCCTGTACAACTTTCTGGCAACCACTGTCACACAACTTAATCACACTATATGTGAACTCGCAGTCAAGGCAGAAGAAACAGCGTCTCCCTGTAAGAAATAATGACGTAAAATTGATTTTATCTCTGATAATTACACTTCTTCCATATTCTTATTGGACACGTCTTTCCCCAAATGCTATGCTTGAGATAGTACACCGTTACCCAAACAATATATGCCAGAACAGTTCGCGTCTCTGCGAGAGCTGTTCAATGCAAATATCGCGAGAGGGTGGCAGTGTATTGTTTGACAAACATACCAAAGAAAGTAAAAGCATTTTACCGAAAAAAACGTAAAACCAAGTAAAGGGTATATCGCCAAGGTCATATAACATCGATCTCTATGAATGTATCAGCACACACTTAACTCATCTCCAGCGCTTTTTTTAATCACATTATGATACATTTTTTTTCAAAAATGGACTGTAAATTTTATAAACATAGGATACAAGGAAAATGCTATGAAAACGATGTCTGAAGTTTTGAAAGTAAGGAAACAGTACGTTATGGAGATGAATGTGATAAAATTAGTAAAATCAATTAATCGTACGGCATTTAGCTCTTGGCCCTTCATCTGATCCGTCTCCACAGTCATCTATTCCATTGCATAGAAGATCCTTGTTTATACAGCGCAGGTTGCCACAGATGAACTTCGTATAGTCACAGAAATTGGGAGGGTCTTGGCACACACCTACAATATGCAATTTAACAACATAATTACACACATGTATATATTTAGGCCTACATTATCCCCAGAGCAGTGTAATAACATATTTATGAACATGTTACACTTGTCTTCTGATCGTAACATATTCACGCTTTGGTTCATTGCAATTGTATTCTACCGGTGAAGGGTTTTTCACGGGTTTCGAGTGTACATTTGACGCCCAAGATACGAAGGTGCTAACAGCAAGTCTCGTTTTTAGTGTTTTGTCCTGGTGCCATCAGAGCGTCTATTACTAACGCGCTCATAATAGGTACGTGTCTTAAGATACTTCTATTGCCACGTGTACTCCCGACGTTTAATTATTAAAAGGAGGCCCCAAGTTAAACTACTCTCCCTTAATTATAAGTGCTTGCTCATGCGGAAGTTGTGCAGCTTGTACTACTAGTAGTTATGAACTATAATGATATATGAAATCAAATATGGCGGACTCCACTTAGATGTTTTAAGTTAAAAGGCGAACTATTTTGTTTATGATATTTTTCAAATGATTTTGATGTCAAAGTAAGAAAAAAATGAACATAATGTAGACAAGATTCTTCTTTTGTATATCATTTGTTCAATAAAACGAAAAGTTTAAACTCGTCTCTTAAGTTTTTGTAAACAATGATGGGCACTTCCTAAACTGAGGGGAGTTTTGAATTAAAGCCATACCCACATGTAACCGAAATCGTTAATATAAAGTAAAATCAAAAACTTGACAAAGGAAGCATGACTGACATGTTTAAGCCATATCAACATGGCAAAATTCAACAATGTATGTGTATTAGCTAGTATATGAATATCCTTATTCAACAATGGTAACGAATTCAAATCGCTGTGACCTAGTTACTTGCTACTTTTAAGTTTAACTGATACAATACCTTACCTGTGTGTAAAACCGTGGCTATAAAAACGATTAAAACAGCCAATATAGTGTATGAGCACCACTTTCCCATCTCGGATCTTCTTGGTCGTAAAAGGAATTCTTAAACCATCTGAAAACTACACTTAGATCTTCCAAGCTCTGTAAGACCTATTTTGTCACCCGCACAGGTGTGATCAAGATGGCGGCTGCTTTGACAAAACAGGTAAGAATTTGTTTTTCGATTGTGGTAGAGGAGAATATGGCCCTGTGTGTACCTGACTCACGGAATTATTTTCTTATGACTCATGTCCAAAGGATAATATAAAATATGTTTACTTAAGATAGAACCATCATAGTTATTCAATGATCTACTCATTTTTTACTTATAGCAACGCAGTAGTAGTTTAAGACCTCCGAGGCTTCTTCACCACACGTAAAATATCAGATTGTTGAATTTGAAGGATTAATATACATCCAAAAATTTTTCTTATTCCATAAGACACTATTTTCAAATGCCATAACAATTGCATTTTATCCACTGCTGATACTGTTATGTCTCATTGAATCCTATGGAAACCTGCGTTAAAAAGTTTTCTGCACTGCTACTTTTATTTGTTGTAAACGTTTTTCCTGCATAAAATAAGGAAGCACCCCTGCCCAATGTGTATAAGCAAAAACGTTCATAATTTAAAAAACCGTGCTGTCTCTTCGACAATATCCATTAGTTGACATCTAAATTTCGTCACGAAGCGAGAAAATAAAATGCCCCTTCACGTCCAGCCATTTTGATGTTACGTTTTAAATATTGTTTACTGATATTATTGCCTGCTGAATTTTGTCCTGATAACGCTAATATTGTTTTTTTTTAAATTATCTATCACAGCTAGGCATTAAATATGTTTAAGCATAAATATCATGTCAGAAAAAGGAATTTATCTGCTAAAATTTATTCATTCGTTTTATGTACAACATATTCATCATTCTACCTAAAATGGGATGTTTGCATTTTCTCCAAAGCGACAATAAATAGAATAAATTTATCAACTATTTTGTATTTCTTTATCTTATTCTCTGTCACGTCTGTGAACTTATCATCTTCCTTGGAGTTACAAAATTATGGATTGAATCGTACTTAAAAACACAAACTTATCTATATTATACGGATTATCATATAATATCCTGATATCTTTCAATATATACGACCAGTCCTAAGCAGGCAAATTTTGTCAATTTGCACCATCAATATCAAAGTTATAAAAGCTTTTTCGGACATTGTCCTTTTCATTAATAAATATTCCAGTACTAAAACGCTGATCTGGTATTTCAATCTTAATTATTCTTAATCTTAATATGAAATGTACGGATAAACAGGATCAACAGAGAAAAATAGACGAAAGTCAATCTTTTGTTGTTTTCACTGTAATATGCACCAAATGTTGAATTCATAGACATACAATTATATTTGGTTATAAACCATTTAGAATACCACTGTACATGCATGGTTTAATGTTTCTACATCTTGTATTTACAAAACCAGAAAGCTTTTTGATCACATCAGTATAAAATATGGTCCTTGGAAAATATGAACGACTATCAAAGTCAATCATATCACATATGCTTAGTAAAAAAAGTGGGGACAGCCACAATGGACGCATTACAGACTGTACAGAATGAACTTATAACAGATACTTTACAAAAAGTGCAGATAACAAAGATAACCCAAATGAAATGGGAGTAATTGTTACTGCACTGGAAAGAAGTACGCTGATTCCCTGGGCAATGTTACAGTCATTGGTTGTACACATGCAAGTAGTCACTCTTGTCGATCCCTTCCAGCTCTCGTCACATCGATTTAGCTGTGTGAAAGAGCAACCCAGTGAAACTGTTTTTCTTCCTGAAAAGAAGAAACACACGAAATTTGAATATATAAAGCGTGTTTCATTTTAAAAAGAGCAAAAGTTTTTTTGTTCATTTTTAGTGTGATTTCATCGTGGGTTTGCTAATGCTTTTTGTACGTGATTTAAATGCGACATATCATTTAGGAAAATGTTCAATTTGTACCCGGAACTTAAAGTGGTACATTCAGGTCGGAAAAAAGTATAAGAAAAAATTGCGTCTCACCTTCAAATTCCTGTACTATTTTCGAGCATCCATAGGGACATAAACGAAATCTGGTTTCTGCTTTCTCAGGACAATCAGAGCAAGAGTAACATCGATAGCCTGCAAGTCAAATTTGAAAACCTTGACATGTTTTCTTGTGCAAATAAAATATGATGAAACTCATATGAAAATAAAAAACTAATGATAAAAAAAGACAATAAAATATTTATTTCAAACTTCATCTGAGTAAAAAGCGGGGATTTATAATTATTTCTAATGACGCCAAAACTGGAAATGCAAGGTTTTAAACATATAAAACATCAAAGGGGGATGAGATGAATAAATATATTTAGCATTTTGAGTTTTCTTACCGCAACCGGCCTCTGGGCCTTCATCGGAGTCATCGGGACATTCGAATATATTGTTGCATTTTAGTTCGTTTGGAATACAGGTTGATCCATCAGCGCAGGAGTATTGGTCCGGCGGACAGTAACAATGGGCTGTAATATAAATGGAAATTTTAACACTGATTTTAATATACTGTACTCTGCACAGCTTAGCTCATAGGGGGATTTTAATAGTTTCTCACATTATGAGTAAAATAGGCAAAACTCCTAAAATATCCAACACTCGTACTTTGGTACTACATGTAGGGACGTCATTTTTACAAACGCGTTGCACTTTTTCTTGTCCTATAAAATCAAATGACAACTAGGATGATGTTGCTTATCAGAAGAACAGTCATCCAGACATGCAACGATCCTTTTTCTTTTGGTGTATAGGCCTACTGTTTAAGCCAGCTTAAAAGCATTGTAATATTTTGTGTATGTCTTAGAATAAAATAAATTAAACTCGTATTAGAGTTATTATTCTATGTAAGGAAATTTACGCTGATGAGGTTAAGAGTTCCTTCTTTCAGTGTTAATGTGTACCACGAAAGACTTAATGCTATCATATTTGAAACCTTGGTTCCGTTGACCTGATTTAAGTTACGAAATCTAGCACAGGTGTATCATTTTACTTACCTGTCTCCAGAAAGATACAAAGTATCAAAAAGCAAAGGAATAGTAACCCTTCCGAGCACCACGACATATTTTTGGTGCCCCTTCCTACTAATATTCCACCCCTAAATCGTCCACAACTCTCAAAATGGCGGCGTCATATACTTGACCTCTCGCTGAGCAATACGACCTACATTAAGTCTTTGTTGTGCGTCAACAGGTATGCTGTGGCGGTTAAGGTAGAAATTAGCATATGAATTAGTGCGATAGTTGAGACTGTTATCAAAGAGGGTACTGACGGATCTCTTTCTGACGTGATTATATTTATTAGGTCTTTTTGATTCGATAAAAAGTAAAAACAGAAATTGCATTATGTATTTTTGTAAATGAATTAAAATGCATATTAGATGGGACTTCGTGGTTTGGATTTCTACTACTTATTTCACCTTGAAATAAAGTTCTCGCTTGTTTTCAATCAAACAAATATTTCCCATTAAAAAAATTATTTGGTTAAGAAAGGACAACAATGCAAGAACAAGGCAGCAAAGCTGTCAAATGTACAGACAAAAAACAGAAAAAAAAGATGCAAAAGAGGTCATTTTGTCAATTTTGATGCAACAATAAATAATGNGACGACGGCGACGACGGCGACAGCGACGACGGCGACGACAGACGCAGATGATGGCTATATGTACAGACACATCTGTGTCTGTACATAAAAAGATGTTGATATGAATGTGCCCTTGCGTCGTTAATGCATTGATGTGATAGACTAGGGCACGTTTCATATTCTTGTGAAAGATGAGGTTAAAAAACTATTAAATCTGAATCATAGCATGGTAAAAATGATGTAGCACTACATAAATCTATACATTAGGCAATTTTGATATCTGCAGTTTAATCATTCTGAAAATTAGTACATGTACCAAACAGATGCACAAAGCTTTAATTAAAAATCGATTAAATAAAGGTGTATTCACTGATTTAAAAGTGCTTATAGTTACAGTATCATTATCTCTCAGTGTCTCACACGTGATACACAATATCAAGTATCGTTTTTTGATATGGGGCACAAACACAATAGTGTATTAAGCTTGGGGTGAATGTGAAGTACCTTAATAATTTACTTTCCCCTCCACCCTTAGTTGAAATAGCAGGCAGCATACAAATACTGTATACAATGTAGATAAATTGTTGAAATGCTCATACAAAAATCTATTTGTTCAAAAACCCAATTTTTCTTCTTATGCAGCAAGTGTTCACTGCGTACAAATACAACAGGCTCTACTTAATTCCAAAGATGAATTTTAAATATTGTATATTATAAATACTGCATGAATATCTCTACTGATAAATAATCATATTTGAAAATGCGTATATTACACTTTCAGAGCTCTAATATTTTAGATATTGCATTATTAAATATTGTATATTATAAATACTGCATGACTATATCTCAACTGATAAATAATCATATTTCAAAATGCATATATTACACTTTCAGAGCTCTAATATTTTTAGATATTGCAGAGTAAAATGTTTACATTCACATTATACAAACATTTTGCACAACCTCATCCTATATATGGAAATGAAGCACTCCTCTATCTGCAAATGGCATTACTAAGATAACTTTAATCTGCATATACATTTATCATTTTTAAACTTGTAAAAAAAAAAAAAAAAGGCTAGAGAGATACTCACAGCTTATTCTTACAACATAGCATGTGTGACAACTAGCATCTGCAAACTACTAGTTCTCTTATGCTTCATAAAGTCTACAAAATTTTCATTTTTTGTTTTTTTAAATCATTATTATTATTATTATTATTTTTAAACGGGATAAGCCTTCCTATTGTACATAATAAGAGAAAAAGAATTTTGTCAGTTGTTTCCATTATATGTTTACTTATAGGTATACTATACTTTTTCCCTGCCATATAAAATTTTCCTAAAAAAAATAAAATAAATAAATAAATAAAAATAATAAATAAATAAATAAATAAATAAGTAAATAAATAAACATTCAAAAAAATCTTCACTAGCTGAAACAATATAAATGATAACAAAGGAGGGTCTTACTGTTTTATGCTTACAAATTTTAGTTGGGCTAACTGAATTCAAAATTGATCCGGGAAAACATGTTTTGGTAAAAAGTTGAATTTACATTAACTATGAAGATGACATCATTTCATTCTTTAAGAAAGAATTCAAAAAGCATGTCCATTAAAATTAATTTCAATGGAGTATTTCATGCCAGCAATCCCATTCAAGAACTTTGCAGTAAACATCTTGAAAAAAAAATCACATACAAACTTAACACAGATTCATAATATCCTATACTCTAGTTTTAGATGATAAACATTCATTATAACATGAAAACAGAGAATTGCCAGGTCTTCTGTCACAGGAAAATATACATTGTACATATCCATAAATCTATACATAAAAAATAAAACCATAATGGCTCTAGGAAAAAAGTTTGTGTCAATTATTCTGATCTACATACATGTACAGCACACTCTGCATAACAATTCAATTTAGGCAATTTCAAAAAGAAAAAATCTTCACCACAAAATCTGATTGTATTGTTATAAAGTGACAAGTAACATGGAGACAGCTTTTATTGTATATTTTTTATGATTTAACAGTCTGAAATCACAAATGGACCACTCTGTATTCACACAAGTGTTGATCTGCCAGCTGGCTTGAAGACCACTGTCATTTTGCCCTGTGCAAGGGACTCTTGAACATCGTTAAGCTGACTGTTCTTACATTTGTTTTCAACAGCACACTGCCAAATAGAAAGATATCAGTATAGTCATTTGTAACTGTAATTGTCACCCTGAATACTGGAAACCACAGATGGGAATTGTGATCACAAGTTTCTAATCTATGAACACAGAGCAGTTATTTTATGTCTGCACATCATTTTTTTCTCTAGACATGGTTTTATGCAAATGTAATGCCCTTTAATTTCAGACTTTGAAAATCCATTCTCATTTCTAAGTATTAGTTTTTCATTCATTACTCTTATACGGTAATTTAAAAAGTCTTGCAAAAATACTTCATATCAAAAGAATCTATTTTTTAGCTTTTTTTAAAGTTGAAACTTACTTGTTCCTGTTGATCAACTCTGCTTTTCTTGAAATCATTTGGAATGCTTGATTTACTGCAAGATAACATCCCTTGTTATCTATGTTTGATCCCAATAATATGTTTACACTTTATACAAGTATGAGACAAAGCAAAAAACATTACTGTCATATGAGAGAGAGAGAGAGAGAGAGAGAGAGAGAGAGAGAGAGAGAGAGAGAGAGAAGAGTGCAAACCTTCCTCTGGTTGCTTCACATCTTCAACCTTTATGTCATGTGACTGGGTGTGAGAAGTATTACACCCCATTGGGACAGATCAGCCAAGAGCAATCTCCTAATCCTTTAAATTGCTGAAGGTTCAATAAAGATATCAGTTATAGATAAAGTGATGCATGTATTTATCTGAGCTTCACTCAATCCCGTATATCAGAAAAATAAATCCCCAGTTGATGCCACTACAGAGNGAGAGAGAGAGAGAGAGAGAGATGCCATTAAAAGCTTGAAATATGTGGGAAATACTTTGATTTTCAATTTTGTAATAATAATAAAGTTACTAGAAATCACATGTAAACCCAAATCTACCTCTCCTTTTGCTATTAATTTTTATTTTCTATTAATTTCATTTATTATAAACTGTTTAATGGCCTTACCATAATTTCTCTGGGTGAATATTTTCAGCATTTTCATTGTCTGATGACCACTCTCTCTTGCCTGGTGATCTCCTCTTGCTGGTAACAGTATCAACAGGTTTGTCAGTCTCATTTTTGATGCTCTGAGTAGGCTGAGTGTCTGCCATTGTTATTTCTGAAGAATTTTTGTCTTGAGACAAAAACGTTGTTTTGGACACATGGTTAGCTGTCAGGGGAAGCAATGCATTAGGGATGCGTCTTCTTTGGACATCAACATCTTTAATGTGTGCCTCACATGATAAGTGATCTGTTGGTGAACAATCATTGGTGCTTATCATGGGAGTTAGATCAGCTGCCTTCCAATTATTTTCATAAGATGGCACCTTTTCCTGGACCTTTTGCTGAATCCTGTTGTTGTAAGATTTAGTGTTGTCTGATAGCTGGTCACATGCATGCAGCGATGTAGTTCCCTGGTGACTGCCGTTGGATTGCCATGGCTCTCTGGTTACAATATTACAATGTAAAGTCAATGCTTTGCCCTGGCTGGCACTGGGCTGTGATGATATATCACTTAAAGTGTCACTCTGCAGAAAAGGTATTTGGTCCTGGAAGACGCTGGATTTGATTGACTCTGTACTGACCATAAGGTGTGGCACTACTGCTGTGTCTTGTCTGGTGCTGGATTGAAATGACATCAGATTGACAGTGTCATAAGATGGTACTGGTGCTGCATCCTGGCTAGTGCTTGGTTGTAATGACAGAGTGCTTACAGTGTTGTTAGATGGTACTGGTGCTGCATCCTGGTTGGTGCTTGATTGCAATGACACTATACTGACAGTGTCATAAGGTGGTACTGGTGCTGCATCCTGGCTAGTGCTTGATTGCAATGACACTATACTGACAGTGTCATAAGGTGGTACTGGTGCTGCATCTTGGCTAGTGCTGGATTGTAATGGCAGGGTGCTGTCAGTGTTGTTAGGTGGTACTGGTGCTGTATCCTGGTTGGTGCTGTCATAGGGTGGTGGTGGTGCTACATCATGGCTGGTGCTTGGTTGCAATGACACTATACTGACAGTGTCACAGTGTGGTACTGGCATTGTGTCCTGACTAATGCTGCATTGCAATGGCTCTGTTGTGACAGCATCTACAAAATGAGAGTTTGCAGTTTTTGACAACACCATATTCACATTGTCACAGGACACAAGTGGTATTTCACTCTGGCAAATGTTGCCTTCAGTTGACACTGGGTAGATGGTGTCACACCCATTGGGTGGCGTTTTTTCCAGCTTGTTGCATGGCTGTGATGATTTAGCATCATTCAAAAGCAGCACTTTTTCCTGGCTTATGGTTGGCTGTGAGGTTGCAGTGGACACAGTGTTTTGGTGCCCATTTTCCTGAAACAGAAAATGCTGAATAGAAAGCTATGTATATTAATATACTTAAACAAATGAAAGGAAAACAATTTCTAAAAATTAAAAATTTCATAATCCTGGCTTAATGGTAAAGGGCTCATAGAGAAGAACTGAAAATGCCAATAACAAACTGTTAAATCACATACCTTAGGTACAATGCTGGGTTTAGGCATCACTGGTGGCTTTGGAATAGCAACAGCCCTGAGTGTAGCAGGTGGTCTAGGAAGGCTACCATATCTTCTAACTGTGCTTGGAGAAGCAAAGGACATGCTGTTACTAGTGTCCTTGGTACTTGGAGAAGACCAGGAACTTCTCTTGGAGGTCTGAAATGTGGAACTATGCCCAGTGATGTTTATTGACTCACTGCTCTTTTCATTTTTCTCCAGTTCATGAGCATGGTTGCTCTGCTTTTCAATTACATCTGGGGTATTTTCATGATATTTCCCATTACCGTTGCTCTCTATGTCAGAGTAGACTGTGGAATCTGCACAACTCATGGAGTACCTACTACCCACACTTATATCAGATATCATGGATATGCTGCTACCTCCAAATGTAGAGAATGTTGACAGTGGTCTAGACAGGCCCTCTGTGTACACAGCAGTGTCGGAAAATGATGACATGACTTTATCTCTCCTTGTTACTGAGCCCTCACACAAAGACACACTGTCCGCTTTACACAGTTGTTGCTCATGACTGATTCCTATGTCCAATGACCTGTTGTGGGACCCATGGTCAGTTTGCTCCAAGGAGGAATCGGTCAGGTTGATTGGTACAATTTCCAGTGACTCTGAATCATTGAAGAAGTTGGACACCATACTCCAACGGGAACTAGTCATGGAAGGAGGGATCTGTGATCCAATTCTGGCTGGAAAAATGTCTTCTGTTCCTCTGTCAAAATGAAGTGGTCTTACCCTTTTTGTGCTTCTGTTTCTCTCTGCACTTGAGACACTATGAACAAGAACATACTCATTTTAACTCCAAAAAACACGTGAATACATTCATTGTCATTATAATACATTAGAAGTTATCTATGGTAGCACTCACATTGTTGAGATATTCAATAAAATTAATGAGTTACTTTTGTACTCACGTTTCAAAATCTCCATCCTCAATTACACTTCCGTCAAGGCTTTGTTCATGTCCACATATCACATCATCCAGGACATTCAAGGTGTCCTTTAAAGCATTATCTTCCAAGGAAATAGTAGGACTGTCTGTTGATCCTCCATTACCAGAACTTTTGGTGTTGTCTAGTGGGGAACCTGAACCAATCTCTACATGCAAGTTATTATGCCGACTGGCTGGAGTGGTCTCATCTTCCACAGCTTCTGGAGGCTGAATAACAATATCATTTAAAATATATGTAGGAAAGGTAGACTCAAGTCTAGCATTTTATGCATGTCTCAATGAAGGTGAGATTATAACAAGCAGACAATGATTAAAAGAAGTTTCGTGATCTTCTGTTTGATCAAAACTGTGTTCTATTATAATTTTGATGTCTTTTGATACAATAATTTTGGACTGATTTGAACGGATTTATTGCATCTTTCAAGTACAAGAAAAGGTTTGAATGAGCATTAATGTTACGAAAGTGATTGTATAAACATAATCGAAATAAGCAACATTACTATCTCCTTTACCTGCTCTGTAGATGTAGGCAAGAATATAGGAGGTCTCCTTGGAGGCTGGGGAACTGTGACTTGTCTAAGGGCTGACAGTCCTTTGGGTGTTCTGGACAGAGTACCAGCTCTTCTAATGGTTGGAAATGGGGATGCTGGGGGAGTGTGGCCAAAATCTGATGGCTGGTTGTCTTTTATAAACTCAAAAGCTGAGTCAATGGAACTGGTAGATGTGTTACCGAGATCATCATCTGACCCACTGAAGTCAATCAAAGTCTGCCTTTTCCCAAATGTACCAAAGGAGCTGACTGAGATGGCGTCAGGATCAGGTGACTTAGTGGATATACCCTGGTCATCATCAGGTATGGAGGACAGGCTAAGCATGCTGACATTATCCATATCTGCTAAGCTCCAAAGACTCTTGTTGATGTCAGGTGTAACTGAGGGGCTGTCTGTATCATTCATACTACTGATACCTCTGTAGTACTTCTGTAAAGTAAGCATGCAGTTCTCCTGTATAGCAAGAATGCAAGATGTGCTGTATATCTGCAAAGCCTTTAAGAATTGTTAACATAAATGGAAGCAATCATAAACAATAACATCTTAAATTTAACCCATTCCAGATGCCAAAAGATTTTTCATCTGATATGCTTACTAGTATTAATATTTGATCTGTACTTAGTCATAAATTTCCAAACTCCATCCCAATCCTACAGCCCTGGTCACTTGATACAGTGTGGATTTACAAAACTTCTCATATCCATTCAACATTCAAAAATTTCAAATGTTATAATTATTTAAGCATATAATTCTTGAAATATATATTGGTTTACCTTTGGGAGTGTTTTTTTATTCCATTTCTTAACAAATTTTTTAAACATCTCCTTGGCTTTAGTTGCTGACAGTTCTTCGAATTGCTTCTTTTTCTGAATAAATAATATATCATACAAAGAACATCAACATAAATCTGTTTAAATCAAATTATTTCTGTTACCATGACACACATTTCATTTTACATGCCTAACAATTCTAAAATATCAAAGGGTGTATTCCCAGAGATTTAGATCGATACAGAGATTAAGATTTAAATCGACCTAACTCCCTGGGGATTCACGTTAAATTGCAGTCAGCCAAGTGCGCACCATAGTTAATTACCCCCTTACAGCTTTCAGTAGGCGGGACAGACGCTTAAGCCGGCTAAGCTGACAGTAATCTCGTGAGACTCCCCACAGGGATAGATCAATCTAAAATCTATGGAAATGGGGTCAAAGAGCCAGCAGGACTGGGGCCACAGGTCATGCAACCCTGTGAACTGACAGATTACACAATATAATAAAACTTACTAAGATTACTACTTAATATAAAACTTGAAATAAAAACAAGATCATATTACCTCCTCTTTTAACCATGTTCTAAATTCTGTACTTTTAGACAGAAAGTCTGCCTTACATAGCTTATCTGAAAATATGAGAAATTTCACAGGCTTAACGAAAAACAAAATCTGAAATAAGTTTCACAATACATTTCATTAACAGATTATGCACTCACTTAAAATATCTTTACACATTTTAATTTTAATTTAGATAAATATTTAATGTGGGAAAAAGTTATCATTATAAGAATACTGATAAAGATTTTTATCTTCAATTAACAGCTAAATATTGATATTGTTTACCTGTTGATTGAAGAAAAAATGGCTTTATTCTTATTACATAACACAGCTCACTGCTTTTACTACAACCTCCTACTTTTGAAATATCACCAACAAAAGCCATCTTTATTGAAAACAAGTTTTAGGGATATCAAACATATTGTTAATATAATAATAATAATAACAACTACAATAATTTTAATCCTTACAATGATAATATAATAATGATAATGATGATGACATTTACCAGTCTGTTCACATTTGTTACAAAGGCTACAACTTACATGTTTACAGTAATTTATATAGAGATCAGTTATTTATAGTGCTTACGCTGGACAGTTTTCATGTGAAGTTCTTTTTCTCTTTTCTTCTCCTGGTTAACTTTCTTCTTTGCAGCTAACTGTAATTTCTTTGGTGTACTTGAGGTTTCTAGATCTGAAATGAATTTATAAAATTATGTTTTGGTACACGATACAACAAAAACAGGTAACCTCAGGCCAGAATAAAATGTAACATGAGTAACTGCTTTGGCTGACAATACATTTCCCAAGGGTGGTCCAAAACCTGTTAGATTCTTTACCATCTAAGTTAAGTAGATGTATTGTAAAAATAAAACCATATGAGACTTCAACCATATAAATAACTTGAGTAATTCTAACAAAAACTGAGAAAAAAAAGTCTAGTACACTTTATTCTTAATTGATGTACGTTAAAAAAAAGTAAGAAAGACTCTCACTGAATGTAATCAGATTAACAGACAAACACACATTACCTATATCTAAAATAGGTCTACAATATGGTCCAATAAGTTCTAAGAAACTTTTGGACCCATTTCAGTAAAAACAAAGTTGATATAAGACAAGGAAACAATAAAGAAGAGTGTTCTGCAGAACTACCAACCCTGTTATGTTCTCAAGACAGTTTACCTGGTTGAAACATTTATCTTTAATCTTATTTTACTTTGCATTGTCAGCCGTAAGGTGAGCCGTAATTGATATTTGACACATGCACTACTATACAAAAATCAACTCACCAGAACTTCCCGAAGAACCACCATCATTATCTGAACATGTTGTGGAATGCCCTCCACTTTTATTTGCTCTAAAAATGTAAAAGACAATGATTAACCTTATAAATATATAAACATATAATGCTGCTTGGGAACAATCCTAAAATCAAATTTTAAATTGGGTGTTCTTGCATAGTTCCTCTACTCCATATGTGGTAAAGATCAAGTTTCTATGACATCATTTAGTGGCTGAAAAGCAAGTGGCATCTGAAAAATAAAAGACAGACATTGTGTCACTAAAACTTAAATAAATTTTGATCTTAATGCCATAGGTTAAAAATTTAGATGGTTTAGTCATAATCTAATATACTAGTATGTCGCTATCTGCATACCAAATTTCTCTCAAGCTCAATTAGAAAAAAAAAAAAGATCATGTGTGCATCCTTGCATAAATTCTTCCTACTACCATGACACATGATTTAAGCCTACAACATTTTAATAATAAATAGTTTTTGTCCAAAATGAAACGTGTTAAATGAAGGTTCGAAGTCATTGCCATGTAGCGTTTATTTTCACATTGTCTACAAATCAAATCTACAGTATAATGACAAAATAACGTTACATGCAATATTATCAATGACGAATTTGCAGTAATAACATATGAATGTTTCATTTTTTATCCAAATTCTAATACTAATAAGGTATCCATACCTGCCCATTGTTCTTGCTACAGGTCAATGATATACTTTATTGCGGACCTCGAAAAATGTCCTGATGGCTGACACAGTAAGTTGTCAAGCTGCCTGTATTTTTAAATTTGAAGTAGCCGCCATTATGGAAATGCACAGGCACCTGTAACAAATCAACTATGATTTTGGTTAAATTCAGACAATTCATTCATATTTTGTTAAAAATATTAATACTAATTTTAATAATAAATAATTTGACTAATACATTCTTTTATATAGAAACGATTCTAAACTTTTAGATTAATAAATTATGCCTGTGTCAAACTTTACTGCCGTCTATCGACAATTTTTACGTGACTTAATTTCCTGAAAATGGCTACCACAACACAAACTCGAAGGGGACAGGCAAGTTAATTTTTTAATCAAACTGTATTGCGATAATCAGCAATAAGGCTTTGACATGTTTATTTATTTTCAAGTTTGATTTTTTTGTTTGAATTGTAAATTTTAGACAAGTGTCTCACTTGCTCACGCGTTTTCTTCCGTAGAGTTTATATCGATTCGGAATGCGCAAAATTATATTGAGCTCTGTCAGTAGCCAATACCTAGTAATCTGATTACCATTTAGTGATTTAAACACGTCAGGAGTTGTTGTCTGAAACGCCCTTTACTTTGTTGTGTTTGACGGTTTGTATGGAGTTTTAGTTTTTTATCTTTGGAATAATTTCGGTTTCTATATATAATTACTCACACTCTTTAAGGTCTGTAAGTTTTACTTTGTGCAGCGTAAAAATGCATTCTCTTAGACTTCTGTATATTGTTGATGGTTTGAGCTTGCATCACATTTGTTTAAAATTGCAGATCACATTTGCAAACAGAACTAATATATATTTCATTTATATAAAAATGATATTATCAAGAAAACTGTGGTATTAATAGTACATGTATAAACTAAAGCAAGTGAAACACAGTGCAATTGTACATTTTATCAAATGCAGGTAATGTTGGGGGATTTACCCCAAGACTTTCTACGAGTAACAGCAAGCCCTGAGCAGCAGCAGATGATGGCTGATGCACAAGCAGCACAGTACTTACAGTATCAACAGCCTGGGTTTGGTTTTTATCCTGGCAATGCATCAGGCAGACTAAGCATTACGGTTTCACAGGTAATAGTAAGAAGTTTAATGTGGTTAAATGCAGAATTTTTATGTTGAATAATGTCCACTAATTTTACTCTGTGAATTGAAATATATTTTAGAAAATGTTTGATTTGAAGCTAAAGGTTTTAATTTCAGGCAAAATTAGCAAAGAACTATGGGCTTACAAAGATGGATCCTTACTGCAGAATTAGAGTAGGGCACTCTGTGTTTGAGACTCCTACAGATCAAAATGGTGCAAAGAATCCCAGGTGGAATAAAGTGATTCAGTGGTAAGTGTCCAATACAGGTAAATTATAATCCCTATTTTTTTCATAGGCATAAGCCAAGTTTTAATGGTTAGTGAATTTCCCAAGAAATGCTGGTTATTGATGAAGTGTTACATGTTGTATCTTACTTTTTCCAGCTATTTACCCCAAGGAGTGGATTCGTTTTATGTGGAAATATTTGATGAGGTAAAGAAATTTGAAGTAGCTTTTTATTTTTACAGTCATTATGTCCTTATTACTAAGTGATGCTTGGAGTTTCTTTTGTAAAAAATTTTATGAAAGCATTTGTGGCTCATGATAGGAAAATAATTTTTACAAGATTTTGATTGATCTAATTTGCAAAAGAAAAAAGAAAATTAATTATTATTGATTCCAATGAAGTTATCAGACAAGTTCTTCAGATAAAGATTAAGATTTCTCACAGGAGTGATTTGTTTACGTTTCCAGAGGGCATTTTCCATGGATGACAGAATTGCTTGGGGCATCATCTCCATTCCAGAGAGTGTTATGAATGGAGATACATCAGATGACTGGCATTCCTTAAATGGCAAGCAAGGAGATGGAAAAGAAGGAATGATCAACCTCATTTTATCTTACACTGTAAGATATATTGAATCTTGTGAAGGCTTATGTAATCCTTTTTTTTCAGTCACAAAAACATTTTGAATACAAATTTAAATATAATTCATATAATTTAAGATGCATGGTTTTGCAATGTCCATTTTTGTCAAAGTTGTAGAGTCATATTTATAACACCGTAGTGCATATTCTTTTCCAGCTTTATCTAATTGCAAGGTTTTGACGAGTTATTAAGTGTAAAATAACAAATTACTTGAAGTTCAGTTCCAATTTGCCTCATCTTCCTCACTTTCAAATCTCCATGCATACTACTATGTGCTCACATAATGAATGAAAATGTGTTAAGAGGCTGGTCTGCATCATCTCTGAAACATCTTTGTCTTAATTCTATTAATAATGTTTTATTTATCTTCCAGCCTGTTCAGAATCTACCACAGCCGGCCCCACAGCCTGTAATGATGCAGTATCCTGTGGGCTACCAGCAACCAATAGTGATAGCCCCACCAGGTCAGCCTATCTATCTCCACCAGTCTGCTGTTGGTAGGTGGACACCCACTGTTGCCAGCACCTCCACAAAAATACAAAAATTAGTACACTTATATTAATACCCAGAAAGTTATTGGAATTTCAGATAATAATATTTTGACTAGGTGTATAACTAAAAATAATCTTGGTTTAAATAAGTTTAAGTAAATGGATTTTCAAGTTTAGAGTTAAGTGATAAAAGTTATTTTGAAGTGGTCATGTTAGCCCTTATATGTAATACAGTAAATTATCACCATAAAAGATGAATGTAAAAAGAATGATTCATGAGTCAAGTGCATTTATAGGACAGTTGTTAGTTGTTGAGCCAGTTAAGGCATGTTTTATGAAAATGCTCTTTTTCCATTGTTTTATGCAATCATTTTATTTCCAAAAAAGAAATGTAAATGAGCTTTATATGTATTATCCGTAAACACTTGTTATCACAACAAAAGGTGAGTTATTGAACGAGGTGCTGTCAACATGTGGAGAAGGTCTACAGCACAATTAATGCTTTTTGCACAACTTTTGTAGAATGAACTTTTCCAACAACCTAACTAACAACATCAGATACAAGAATACTTTGTCTGAGTGACCACATGTATTGCTTTGCCTTTATATAGTAGTTGCATGCTTTAACTGTGTGTTGATTTAGTTCTCATAGCTGTCAGGTTTTTAAATTTTGAATGTGGGATGCACTTTTGTAAATGAAAAAATTGCACATTTTTAAACTCTAATTTAAACTCCAATTTCAATTTCAATTCTGCAATCTGGAAATTACTGACAGAAAGATTAAAGCAAGAATTGACTTTACAAAATTTTATTTAAAAGTATATATTTTTTAATGATGAAAAATTACACCAAAAGCAAAAATTTGAGAAACTAGATTGCAATATTAAGCAGTGTTCTTTATTGTCACTGGATTCAAAATTCAAAAATAACTTCATTAACTATGTAGAATAAATGGAAAATGCTACTTTATGTTTAGAGAAATATGTTAATGTAGATTTTTATTGAGATAAAACAGGTAGTGACATGGTTCCATTAATGAATTTGTAATGTTACATGCTTTTGTACCCTTCTGTACATTTTGAAGTTTGTGTTCAGATCTCTAGTTTCAGTCATCTGCTTTATCTCAATTATACCAAAATATGTTTAACATTTATGTTAGATGTGCTCATAATGTGTTCATGTTGTGTAAAAGGTGATGTCAACAACTTAATAATTGTTATCAGACCTCAATTTAAATACATTTTGAGTATTAGATTGGATTTAAATATATGTTATCTGTTAGCATAATTGTATACAAAGCTGAATTTGGATCGTCTTTTTACATAAAGATTCATATATTTAATGTTTTTCTGACAATTTGGTTTTTTAGACCTAATTGTAACTTTCTTATGCCTTTATAAGGTGGTGTTCCCGTATACTATCCACAACCAGTGGCATATCCGCAGCATCCACAGCAGCAGCAGCAAATGCCCCAACAGCCAATGTTTACACAGGAAGACATAAAGCAGATCAAGGATATGTTCCCAGACACTGACGAGGAAGTTATTAAAACCGTTTTGGAGTCCAATCGAGGAAATAAAGACAGAACTATCAATCAACTGTTGACCATTCAGGATGAAGAGCAGCAGCAACAGCAGCAGTAAATCAAGATTTTTCCGTTTTGTTGTTTGTTCGTAATTTTTCATTTTGTAGTTCTGGTTGCCATTTACTCCCAAAGCTGAAATATGAATTTAAATAATAGTGACATTTTAAAGTAGATAAAATCAATTTAAGGCCATAATAATGGACTCCTTAATGTAGCAGCTTAAAAATAAGCAATTTTTTTCTTGCTTTGGATTTGTGATTTATATTGCATCTCCTCCTGGATAATTACTCAATAATATCTAGGACCTAGCATATTTATTGGGTCTTAGATAAGATTGAATATGTTATTGCAAATAATTTGCTTAGTACTTATCTCAAGAAAGGATTAATATATCAAATACGTGTTGTAATGTAATATTCAGATTGTTTTCAAATTGTTGTTCAGCCTATTGCACAGAATGAAGAAACAAAAATGTGATGCTTGTGAGATATAGAAGCTTTTCTTTCAAATGAAAGTAATAATAATTTTGTAAATATTTCGAGAAAATGGCCAAGATCTGTGCAATACTGATGAAATGATATGAAATGAACCTGAACTCCTCAAATTGACACCAAACCACATTTTATAAAAAGAAAAAAAATTCCAAAATAACTTTTTTGAAAAAAAAATTTCCTTGTAATGTGGACATTATTGTGAAAATCTTAGGAGAATTTATAGACTAACACGTCTTGGCATTAAAACGTAAAGCCAATCATGTTTAGTCCCACTTTTGTGCTATTGTATTTTACGGTTGTATTTATAACCAAACACAGCAAGTACGTTTGGTGAAAGCTGCCATCATATATATGTAAAAGATGTAATCGTGAAAGCCATGTAAATAAACATTATACCATTATGAAGTACAGCTTTCATTTTTAAAATTGTCCAGTAATTTTGGCATACAATTTATTAAAATAAGTTTTGTCCACATTTTCTGAGGATCAAAATGTAAAACATTTTGGTTCTTGACTTTCAAAGAAAATTAGTGGTACACTGCCTAGAGATAGAAGGTCCCACTGTCAGATGCTATCTTGACCAAGGGCATATGTTCACCATCTCTGTCTGAGTGCAAATTAAGCAGATCAACTTTATAAAATGATTCTCTAGCAAAAGATAATCCAGTCCAACCCACTGATATAGGATTTGTTGAAAAAAAAAAACTATATATTTGATAACAAACCAAATGTATTACATCATATTCACTTCTTACTGCATCAAACTTCATATCTATATAGAAGAACATAAATAAACCACTGGGTTTTAAAGATAAAGAACGACTTAAAGCTCAAAAAGGCATCTTTATACCCACTGTCAAATCATGACATCTGTCTACAACATGCATATAAATTATATGATAAGTACAAAATGGTATAGTTTAAATCTCATTGGCACAGTAATCTTTCAAGTAACCTTTGACAAGTACATCATTTTTTTTTTGTCCAAGAGGTAAATAATTATTTTAATTGTAGTATTGACAATAGTACTCTTTATGAGTGATCTTCACAAGAACTCTAATGCCAGCCCCTGTAACATTATACTAATTATTTTTTATATTCATTATTGTAAGTTTGTCTTGTATGCTTGTCAGTTGGCCCTATGAATACCACAGCACACCCTACATGTTTTGGCTCTGGCCAAAATCCGTCATCTTGAATGTTTATGACAAACTTAANTGTTTTCAAATTGTTGTTCAGCCTATTGCACAGAATGAAGAAACAAAAATGTGATGCTTGTGAGATATAGAAGCTTTTCTTTCAAATGAAAGTAATAATAATTTTGTAAATATTTCGAGAAAATGGCCAAGATCTGTGCAATACTGATGAAATGATATGAAATGAACCTGAACTCCTCAAATTGACACCAAACCACATTTTATAAAAAGAAAAAAAATTCCAAAATAACTTTTTTGAAAAAAAAATTTCCTTGTAATGTGGACATTATTGTGAAAATCTTAGGAGAATTTATAGACTAACACGTCTTGGCATTAAAACGTAAAGCCAATCATGTTTAGTCCCACTTTTGTGCTATTGTATTTTACGGTTGTATTTATAACCAAACACAGCAAGTACGTTTGGTGAAAGCTGCCATCATATATATGTAAAAGATGTAATCGTGAAAGCCATGTAAATAAACATTATACCATTATGAAGTACAGCTTTCATTTTTAAAATTGTCCAGTAATTTTGGCATACAATTTATTAAAATAAGTTTTGTCCACATTTTCTGAGGATCAAAATGTAAAACATTTTGGTTCTTGACTTTCAAAGAAAATTAGTGGTACACTGCCTAGAGATAGAAGGTCCCACTGTCAGATGCTATCTTGACCAAGGGCATATGTTCACCATCTCTGTCTGAGTGCAAATTAAGCAGATCAACTTTATAAAATGATTCTCTAGCAAAAGATAATCCAGTCCAACCCACTGATATAGGATTTGTTGAAAAAAAAAAACTATATATTTGATAACAAACCAAATGTATTACATCATATTCACTTCTTACTGCATCAAACTTCATATCTATATAGAAGAACATAAATAAACCACTGGGTTTTAAAGATAAAGAACGACTTAAAGCTCAAAAAGGCATCTTTATACCCACTGTCAAATCATGACATCTGTCTACAACATGCATATAAATTATATGATAAGTACAAAATGGTATAGTTTAAATCTCATTGGCACAGTAATCTTTCAAGTAACCTTTGACAAGTACATCATTTTTTTTTTGTCCAAGAGGTAAATAATTATTTTAATTGTAGTATTGACAATAGTACTCTTTATGAGTGATCTTCACAAGAACTCTAATGCCAGCCCCTGTAACATTATACTAATTATTTTTTATATTCATTATTGTAAGTTTGTCTTGTATGCTTGTCAGTTGGCCCTATGAATACCACAGCACACCCTACATGTTTTGGCTCTGGCCAAAATCCGTCATCTTGAATGTTTATGACAAACTTAAAGGGATAAAAACTCTTCGTATGAGGTATATATTTCACAATAAAAACATTGTGAATAACTCACAGAAATATAACATATTCTGTTTTACGACAAAAACAGCAGTTATAGCTATTATTCTGATATCTGAGCTTGTCTTCAGACCACGTGACCTCCATTGATGGCTATACTCTGTTATAATCTCTTAAGAGATTTTAACAAAAAACCAAACTTTTTAGAAAAAAAACAGGGACTAACTTTGAATGTAAAAATGGATTCATTAACCATTGGTAAGTATGGGAAAATTGTTGTTTACTCTAGGAAAATTCATTTTTCGGCCAAAACGAAGAGTTATTATCCCTTTAATTCTGTCAGAAATAAGCTTCATTTGGTCATTGTTATTGTCAGATGAGGCTTGTTTTAAGAAATAAGAAGCTGGCTTGTACCAGAACATTACCAAATAACCCAGCAAACACAGAGCGTTATTATGACATTACCATAACATTGATATAACCAAAAATTGTTATGGTAACGTTATACTAATGTTATATGTTTGCTGGGAAGTAACAAAATGAACATATACAGTGTGTGTGTATTTTTTCAGGGGGGGGGGGGCACAACACTGATTGTCTTCATTTAATTGAACTCTATAACATCCATGAAAAAACTAATAGTACTGCTTTCAATTCCTTTCTTCCATGACAGAATTAAATTTTTTTCACCTCCTCATTTCCTGCCAGATGACACTAGTGTATACAAAAAAACTTTCAAGTTCAATGATTAAATACATATCTCCTCTTTTATCCTGTGAAGGCTAGGTTACAAATAAATTCAAACATAAATCCTCAGATCCTCACAACTCTGTTTGAAATAAAGTTAAAGAGGTTCAAAATCACACAGTGGAATGGTTTTTAAATAACACTGATACAAGACTGAATAACAATTATAATATTATAAGACTTGAATCTTACACAGACTGTCAGGAAGAAAATCTGATCATTAATGACCAGTAGCCAGAAATAATGTCATCACAGATGAGCTTGGAGTGATTAAGGTTTATAGAGATTCACATAGTGTGGACATATTGATTTGCTGCTCGCACTCCTGGAGAACCTCAAGTACTTGAATCCATGGATGAAACTACAGTCTTCATTCTCTTTTCTAAAAGAAAATAAAAATAGAACAGAAAATTAAAGTTGAAAATAAATGCAAGACAAGTTTTCACCTTTCACTATATCAGATGGTAATTTTATTAAATAAGTTGGACAATGATTTTTTAAAAAATAAATGACATAACACTCTCATATATTCTTGTCATAATTACTTCTATCAAATTTAATTTTCAGTTCATAAATATAACCTTTACGTACAAACTTGCAACCCCTCAAGCATCACAATTTACAGATATTTTATTTTAAAGGTACATAAAAAAGGAAATTATACCACTTACGTTTCATAATTTTCCTCTCTTCCCTAACACCATGAATTTTGCTACCAATATAAAACATAACTGGCATAAAAGTGAAGAACACTGTGAGCAGAAGAACTGGCACCACGTCCCGGTGTTTCTTAGTACATTTGAATGTTTTACTCCATCGCAGCCGTGTCATATTCATCTGTAAGAAAAGATACTAGTACTCAAGTGTCTTAAGCATGTTTTATAAATAGGCCCATCAGCTTGGTATGTTCTTTAAACAATTAGAAGTACTCTAAACAAAAACACTAAAAATCCTGAATGGAAAATGTTATAAGATCTACCAATTAATCATACTTAATAAGAACAGGAATGAAGAGGTAACTCACTGCATCTGCAATATCCATACAGACTTTATGCTTTTGTGTTTCCTCTATCCCACTATAATATTCATTCAGATCATTATAGTCTGGCTGACACACTTCACATGCAGATTTATTCACATGACTAAGGATTAAATCCTAGATAATAAAACAGATTTAAATTAAAAAATGGCAATACCCTACATGCTGAATGTCAGAAATAATGATACATATTTATCAGGCTTTTCCCACTGTTTATATTACATAGTAAAGTGATGTGTGTGTGTGTGTGTATTTCTAATTTCAAAGATCAATAACTTCAACAGATCACATGCTTCTGAATTGAAATTTTGCACAGATTTTTGACACATTATTGGTCAACCCTGAAAATTCCAAGCAGTAAAGTTATATTTTGGAATTATCCAAATTATCCATTTTCCTAAAATATCCTAATTTCCGTTACAATATCTTAAAAATTTTTTAAAGTTATTGTAAATTGAAATAAGTAACATTTTTGAGTCCCCAGATAAATTCATAATTTACTATTTAAACTAACTAAACCAATCTATACCATTATCATTACTTTTATTGTTGGCAAAAAAAAAAAAAATAAATAAATAAATAAAAATAAAAAATATTTTGCTTGCAGTCATTAAATGTTATTTGTCAGATTTTTACCTCAGTTATGTTCATACATTTCTCTGTCTGCATGAGACGTTTCCGAAACTCTAATGTGCGATTGTCATATTGAAAGGTCACAGCAGATGTGGTCTTATTGTATTCAAAATGAGCAAAACATGCTGGAAAAAAGGTTAATCTCAATTTCATTAAGCATATATCCAGCTTTAAATCTTATTGATTTTTGGCATTATCTTAGAATACTTGTCTATCCTTCATTTCAGAGAATTCAGATTTGATATGAATCAGTAACTAAAACTTTGACAGGAATGATCTATTATTCATGCATTACTTTACAATATACATACATTTATTCTGCAAAACTTTGTTTTAATTAATAGTGCACCTAAAAGTAAAAGGCAGGTCAATCCGTCTTCTTGTTGGCAATCCAACTACTCACAATTGCAATGTGATTTTTCCCACAAGTTTTCAACAAATTGCTTGGCATGTTGTATTATCATAATACGATCAGCATTCAACAGCAGGTCCTTGCAGGTCATGCCTGTGGTGGTGTCATGGTAATCATCCTGAGAAAATAAGTTTTGTATTAGTGTACAAAATATAGAATGTTATAATCAAGTCCAAGGATTTAAATCCAAACTTATACCGATGTTTTTCTTTGTAGTTACTACTGCATCCAAACAATGCAGTCCACTCAAAGAATCCAAAGTTGACTGCCATTTAAATAGCAACCTTTGGTTTAGAATGTTCAAAAAGCCTTCTAAGGGGCTCAAAATCTTCAAAGTACTCTGTTCAGAACAGCAGCATTCAGGCATATCTAACAGACAGCTACAAGTTGGTCTAGTTCTTTATAATTAAACAATCAAATTACAAATTGGAGTCTCTCACAAATGTTTTGTTGACAAAAAATATCATTCGATACGGCAGATGAACACCTTTCTTTTATCTAGTCACTGAATACCTGACAAAGGTTAGGTTACTGTGCTCAACACCTCATGTATTTTCTCACACAAATAAGCACCTTTTCAATTTCTTCATAGCGGTCCCTAGTTATCTGATAATCTGCTACACATCTCTCACAAAAGCGCATGGGTCTCCCATTTGTTATCGCACAGGAAGTAAATTTTGAAGCAGCAATCCCAAATAAGTCTAAAAAGGCTTTGCATCTTGGTAGGATTTTATCTTGGACAAGATCTACACTGCCACTAACAGTGGCGCTGGACTCAAGCGAAGTTAAATGTGAAGCTAACTGTGATCCAAAATATTTATAGAAATCAACGTAAACTGAGTGTTCCCCCTGTTCAAGACCTGTCCAAGTGTCCTCGTCATTAGAAGAACCCGGGATACCATTTACAGAGATTGAATAGATTGTGTCATTGCCCATATAATTGAACTTGCTCTCAATACACAATGCTGGGTAATAACCAACAAAATAAAACGAACATACGAAGAGAAAAATTGAAAATTCTTGTGCGGAGTTGACAACCCTTGTTAGCTTCGCCATTTTACCCCAAGTTGACCTACATATTGTAAAAGTTCGCAGAAAATCATACCGCTGAAAATTTAATGAGAAAATATCACTGATATCTCACCTCACAATAAAATTAAAGCAATATTTGATATAATATTTTATCAGATCCATTAAACTTAAGTGGTGTCTGACTTCTGCATGATTACTGCACAATGGGCTTATTTTGTGCTGTTCTTTACAAAATGGCGTCCTCCTTGGGCACCTTCCGCACGCTTGAAAAATTTAGCTAATATTATTCCTGTATATCGAAGGTGAGACTTACAGAATTACGAAAGTATGTCAATAAATCCTGAGCCCACCTACAATAGGGACAAAATGAGAATGTTAGGTATTGACTGTAGCTATGTTACAGTGCTCCGATGTTGCTATCTTAGAGGGCAGTTTCAGAACAAGTTGATACGCGGTCTACATTTGGTCGAACCCACTTAAAAAAGCCGCCTAATCCACTGATTCTCTCCCCGCCTCCTCACACCCATTAAAAGATTAAAACTTGGCTACAGGGTTCAATTGCTAGACCTCAGAAGGGGCGGCTCGTATGGAGGTGGGGATACAAGCAGCGGATTATACCAATCGGCAATCCTCGGCTCATTCCGCAAGCTCCATACTAACCTCGGATGTGATAGGCGGAGAAATATGCACCAAATCCATGCATTTTGTCCGCCGGAAATGCCTTCTCACTCAATCGATCATTACGCTCATAAAGATGGCTGTCAATACCCCTGATTTTTATGATGCTTTACAGTTTGCCAAACAATGCACTAAGATTGACTTTGAATTAAAAGATAAATAGATACAGGCGTTGAAAGAATTAGGCTTAAATTAGCGCGAGGTTGAAAGTAGTTCCTTCCCAACAATCAACAATCAAATATGGCTGCCTCCGTATTACGTCCGAGGTTATTGTCGAGTGCGGAGACATCCGAGTAGTTCCGAGTGGGATTATACGGCATTGCTTTTAAGTGAGTCGGCCATATTTGATCCACAGATCTGCTAGTCCACAGATCAACAAAGTTTGAATGCACTCGGCTGATCAAATATGACCAACCCACTTAAAAGCAATGCTGCCTAATCACCTTGTGGCCTCCCCATCTCCATGCACATGCGCATTCCTGCAGGGGGCTCACAATTAAATAGATTAAATCTCAGCCACAAGATATGGGAGGTGAAGAGACCTGCTTTTAAGTGGGGTTAGAGATATTTAGTCTTCAGATCTGTTAGTACGTGGATCAGCTGTTCTGAATACAACAAAACTCTTCCGCTGGACTACACCCTACTTGTACAGTTATTTCGGTTTGGCTACTGTTGCAAGCACTATATGCTATTGGGCATTCTCTTTAAGGTGTCAGTAACTTATACCCTATAACATCCTTTTTATTACAGATATACCAAATCGTACCTTAATTTTACTTAAAATTTACTGGGAAGCTTTTTTTCTTCTTTTTTTTTTTCTTGATAAAAAGTTATGTAGATTTTGTTTGAAAATGATAATAATCTGATTTTTAAATTCAAATTTAGTCATAAACTTATATTTTATAAAAATTATTGCACATTTTGTCATATTTTGCAATATTATCATCCAGTGTTATTTCTAACACAAGTGGTCCCACTTATTGTTTTCTTTAACCCCAAGCATTTATCATATATGTTGTAATTGAATCAAAGTAATCCTTTTTTGTTTTAGATTACTGGAATTAGCATTTTCTTGCAATTCACTTATTTAAGCATAAGCGTCTTTAACTAATTATGTAGAATGTGTCTGTATATAATAAAGTGACAAAACTTCACACCCAATGGCTTGATGAGCAGGAATGGACATAATTATATATTCTGATTGGTCTGTCTGTCCTTGTTGTTGCCGTCGCTGTAGCTGTAAAACATATGACTTTCATCCCATAGCTGTCAAACCTTATTTTTGTTTTACTTTAAATTTACTAAGTGGCTTTGTTTGGTAAAGAGGCAGGTTGCTTTTGAAATGGGCTCGATCTGTTTGCATTTACGGTAATTATTCTGTTTTTTTTTTCACAATTTTGGTGAGGATCACCCCATAACTTCCAAACTGTACATCTGTATTTTTTACTTTAAATTTACTGAATTGCTTTGTTTGGTAAAGAGGCTTACGAAAATCAGCATGATCTGTTTACATTTCGTGGAAATTTCTGTTTTTTTTTTTGTTTTTTTTTGGGGGGGGGGTTAATTTTCATTCTTCACACAGCATTTTCAGTGGCTTTTATATCCCATGGAACTGAATCACTTGCTAGTTTTTCAGTGTCCATGTTACCTGTAGTACATAATGTAAGAGGGTAAGAGTGATTATACCATTTTAAAGCATTATGTAACAGTGCATCAAATTTGACCAAAACTTTTTGTGCACTTTTTTCTGCATAATGTCCAAACATTTGACAGCTTTGCTGCCTTGTTTCGTGTACATGTGTCTGTACATTTGCCAGCTTTGCTGTTTAGTTTTATTGTTTGAATAAGAAAGTTCTCCTTCTCCGAAACTTTTGTTACAAGGATACTCCTGGCTTTGTTATAGGATGTATTTTGTGTTCAGTTGAAAATAGCTTTCAATTATGGAACATTTTACTTTAGATAAGCAACTGTTGTTCTTGAGGTGGAAATTGCTGAATTTTTTTCCTGTTCAGTGTCTGTCTATTTGTCAGCTTCAGTGTTTAGATAGAAAATGAAATTAATATTTATGCTCAAAAAGGCATATTAACTTGTAGGTAAATGGAGGGGATAAATTGAAATGGCAAATATAAGTACTGGGTATATAAAGTTGAAAACTGTTAGGGATATGAGGTATATAATTGCCAGTTTTATTTTGATTAATTTTTTGTGCCAAAATGTCATACATGATCCATTAAATAGCATAAAACAATCTTGCTGGCAGATGAAAATAAGATTATTCAATTTAGTTTTTGTAGAGGCATTCAAGTCAAGATCAGATGCCATTGTAAAAGGTATCTGTCTTCATCCTCTGACTCCACAGATGGAAAAAAACCACCAAAAGATGACAGTAGGGAGAGGCCTGGACAAATCCATAAGACCAACAAACCGAGGTATGTCAATGGTTCAGTTTGGGAATTTTTTTACTCAATGCAATGCATAAATTTCATTCTCTGTTACTGTATATTTTATGTATTGTATGTTGTATAATTTTATTTATGCTATTTTATGCTACATTATGTGACATAACATTACATGATTGACCAAAGACAGTAGTTAAACCATTTTCTTGGTAATAGCATTTCTGATAATTTTCCAGATTTGGTACTCAAGTTCCATCAGATCAAAGAAAAGCACAAGCACAAAAAAGGTATGCCGTTGATAATTGTAAGCATAGGCTAAAGACTAAATAAAAAAAGGCACATCTATAGGTTGGTGCCATCCCCCCCCCCCCCTCAGCTTCCATTATAATAATATTTTACATCATGTCATGTATATTCCTGTGAGATAAGGCTGTAATTTCTCTCACTGTCCTATGCCCCCCCCCCCCCCCCATCCCAGGGTCCAAAAGGTACACACTCGCCCCTTTGAATAATATGGTAATGACTCAGTCTTTTCAATGAATTTCTTAGATACTGTAATTTTTTAGGTCATACATTGTTTTAATTAGAACATTCCTATTGAGTGCTACTGACTAAATTGGAGAGTAGCCTACCTTATAGTTCAGTAAAAGCACTATGATTGCTGTATAGAAATATATTTTAAAGATTCTAAAAGTATGTATCTAAAAGGCTGATAATTTTATTTTCTTTATTGAAAATATTGATTCATTCTGCAGTAGAGTGAACAGCAGGTCCTCTTACCACATCAAATGTAACCTGATAACATTAACTGTGCCTTAGTGAGAATACCCACTGAGATAGATCAATCTTGCTGGACCGATAACTTTTAATCTGAACACAGCTTTAATGAGACACCATTGATCTATGTAGATCAGGCCAACTCTGTGGGGACTATCACTGAGTGCAATCAGCTTGACTGAATGCCATGCCTCCTATGCACCTGTATGATCACCAGCTTTTCTGTACATTCTACTCTGTGCCAGGATTAGGCGTGTCATTCAGTTAAGCTGGTTGCACTCAACGAGAGTTTCGCAGACTGATGGTGTCAATGGGAATGTGGTCTTAGTGTAAAGAACTGAAATTTAATGCTGTAGATCAATAAGGGCTACAATTGTATTGGAATGGATTAATTTACTTTTTTTATTGCAATTCTGTTTGTTATCAAATTTCTGCCTTAATATCCTACAAAATGCCACCCTATAGTTTTTAATATCATAACTCAAAGAAATAACAAAGGGCTTCATTTCTTATTTCCCAAAAAATTATATTTGATTGGGTGTTTTCTGTCTTCTTTTTGTGCTATATATAACCCTCAGTCAATTTAGCAACTCATTTGAATGACAGTGTGCACAGCAGTAGTGTGCCATACATAATTAGGTCATTTCATTAACTGGAGGGATGAATATGTATGTCATTTGATGGTCAAAAATTTGAAAAAGGTGCAGTTTACAAGCACTTTTATGGCTGATAGAGTGATTAATTTGGTTTTTGCCTTGGCATGTTGACTTTATTATTTATATATTATGTATAAGAAACAATAAAAGTGGTTTTTATGTGTAGGGAATTCCACCCACTTCAAATGTTACTTTAAATATATCTATAAATTAAATTTTTGATTTCAGGTCAACTGATTCTCCTCTTTTGAAGCCTAATGTTGTGAAAGCAGCAAAGGCTGCTGCAAATTCAGTAAACAAAGCAACATCAGATGCAGACCTTAAGGAGCTTTTGGCACAGTTAAAGAAGATAGAAAGTAAAAAAACAGATATTAATAAGCAGCAGCCAAGCAGTGGTGTTGTAACAGATGATTTGAAAGCAAAGGATCCACCTGCTATTAACTTGGAGTATGAAGTGGTTTTATCTTTCTTTTGTGTCACCCACATTAGATTAAAGAATATAGCCTTTATAGGGTGTTATTGATAATTTTCTCTTGAGGGTCATTAATTTGAAACATTTCTTACACCTTCTCACCTGTAAGGAATATACTGAAATCAGATTTTCTTTTCAACGAGGTATTTTTTCCATTTGTGTACCTAAATATTGAACGAAGTGATTTTAAAGATATCCAAAATTTTTCACACAAACGATGTGACATATTTACTAGTACTTGTCTATCATACATCCAATATCTTCATGTTTAGTATGATTTAATATTTCCTTTTTGAAAAAGTTAAGAATTTTGGTATGTCTCTTTGGGTGTTTTTAGTGACCTAGTTTCGGGTATGGAGAAGTTAAAAAAGACACAAATCCGAGAAAGTCTTCCCCCCAAAATGCCTCTACCTAGAGAGAAAATATCTGGAAGAGCAAGTCAACCTCCAAGGCAAAGAGAGTATCAACAAAGAGGACCTCCACCAAGTAAGTGAGCTGTTTATCGTTCATCTGTACTTCTTACACATTTTAAGTCACTATTTTGCTTTAAACTCACAGTGATTACGTATACTCTCTTTCCTAAAATGCCAGTCAGGTTCAAAAGTGGGCAGAATCTGATTATTATTTTTAGTTTTTCCAAGTAGTAACTATGAAACCTTTGCAGTTACTTGTAGGCATAAAATGCAGTTCAAGTTGGTATGATCAAATTATTCCTTACTTTATTTTTGATAATTTTAGTCTTTTTTGGTATTTTTAAGTACAGACTAGTGCCATTCACTTTATTTGATATCAGTGGCAATAGCTGGGTAGTTCAATGTCATCATTTTGCTTCAAACTTATGGTGATTACTTATTGCCTTATAAGGTCAAGTTTGAAAATGGACATGATTTAATTATTCCTTTAAAAGGCTTAATCAGGTCTAGGTTATGTGTGCATATATCAGCTTTATCTGGCTTGTTTCTTTATTTTTTAATTATGTATTTGTTTTTTACAGTAACACAAAAACCCTTTGGACCAAGGTAAGTAAAAGAAGATATAAATAAAGAGCATTGTTTTATTGTTTATAATTGAGCTATCTTAGACAAGTGCATGAGTGTATCACCACTTATTAGCCTCATTGTCTCTTTTAACCCTATAATATGACTACTAATAGACAGTAAAACATTTTAATGTTCATTTTACAGATATAGAGACATAGACTTATAGTGCATTGCATTAAAACTCATTTATTATGACAATACTTTTCCTCCTCCAGAATTCAACCAGTTGATGTTAGCCAAATATTTAACATGGATGAAGAAAAAAGATTGAATATATTTCCCAAGACAATGACAAAGGAAAGGGGTAAGAAGTGGTAATGATTCATTAAAACTAAAAGAAATTACTAGAATTTCAGTGAATTGACATTTTTGTAAAGGTTGCAATGGCATTGTTTAATGTTTCTCTATTAAATTGACAGTCATAACTTGAGGTGTGCAATTTCATTCAAAAGTATTACCTTTATGTTGTTTGTTATATCAAATCAAGAGCTGCATATTTCAGTATAACAGATATGCCGGACAACTATTACATGAGTAATGAAGTCCATGATGTTTGCTCTTTGTTTTTAATTTAAAAAAAAACAATTCGGAATGAACATCTTGTTGCATTGTTATATTGTATAACAATTTGTGGTATTCACTTATATATTTATTGTTTCTAATTAGATTTAGGCAGACCAAGAAATGCATGGGATGATCTAATAGAAAAAGAAAGAGATCAGTCTATATATTTGTCCCCAACCAATGGATTTGAAGAGTGGATCCTGTGGACCAAACAAGGCAGACTCTTCAAATTTCCTATAGACAACGAGCAAGGTATAAGTTTGGTCTTGTCCAGTTATCAGGTGTGGGATTATTACCCACAAAACACTCAATTTTTTTGTGATAACACTATTTGTAACTAGTTGATTTAAAAGCATTATATTGTTTATTCTTGATTAACTATGTGATAAATGTCCTTTCAACTATTGCTTTATGTGAAGTGTAATATATAACAGCATATTAAATTGCTAGAAGTTTTTGAAACGTATCTATTTATTATGTATTTATTATAATTATTATGTTTTTATGGGCTTTGCAGATTGGGATTATGAGGCAGATGTGCCTTTTTATGAACACGTGTTCTTAGAGAGACACATACAGGACATTGAGCCAGGTCCAGTACGCCAGTTCCTGGAATTGGTTTGTGTTGGTCTTGGCAAAAACCCTTGGATCAGTGCAGAAGAGAAACGTGAGCACCTTGAATGGTTTAAAAGTTACTTTGTGGAAAAGAGTGCAGTTTTAGAAGAAGTTAAGCAGAGAGAAATGGAAGTGTCAGATGATGAAAGCGATGGCTCTTCATCAGATTCGGACTCAAGCTCAGAAAGTGACAGTGATGATGACAAGAAATGATTCAGTTATCCAGAGATCATTAGTACTTTCAGTGAGTACATATGTTAACTGTCAAAGTCACTTTACTCTAATCCTTTCAGTGACATGAAGCATATTTCACGAAAAGGAGTAAAGATCATGGGACGTTTTTCCCTCTTTTGTGAGAAATTTTCTAGTAGATTTCCCCAAAATTGGTAGACTACAATAAAAGTGAACATCAGAAACCATGAAATGTTTGCCAAGCAAGATGCATTGTTATTGAAAACTGTGAACCCAAGTTGAGACTACTGATGAAGAATTGTTATAATATCATTAATTTACTCAATTTTTGAGTTCAGCTTTCCATGTAAGTGAATCTACTGTAACAAACATTTCAAGTAAGGATTCTCCAGGGAGTTCGTGTAGAATAAAAAAAATTTTCTTTAAGAATGCACTGTCTTCATTATTTATTGTTATTGTTATTATCATTATAATTTACATTATTATTTCTGCCAAGTTGAATAACAGAACTCTCCTGACATTACTTGTACTTTACATCACTACCATACGTGATCAATCTTTGGGCTAAGTCTTTATTTTATGTAAAAATATTTTTGTCTATTTTGGCACCAATGATAGATGAAAGAATAAAAGACACCTGGATGACATGATACATAAGAATCTAGTTTAAAAGATTTATCATGACATGATGTTGCTCTGTTATTTTAATTCCCTATCATTCCTCTGTTAGGTACAGTCTGATTAAATGTTCTGTTTCTGCAGGGTAACCAGTCACTGGACAGCAGTGGTGGGTCTTTAGGTGGTGAAAAACGCAAGGGTAGCAGAACACATACCTGAAATAAAAGGAATGCAATATCAATAAAAAGCACGTATAGAATATTTTCATATTTTATTCTTTTTAAATTGCACTGCTAAGAGATGAGGTATGCTGGTATTTTTCAGCTTCGGAATGTTACTGACTAGAAAAAAAAGAGAAAGCCAAATTGTACATTACAGACCTGTGCTTATATTATCACATTGTACTGTGATGCCATTGAACTGTAGGACAAAAGGATCACCCAACGGAACTCGTTTAAAATGCCCCAAGTTACCATAAAATGATGCAAGATTTGGTGGAAAGAGGGCTTAAAAATTGTGCCAAATGGCAGTTATTCTGTGGAAAAAGCTGGACTTAATGGATTTTATGAAACTTTGTCGATTATTTGAATTAAAGAGTGGATGTGAATTAGCTGAAGTTGCAAACAGATTAAAAATATCTGCCATAGAGTAATGATTACAAATTATACTTCACATGGTAAAAGTGATATCCTTTTTTTTTTTTTTTTTCTTCTTAAATTGGATTTCTCCAATACTTTTAGCATCACTATTTTAATTTAAGCAGAGAAGGATATGGCTTCTTATTGCTTAAAGAACATGCAAAACTGTTCTTGATTCAAAATATGAACTACTATCTTAAAAGGATAATATATACAACATTCAGATGAGTTTTACATAGATAAATTACTGACAAATTCTTCAAACTTGGCATACCCATTATTATCACATAAGAAAAGACAAAACCACCTTTAAATGGTTGCACCTGACATTTGTTTTGCACAAATCACATTTACAGCAAGGCAATGTTAAGAAATCGGCTATGACAACTTCAAACATCACATTTTCAATATAACAGATCAGAAATTGCTGTCTGAATTGATCAAGAGGTGGCTGTATTTTCTCAAAGCACATGCCACCCTTACTAACTCATTGGGACCATGATTGGCACCAAATACCTACCCAGAAACTGCCAAGACAGTATCATTCCTTCTTGTTTGTTGGCACAATGGGCAAATACTTGGAAATACTGCAGTTGACTCAAAATCTGGGGTCTGAAATTGCAAGGTACACAATGCAATCAAAATAATATACATGCATTGTTTGTGTAGGTGGAAGCTGAGTTAAATATAAGGTACCTAAGTAACTAAAATGAGGAAAAGATAAAAAATATGCACCTTTGGTGGGGCTGGTCTTGGCAATGATGTCAATGAAGTTGGTGTTTGATCGCTGGCATACCACCATTCCACAAACTGCAGGAAGAATACTCCTACAGAAATCCCTTGTGTAAGAACAATTGCACAGCCTTGGAGAAGCTTGGTTATAGAGTATATTGCTTTATCTTTCATGCTGAAATAAAACATTTTTTTTCCAAGGAATGTTACAGAAAGGTACATGTATATGGTAAAAAAGAATTATTTCACACAAATTACTTTTTAACTTGCAAACTAAGTTTATTATTTTCTTTAAAATATTCATATATATACAAAACAAATGCCAAACAGTTCATTTTAATAAAGAATTTTTTTATTCACATTTAATGGGCATTTTCAGATATTATGCATCACAGATCTGGTAATTTGAAAGCAAATGGCATTTTACATAATAAAGAAAGATCAAAAGAGAGTTACACAGGCAAGGTACAAAAACTGACACTGTACAAGCATAGAATGAAAAATAAAGAATAATATATAGAAGTGTAGAAGCATCATCACAGGTAAGAAACAGATGCAACAAATGTGTTGCAGCGCTGTAAACATTTCTTTACCTTAAAAGTTGAACTTCTTTTGGTTTATTTTCCCATGCTTTCAAGTCATCCTGCGTTATGTTTTGAAGAATCACCCCACACATATTTAGGAATGGTGAGTGAGTTGTAGATTTTCCAAACACATATAACATCTGGTAAGACAGCAAAATACCTTCCCAGCTCATATTCAGGAATGGATAGACGGCAAGGTACACCCTTATCAACTTGTTCCAGGCTGTCTGAAAAGTAAATAGGGAAACAAATGGCAAATTTTTCATTGACTTAAGCTTAAAGGTTTCATAGGGAAATAATCTGCATAAAATAGGTTATGGAACAGCTTTTGACTTTAATCTAGATACCATTTTCGTTACGCCGAATGCCAACTTCATCTTTATCATTAAAAACACCATCAAATTCTAAATCATTTGACAAGTTTTGGTTATCCTGCTGAAGTTCATTGCAGTCTATAGCCACTATAAGCTTCCTTGCATGATCATCAATTTGAATTATCTCTTTACAAACAATGAAATGAAATATTGATTAAAGACTGTCTTTATTAGAAAAATGTAATATTTAGCTTATCAAAATTAGAGCTATCTTGCCATGTTTTAAACAGAAAAAGGTTTTTATTCTTAGCCTGTCTTATAGCTAATAAGTAAGGCATGAATAATTATTATTAGTAGCCATTTACATTAAACCGAATATTTATATTTATATTTATGTGTGTGTGTGTATATATATATATATATATATATATATATATATATATATATATATATATATATATATAACAGGAATGCATCCTTTTATATAAAAAGACAAATTACATTACTGTGACATACAATTCAAACAACTGTACCATGAAAGGCTTATCTTACATTTGCTGTGTGAATGCCATCCACTGTTTCCTGTTTCCACCTCTCATATAATGCATCCAACTTTAATTTCATGTATGGAAGTATTGCCTGGGGGATATATAAAATAACTTTGACACAAAGGTAAAATCAACCTTCTACAGTATTATAGTGAAATGTGTGAATACAGTCACTGATAATTTTGATATAATAGATTTTATTATTATTATTATTATCAATAATTATTATTATTATTATTATGTTTAATTTACTACCAGAAAAATTCTAACTTACTAAGAAAAAAAGTGACTTCCATTTTTCTTTGCCAGGTAGTCTAAATTTTTCTTTTGTTTCTCTGAGCACTGTTCTTTTCAACCCATAAAAATTTTCAGCAAATGAGGCACCTAAAATAGGAACTTTTCCATGTTTATGCACTTCAGTTGCATGATAATTCACATACACCTCTTTTGGATAAGATAACAAATTTCACTACAGAGACTTTTAAATCTAATAAAACATTGAAATAAACAAAAATTGAATGTTCCAAAACATACTATATCTTTTAAGATGATACTGTTCAACAAGAAGCTGTAGTCCCAAGTATATCTCATCACAGTATTGGTGGAGCCAAGCTAATTGACCTGGGTTATTTTCTGCTAATATCTAGAAATTATAAGTAAAAGCCATTAGTTAAAAACTAAGACACAGCACAATTTATGACTTAATAGTATTTTCTTTAGCTAATACCGCAGACATTACAAAGTATAATCTGTAACATCATTTCCCATCTACACAGTATGCAACTAGTTTTATCAATCATACATATACACATACTTAAATTCAGTGCAATCAATTAAGTAAGTAGCAATAATTTAATTGAAAATAAAATAAAGCACGCTAAAGTTTCAAACAACTGTGTCAAAATGTGGTAAAATCAGAATACTACATGCAATTCATATATATGCATACATGACTGATAATCATGTTAATTATTGGCAGTGTGCACATTATGGCAATAACGCAAAATCATATTAACTGTTAGTATTTACCCTAGCAGAATAAATAAGAGCAGGTCTGAGTGCAGACATCAAATTTTCTTGTGCCAAAACTTCGAATATTGACGGTTTGTCATCAGCAGCAGCTGATGTTAGATGTGCTGCGAATTCTGCCATCTTTAAATTAATGCCCACAGCAACTGCATCAAGTGGTATCGTACTTTCTACATGCAAAATACAACATTACTTATTTGTATACTCATTCGGTCAACCTGTCGGGGTTTTGCTAACATCGATTGTTATTTATTTTCCTTTTTCGAGATATCCCAGTAAAATTTTAATTGATTAAAAGGTTTAATTAGTTGATGCAGTAACAGAAACGTTTTATTATTATTTAAAAAGTTTTGCATTTGTTTATTACTCTCAACAGATACTCTTGGAATCAATTTCTAACTACCTGTATCATACTGAGGTCAAGGTCAGTGGGCGAGGAACATCGCCATTTTGGACAACCGGTGGTTTTCACTTCCTTCTTTGTCGGTAAAAAAAGTAAGTAAATACACTGTCATTATGGATGTCAGATATGCATTTTCTTTTTGACTAACTATGGAAATAAAACTGTTATTATGATTTTTGCTAGAATGATATTTTTGTTAGAAAATTACTTTGCTAAAGACATGCAGGTTTACGTGATTTCCGCTACACTGGCACAGCCGGCTACTTGCTAGTCTCTGCATTATGTAGCGTACGCATCCAGCACGTTTTTAGTTGGTATCCAATTATAAGAAGATGCATGATTTGAAATAATAATAATAATAATAATAACGTGTTCTGATGCGAATCTTATTCTTAAACAGTGCTTGAACTCTTTTTTGTCTTGCTGCAGAGATAAAACTATAAATTGATGAAAATCCTTAAGAAGTACAATTGTTTTGCTTTCCCTTTACATCAATCTTTACACCATGGAATGTTCCATTATTAGTTTTTTTAATGAGGCAAGGCAGGTAAGGCATCTTTACTGAGACACTCCTGACACGTATGTTTAGTGCCTTTCTTTGTTTTATATTATACTATAGTAGCTTATCTTCTCCTGTTAAACTTGTCAAAATGTTATGCTTTTGTATCATTTCAGAATTTGATAAAATGACTGACTCAAAGTACTTTACAACCACCAAGAAAGGTAATAGCACAAAGCCTGGATATATAATCTAAATCACTTACTCAACTGTATAAAATTTGCATTACATCTAAATTTTGTTAGCAGCTAAATCATAGTAAATGGTAGGTTGATAGAATTCTTGTTGATTTTAACCAAATGTTAAAGAAAATATCATTTAAGATTGAAGAATTACTTTGGCCAAAGAAGCTTTTGATCACATTTTTCTTTTTTAAACATAAAATTAAAAAAATTGACTGAATTTACTAAAGCAAAGGAAATGTAAGAGTGACACAGAGATAACTGTTTTTAGGTGAGATCTTTGAGCTGAAGGCTGAGCTGAACAGTGACAAAAAAGAAAAGAAGAAAGAGGCAGTAAAGAAAGTCATTGCCAGTATGACAGTAGGAAAAGATGTCAGGTAAGACTAAAAAGAGAAACAGCTTTTACTTTGATATTATTTAAGGAAATATAAGTTTGGATGTTTGTTCACAATATTGTCTTGTCAACAATTGTATGTAGATACTTTAAAATCTTGCTTTTAAAATTTCTTGGGAGATTTTCATAGTGCATGTCTACTTTTTCCTTTTAAGTGCTCTATTCCCTGATGTAGTGAACTGCATGCAGACAGACAATCTGGAGCTGAAGAAGTTGGTCTACTTGTATTTGATGAACTATGCCAAGAGTCAACCAGATATGGCCATAATGGCTGTCAACACCTTTGTGAAGGTAAGTGCTTGTTTATTGTGCTGGTGTAAAGGAGTATTGTTTGTGAACAAAAAATTAGTTTGATTATTTTAAGAATATGTCATATTCCTGCCCTTTGCAGTTAGAGCAACAAATTGCATAGACCTGTTGTAAATGACATCACAGCTGTCAGCCTTTTCTTGGGTATTGAGGATTGAATTAGAAATGACTGGGTAATTGGGCAGTAGAATGTGGCTTATGATATTGCAGATTTTTAAAACTTGGTACAGGTGCTTTCACATATGACAGAGAAAGGGAAATTGGATTATTTTCTGTAAATAGCTGTTTAATGCTGATGTTGTTCTTGTTGGGGACTATTTGATTACACTTGTATGAATGAGATTTTCCCTGTTCTTGAAAAGTATAACCAGTTCTGGATATCTATCTGTGTATTTTCAGGATTGTGAAGACAGTAATCCCTTGATCCGTGCTCTAGCTGTTCGAACTATGGGCTGCATCAGAGTGGACAAGATAACAGAGTATCTGTGTGAGCCTTTGAGGAAGTGTCTGAAGGATGAAGACCCATATGTCCGAAAGACAGCAGCAGTGTGTGTGGCAAAGTTGCATGACATCAATGCTGCTCTAGTGGAGGACCAAGGCTTTTTGGATCTGCTGAAGGATCTGCTGTCAGATTCCAATCCAATGGTAAAAAGATGGTTTTGTTTCATGTTTTATGTACGCCTTTAGTGCTGTCAGTATATAGAGCAGTACAATTTCATTTCTTTTATCTAGCAATACTGCCAATAGGTATTGCTAAAGTGTTGTTATTATTCTTCGAAGTACTTTAGCTGGCCATTTTATTGTACCACCAGCGTAGGCGCTGGCGGTACACATGGTTTTAGTCCCGACCCGTATGTTCCGCCGGCTCCTGCGGCTCCTGCGGCTCCTGCGGCTCCGCCGCCAAGTCACCGTTACCGCTTCTCCTCCTAGACGGTAATGGCCTCCATACCCATCTCTTGGATTTAGGTCACCTATAATCTCAACTCGTTCCACGTAAAATTTGGGCTTTGTCGGTATTGAGGTCTAGGTGTGGCACTCATTGCAATGCACCCTTGTCCAAAAATGGCAAAATTAAATGCTAATTATCTCCCCTACGGAAGGAATTATGGGAAAAATTTCTACAGACAGCTTTCCAAAAGTCATATGTGTAGATTTCAAATATGCNTCTGTTGCAGTTTCCTTTAGATTCCTAATTACACATTTTTTTATTTACAGCACAAGAAATGTTCTTTATCGGTTATTTTCTTATTTCTAGGTTGTAGCTAATGCCATTGCTGCCATCTCTGAGATCCTGGAGACTTCACACAATGCTGCAGCAATCCTTGAAATGGATGGATCCACTGTCAACAAGCTGCTTACTGCTCTAAATGAATGTACAGAGTGAGTATTCAGTGTTTTGAATAGGCACTTCTTAAAAGTTACAAATTCTTTAAAAGTAAATGTTTTGGTGTCTTGACTATTGGAGGTAAATGTTTACTTTACTAGTTTTACTTTGCTCAAAGTTTTCTTTTTAAGGTGGGGCCAGGTGTTCATCTTAGATTCTATTGCTAACTACACTCCTAAAGATGACAGAGAAGCTCAGAGGTAAGAGTGACCCCCCCCCCCTCACACACACACACACACACACACACACACACACACACACACTAACAAACACACACACTAAGAAACACTCACAAGAAAAAATTTATGCCATTGTCGTTGGATTGTTAAAATAATTTTTTTCATTGACATGGAAGATATTTTAATACAGTAAAATTGTAGAGCGGTGCACAGTTTCTAAGTTACTTGATGTACATAACTGTACTTGATTTCAGTATCACAGAGAGAGTGACTCCCAGACTGGNTAGTTTCTGTTGCAGTTTCCTTTAGATTCCTAATTACACATTTTTTTGTTTACAGCACAAGAAATGTTCTTTATCGGTTATTTTCTTATTTCTAGGTTGTAGCTAATGCCATTGCTGCCATCTCTGAGATCCTGGAGACTTCACACAATGCTGCAGCAATCCTTGAAATGGATGGATCCACTGTCAACAAGCTGCTTACTGCTCTAAATGAATGTACAGAGTGAGTATTCAGTGTTTTGAATAGACACTTCTTAAAAGTTACAAATTCTTTAAAAATAAATGTTTTGGTGTCTTGACTATTGGAGGTAAATGTTTACTTTACTAGTTTTACTTTGCTCAAAGTTTTCTTTTTAAGGTGGGGCCAGGTGTTCATCTTAGATTCTATTGCTAACTACACTCCTAAAGATGACAGAGAAGCTCAGAGGTAAGAGTGACCCCCCCTCACACACACACACACACACACACACACACACACTAACAAACACACACACTAAGAAACACTCACAAGAAAAAATTTATGCCATTGTCGTTGGATTGTTAAAATAATTTTTTTCATTGACATGGAAGATATTTTAATACAGTAAAATTGTAGAGCGGTGCACAGTTTCTAAGTTACTTGATGTACATAACTGTACTTGATTTCAGTATCACAGAGAGAGTGACTCCCAGACTGGCTCATGCCAATGCTGCTGTAGTGTTATCTGCAGTCAAGGTAAAAATAATATCATGGCTGTTATATACTTAAAGAAAACTATAAACAGATTTTCATTTGATATAAGAGAATATCAGAGGAAATATAAGGCTGTCACTCAGAATTTGTTTGCTTTTGACAAAACGATTACATTTTTCTTAAGCATTTGCATCTTGTATGTCATTGATATGTTAAACCACATTTTGTTGAATATTCTGACTTCAGGTAATAATGAAGTTGATGGAAATGATGGATCCTACCAGTGAATTTGTGACATCTTTAATCAAGAAACTTGCCCCTCCTTTGGTAACACTTTTGTCAGCAGAACCAGAGATTCAATATGTAGCCTTGAGGAATATCAACTTGATTGTGCAGAAAAGGTAGTCTTAGTTTTAGTTTGGTTTTTAACTAGTTTTCAGACAACTTGAGACAAGATATATTAATAAATTGGTTTTTAATTATGTTTTAAGCATAAATTGTTTTAACTCCATTTCAGAAAAGTTCTTACCTTATTTTTACATCAGATTTGTAGTACTGTTGAGTATATTCTAAAATTCTTATCCTGTTATTTGTATAAATTATTTCCCATCATTTTCTTCTTTTCTTTTTATTAAGATCTGAGATTCTGAAGCATGAGATGAAGGTTTTCTTTGTCAAGTACAATGATCCTATTTATGTGAAATTAGAGAAACTGGATATCATGATCCGTTTGACCAACCACTCCAATATAGCTCAGGTTCTGGCTGAGTTAAAAGAGTAAGTAAATATCTTGAAATTTATATTTGTATGTGAGGGATTAAAAAAGACTAAGACTCATCAAAATGTAAGTTTGATGGATTCTAGGTTAAGATATTTATTTTTTTTCTTGATATTTTAATATCTCATTACTAGATTTGAATGGATGTCACAAGATGATCCTGCTAACATTCAGTCTCTTGAATTTAGGTATGCCACTGAAGTTGATGTTGACTTTGTTCGCAAATCTGTGCGAGCAATAGGTCGTTGTGCTATCAAAGTGGAGCAAGCAGCTGAGAAGTGTGTCAGCACTCTGCTGGACCTTATCCAAACCAAGGTTAACTATGTGGTGCAAGAGGCTGTTGTTGTCATAAAGGTATACACATTTCAGGTGTCATTGTTATAATGTTTCAAAATATATTAGTGGATAATTTTTAGTCAGACAACTTGCATTTGTTCTGTGCTTATAGATTTGTTTTCTTTTACTGGGTATACTGTTATAATAATAAGTTAATAAAATTTGCTATTTCAGGATATTTTCAGGAAATATCCAAATCAGTATGAAAGTATTATTGCTACCCTGTGTGAGAACTTGGATACCCTGGATGAGCCAGAGGCTAGGTAAGAACAGCCATTTGTACATAAGCAGTTTGTCATAACAAGAGATAAGTAGATCCTTCAAAGTTAATTTTCCTTCTGGACATCCATGAGTTTGTGCATATGAAGACTATTGTTGTCCAAATACACTGGCAGTTCTCCGTATCTTTAGGGCTTCTATGATCTGGATTATTGGAGAATATGCAGAAAGAATTGACAATGCAGATGAGCTGCTGGAAAGTTTTCTGGAAGGATTCCAAGATGAGAATTCCCAGGTGCAACTACAGCTGTTGACAGCTATTGTGAAACTGTTCTTGAAGAGACCAACTGATACCCAGGAACTGGTGCAACAGGTGCTTAGCCTGGCTACTCAGGTGAGACTGCATTACTCAACTACAGGTATGTTATTGTAGTTGAGCTTAATTGTAAAAAGTAATTTAACCACATGATTGTTTAATTGAATGTTCATACATAAATCAAGTTGTTTCTGTGATTGTTCTTTAACAGGGGTGTGTCTGTTAAATAATTTACTGACTACTATTCACACGTTTTTCAGAATGTTATCATATACTTTGAATTATTTAACATTTTTCTCCTTTTATAGGACAGTGACAATCCTGACTTGCGTGATAGAGGATACATCTACTGGCGTTTGTTGTCCACTGATCCTGCAGCTGCAAAGGAAGTTGTGCTAGCAGAAAAACCTTTGATATCTGAAGAGACAGACCTAATTGAGCCTACTCTGCTGGATGAGCTTATTTGTCACATTGCTAGCTTGGCATCAGTTTATCATAAGCCACCAAGTGCTTTTGTTGAGGGAGGTAGAGTTGCATCAAGAAGAGTTCTTCCACCAAGATCTGGATCGTGAGTGCTCGTTTATTTTTGTATTAATCAGACAAGGGGATGTGTTTTAAGGCAAAAAATTAATATTGCAGTTTTTTTTTTCTTTTTTTTTTTTTTTTTGATTAAAAAGAAAAGATTGTCTGACAGGAGTAGTACCAATTATGGTATTGCTAGGAAAACATTCTATCAGCATAATACTGGTTTTTACTATTTGTGAGGTAATTGATACTGTACATTCAGAATATGGAGATGCATTTGATGTTATTTTGATTATTTGAAATTCTGATTTATTTAAATTTTTTCATAGTGAGGAGTCAGGTGAAATCTTGGGTGGTGGTGCTGAGGTACCCCAGCAGCCTGTCCAGCAGCCCACTACTGTTATCCCAGGTATGGACTCCCTGATAGGAGACCTGCTGGACATGGACCTGGGTGGTCCCCCCATGCAGCAACAGCAGCAGCAGCAAGCAGCCATGGTACAGCAGCCACCCCAATCATCTGGAAGCATGGATATATTTGGAGATGGCTTAGACAGTCTGGTGAGGAAACATTACTCTTGTGACTTGCTTAGAGACCTATGTCATTGCCACTAAATTTATGAAAGAGATAAGAAATGAGAAAATTGATTTTTCATTTCTTGAAAGTTGTATAATGATTGCCTTAAAAAATCATGTAATATTAAGCTTAGTGCTCAGTCGACATTAATACGTTTAATTTGTGTGAATACACTTTTTGATTGCCCAATTTTCCCAGACTGTAAAAAAATTTTTTTTTGTTACTATGTATAGCTTAACCTCAATCAACCCAGTGGTTTTGATAGCAGTGGGGGCACAGGCCTGGCAGGACTAGGAGACATCTTTGGTGGGATGTCAGCAGGAGTTTCATATGTAGCACCTCAAGAGGTAAGACAGTATATTGTCTCTCCCACTGGTGGTTCCCTCAGTCAAACACTAACCAAAGTGACTAAACTAAAAAGTGTGCGACAGTTCTGAAAAAAGTTATAGATTACTTTCCTAATCTTTTGTATTTTTGAGATAAATCAATTTTTGTAATTTTCAATTTTTTCCATGCTATTCAAGATGTGAAACTGAATGAAAAATGAAAAATCTTTTAATTAAATTCAGAAGATTTAAAACTAAGAATTTGCAATATGTCTTTTTCGATTTTTAAAGGTTTGGTTGCCAGCAGCCAGAGGCAAAGGGTTAGAGATTTCTGGCACATTCTCTAGGAAAAATGGTCAAGTTTTTATGGAAATGACAATAACTAACAGAGCCATGCAACCAATGGGAGGATTTGCTGTGCAATTTAACAAAAATAGGTAAACAGTATTTATATTTGTATAAATACCTTAATGCTTTTATGAAGATTTTACTTTAATTTTTTTTTCGTTTTCTTGTCTTTGGGAAATAGATATTGGATTTCAAAAATAATTTTTTCTTTTAGTTTTGGTCTTGTTCCTGGACAACCCTTATCTGTGCCCCAGCCCTTAACCCCTAACCAAACAGCCAACACCAGTCTGCCCCTTAACACTTCAGGACCAGTGATGAAGATGGATCCCCTGACCAATGTACAGGTAATGTGGTGCTAGCCACACACCAGAGTTGGAAATTGTTAAGAAGTCTATCATAATGTTTTCAATCACATTTTATATTCAGTAGCTTGTTTGGTGTAATTATTGCTGGAGTGTTTGCAGGCATGTGTTGTTTGCATACATTAAGGACTTTGTCATAAGACATAAGTTAAAGTTTCTGAATTGCAGTGATTGATAAGTAATGCAAAATACAAATACAAAAAGCTTTATACAATTTGATAATTTTCAATGTTCCAGGTTGCCATTAAGAACAACATTGACGTGTTCTACTTCAGCACAATAGTTCCCCTACATGTGTTATTCTCAGAGGATGGGGAGATGGACAAAAAGGTATTCCTTGCCTCTTGGAAGGACATTCCAGCTCAGAACGAAGTGCAGTATACAATAAACGATGTGCAACACAGTGCAGGTAAGTGTTTGCTCTGTCCGTTTTCCATTCCAATATAATACCTATTTTTTCTGTGAACACTGTGCTTTAATTGTCAACATGTGCCCTTTCTTTAATATTACATGGATGCTTCAAGTACAGTTAGGTATTTTGTTCTATAGAGATAAAAATTCTTAACACTTATGTCCACAGACTTTCCTAATCTCCTTTGATGATAAACCTATTCTGTGTAAAATATAATGAAACCTATACAAAAATGTATTTTGTCATTGTAGTGTGTATGATGCTGAATTTGATTATATTCCAGATACCACCTCACAGAAGTTAAAGAATAACAACATCTTTACAATAGCCAAAAGAAATGTGGAAGGGCAGGATATGCTGTACCAGTCTATTAAGCTGACCAATGGAATATGGGTTCTTGCTGAACTTAAGATACAGCCAGGAAACAGCAATTTTGTGGTAAGATTTTTCTTCCAATTTGTTTTTATTTTCTCTGCAGATATTCTTGATTTATATTTCTAAATTCGTTTTCAATATAATATAATCTTTCTGGCTTGCTATACTTTCCAGTCTTGTTATTTTACTATCAGTACCTTACTAATCCACAGAAGCATCTGAGCAGTTAAATTCTTCAAGTTTGTGCATGCATTTTGATTGTTAGATTTAACACTTGGTTGGTATTGTTTGTTGGAGTGTTGTGTTACACATCCCTTTCTCCTTTCAGTTATCACTGAAGAGCAAGGCTTTGGATGTTTGTCCTGCAGTACACCAGGCTTATGAAAGCATCATGCATGCATAGCTTTATTTAATATAAGATTGGTGGATTTGGACCCTAACACACTTAATTCCTATGGCATGTACTCGGCCTGATCTTAAAAAAAGAAATTAGCAAACTCTCTCAGTGACAACCTATTATTCTCTTTTTCACATACACTGGACTTTTAGCTAGACCACAGGGAATGTAAGAACAGGACAGTCATGATATGATGAATAACTATCCTTGTTGTTTGAGTGTGTTGTTTGATCTCCTAGGCGTGGCTTGCTACCATGTTAAAAGCTTGAAGGATGTGTAGTTCTTAAGCTCGTAAGAAAAAGTGTGTCTCAGCTTAGGCCCATGGTGTGCTTTTTATCATAATCAGTGTTGATGTTGTCTTTATAATGTGATTTCAGCTGTCTTTGAAGAGTAGAGCCATGGATGTTTATCCTGCTGTACAGGAGGCTTACACCAGCATATTACGGAATTGAAGAAGTTCTTCATTTGGAAATCCACTTCTATGGATATGTAGGAACAGATGTCTTTTTGGACAAAATGAAGTGAACCTTTCGTACAATTGAGTTTTTGGACATTTAAAGTTTAGAACCTAGTTAAAACTGAATGTATAACAGTGCTATTATATTTTGGTTACTGTATTGCCACCAGTTGGAGTCTGTATGTTTGATATAATTAGGAACTAGCATATTTCTTTCTTAGAGAGCATATCACATTGTTTGGTATTAGATATATGTGTGCCTTAGCAGTCCAAGCTTATAAAAACTTATTAAATGATCAAGTACCTAGAAATTAATGTGATGTAATATACTAATAAAATTATTCAAAAGAAATGTAAGTGTTATTTTTCAATGAACAGTTGATGCTGGTGCCATTTTCTTATAGCAAGTGCAAATTGAACACATTATGCCCCATCTTAATTATGATAATAGAAAATCAAAACCAAATTAATGCATTTAAGAATATTGATTTAATGCTCGTTAAAATATAGTACCTGACAATTATAAATGAGTTTACTGATGCAAGTTGCATAGATAGTATTTCAATATGTGAACGTGATGTACAGGGAGCCATCTGAAAAATCGAAACATTTCTGCAAATTTTAATTCTATAAAATGATGCAAAATGCTCTAAGGCACTCTTTAAATATTGAGACTCCTGTATAACATGTATATCAGTTTTGTCTAAATAAAACCATACCTGTCAATGCTGGTTAATGAATTCTACAAAAATCATGGAAACTAATGTCATGGAAACTAACAATAGAAATATGGTGACATCAAGCCACCGTTACGTTTAAACTGGGCTATGTAAGGAAAATAAAATAAAAACAGTTTCTGGTACCAAATCCTGACTACTGCAGCATTAAGGTCATTACTACACATCTAGTTGAGAAAACGTGCCAGTAGTGTAAATAGTAATAAAAGAGGCAAGAAATGCAGCTGCAATCTTAATCAGTGTATTGTAAGGAGCAACCAAAAATCCCTTTTCCCTCTCAAAAATGACAGCACACCTCCATGCACTCAACTTTAGGAATCCCATTTTTATTTAGCTTAAGTATATATACGTAACCTAACATGTATTTAATGGGAAGAACTGAAAACTTGTACAAAGAACAGGTTTATCATTTTTGTATAGAATTTTCAGACTGTTTTCACAAATAAGAATGTGTGTTAGTAGGAGTCTGATACTGGTCTTAAAAATCTAAATTTGCATCAATTGTGATCTTTCGAGATGGCCCCTTACTGTCAAGATGAACAAAAAATGGTTGAAAACAAATATCACACAATGCATTTGAGTATAATAAAACACTGTGCATTTTTATCTGGCATTAACTTACTTCTGAAATCTTAATTGCATGAACACATAAAATGAGGTTTTTCCATTCAGTTTGAAGTCCTGCTTCCTTCAAGTATTGAAAAAATCTGTTCATGAAAGATGCCTTTTTTTCCTTAGGCACAGATGCCATGTGAGGAATCCAACCAGACAGAACTTCTGAAAAATGGAAACTTCTTATGAAAGGCCAGAAGTTTTTTCAAGGACCATCATTTAGTTTTATTTAAATTTAGGTATTGAAAAGGGAAGGTGTGCCAGTTCACAAACTTTAATGAGTCATTAAAGATTTTTTTTCAAATAATGTTACTAATGACATTTAACAAGGGCTGTGACTGCTTTCAAACATGTTACCTTTTAGTCTTTCCTCTGACCCATATTGTGTACATACAGGGTGTACATTAGCCTTCACCACATCAAAGCCACATTGTTGTACTATGTCAGCATAGCCCTTAGCTTGATCACTGCTACTCCACCACAGATTTTCTGCTTGCCATGAAGGGTTCAGGTACAGTATTTGAGGGTCAAAATTCTAAAAAAAAATGATGTAAATATGAAATTTAAAAAATGCAGTATGCTGATATGAGACATTTTATTTTCTTTCTTCTTCAAACAACAGGTAATTCATATTAGTTCTTTGCATTCCCAATATTCCAGTACCTTACAAGACCATGGTTTTTTTTTTTAGTTTAGGAAATGAGCTGATACTGTAGCCTATTCCTGTTGAAGAAACTACTGGCATTACTGCAACTTTGGGTGCAAAATACAGAGACGAAAACTTTTACTGGATCCTTAAAATAATTTTTCAACTGTGACTTGTTCAAATGAATGGAATTCACAATAGTTAATGTCAGAACTGAGTTGAAAGTAAATCCTGATTATGTCACAGTACCAAAGCTTTATAAAATATATACCATAAAATATTCTTTCCACTCTGGATCCAATGTGATTTTTGTTGAAGCATATTGCAGTTCTTTGTAGTGAGAGGCTGTGAAAAACAGAAAGATCTCTGCACCCACTTTGAGGATAGAGTTCATATTTCTCAAGGTTTGGACTTGGTCTCTGATCCAGTGCATGGTATAGAATGAAAACAGCTTGTCAAACCTGGATATCCATTCTGGTTTTAAAGTGGACTTTTCCTAATATAAAACATCATAAAGTTTTATTTACTGACTCATCAAAGGGTATCATTGGATTATATAACTTAAAACGACCACAATATTGCAAAACAATTATTTACTAATAAGAAAAACACAATATAAACCACCATGAAAAATAAAATAAAAGCTGATTAATTTTTTAGTTCCTGTAAATGATGAATAGTTATCCATCAATGACAACAATTTCTTGAAAGTCTAAAACGCATTTTCCTTCATTGTATATATATTTTTTCGTTTGTTTTTAAGATGTTCAGCAAATATATACATACAGCAATGTTAGCCACAGCATAAGAAATTCTTGGGTCACCACTGTTTTCTGTAGCAAACTGAACCATGTCCTGGGAACAGTCTACACCCACTACCTCAGAAATATAAGGACTTAAATTTAATAACAGGTGCTTGGTGACATCTCCTGTCCCACTGCCAATGTCAATGATACAGTCCCCACTCTTCCAATTCAGAGGGTATTCCATTAGTGCATTCTCTATCAGTCCACGCCTGTTGCTGAAATTGCTAGAGAATTTCTGAGCATCCCATTTCATTTCAGTTGGCATTCTGGCGGCAAGTTTAACTTTAAAAGACCTGAAAATGGTAACCACAAATACTGAAAAAAGCTAAATAATAATAATAATAAATAAAATAAATAAATAAACAAATTCATAAATAAAAATAAAATAATAATAATATTATAAAAAAACATTAAAAAAATTAATAAGTAAATTGCCAAACTTTTCTATTTGAAGAGCAGAAACGTTGAAAAAATTTAGCACGTAATGGAACTGAGAAAAACACTGAAAATCAGACTTGTACTTTTGGAGGGCATGCTGCATCTACTATTTTACAAGGTGCGTGTAGGGGTGCACGGACATTAAAATGAATCAATGAAACTTTAAGTCTGCCAAGACAGCGTGGATCTACCTAAATAATAATAACATATAACGGTAAACTGGAATCACAAACTTTTGATTTCCACCACACAAAGCATACATACGTCAAATCTTATTAGAAAACGCAGGTTATTTGCACCATCCATTAGCCTCGTTCACGATCTTGAATGCGTTTTCTTCCGTATTCGGAGGAAGGAATAGATGCAAAATTGTAAACAACGTGAGACAAGCAACTCAGAGAATGAATTAAAAACTGTGTACTGTCGTGATGTAAATAATGGATAATTTTGTACATAAAAGAAAACGTTCAACAGAGGACCAAGAATCAATTGGAAAGAAAAGGAACAGCATGTCATCTGGTGGAACACTAGAAAATGGCACAGCGAAGAATCCGACAAGATCGTTAAATATAAAAGCTGAGAACTTGGACCTAGAATATCATATACTGTTTAGCAAAAGAGAGGCAGATGACTTGTTCCAGAGATGTGAAAAGGAGTTGATATACAACACAGGGCAGCTAGCCCAAGTGAAGATATTTGGAAAATGGCTAGATATTCCAAGGAAACAGGTAGTCATTTGCAATCAGGATTTGGGAACCATCTTACACCAACTTACAACGTCGTCCAAATTACCTTGACGTTAATTCACGTTTGCATGTTCACTTATGTGCTAGATAATAATGATTATAAAGAGTATGAAAAAGAGTGATTAAATATGTTTATTCAGACAAACTTCTGTCTTAGTAGGAAAGTATTAAAACGCATCCCACATTAATAATGTTATTTACACAGTACAAATATACATTGTCATTGATGTATTGGTTAGGTAAGCAGAAAAAAAATGCTCATACGCTATGGCAGGCTGCTGGCGAAGAAACTACTTAAGTCCATTTATAGTCACTTTTATAGATAAACATCTGTGTAGGAGTCTTCTTCCTATCTACCATGTGGGTCAAAATTTCTTACGATTGCATGTAGCAACAGTAACTACAAGGAAAAATTATAATATCTTGACAAAAAATCAAGGGGTGGATAGTTGAGTTTGGTTTCTTCTTTAAAACAATTTTGTCCTGTCTCCGGAGTAACCAGTTTTAGTCTATTACATTAATTTTCAAGATAACCAAGGATCCAGCTCATCAGTAAGTTATTTCCAGGTGGCCCACGGGGATGAAGGTTTGGCATACACCTTCTCTAACAATACTATACCAGCAAAACCATGGACACCATTATTGCTTGAAATTAAGGATGCAATAACTCATCTTACAGGACACACTTTTAATTTTGTTCTCATCAACAGGTAGGTTTGTTTCTGTTGAAATATCACTAGTTTACTGAGGATTTGTGTAAAACTAGGGACCCATCAAGACTGTCATATCCCATTACTCCTGCTACGACTGAATACTAGGAATGGTGACAGAATTAAGAAAATCTTGTCCTATTCCAAAATGAATTTTATGTAAATCATTTTAGAAACATTTCTTTGTTTATAAGGTGATAGATTTGAAGTCAAAAGTGTATATGATATATCGCTTTCTATTTCTATTTGTTAATTCCAATTTGATTATGAAAATTTCTGCTTGTGCTAAATGATCTTGTTAAAAGAAATTCTAAAAAAATTTGATGTTTTTTTCCAGATATAAGGATGGCAGGGATTACATGGGAGAGCATAAGGATGATGAGAAAGACCTGGACCCATACGCACCTATTGCATCGCTTTCACTAGGTCAACAAAGGGACTTTGTTTTCAAGCATGGGGAGTCTAGAGGGAAAGGAGCTAAAAGGAAAATTGACCCAGTTAAGGTGGAGCTTGCAAGTGGCAGCCTTCTGCTGATGAAGTACCCTACTAATAGATACTGGTATCACTGTCTACCTGTTCGAAGAAATGCACCTAATGTACGAATTAATATGACATTTAGACAGATGTTGACTTCAGAAATTAAAGGCAGCTAGCAAGACCAAATAATAATAATTATTAATTGAACAGTACTTGCTTACTGAATTTCATTTAAAGTTTTATTTTTAGAGGGTAAATTGCAAAGAATGTTTTATTTTTATTGGCATCTCATTAAATTTTAAATACAACATCAAATTATAGGTTTCAAAAATGACTTAAAGATTTCATAGTTCCAATAATTTTTCATGTGAAGGACAAAGAAAAATCAAAATATTGAAGTCGTAATGTTATATTAAATTTTCAAATAAAACAAATATTATGTTTTTGCTATTTGTTAGAAATGCCTGCTTTATTTAAAATTAAATAAACCATAAAAAACAACCCATTTGTCACAATATTGAAATAAGTACAAACTTAAACAAGAAGTGAATCCTTTCCCAGAATGACAATATAAAACTAACAATAATAAGCTTCAATAAGCAATTAATTCAAAACTCAACAAATGGATAATACCATAATGTAGAGGAAGCAAACTGGTTAAATAAAATTTTAAAACTAAAAGCAATTTCAGTTACCTTGATTGTCTACATACTGATGATATATGCCCAAAGTGTGGAAAATATTGAGATCTCTGGATAAAATACATTAGCATAGATTTTCATAAATATTCTGTTGTGAAATTAGACTGCCACTAGAGCAGTGTACTTAAACATCAACTGAGGCCATTAAAACTTTTGTCCTAATTTTAGTTAGAAAGTTATCTAACATAGGGAGCTTCATAACAAGCACAGAAATGTATAGCTTCAAAATAGACTGTGTATCATAACTTTAGGATACTGATTAGCTTCCCTTCAAAACATTCCAATTTATCTCCTTCAAATAACTAAATTGTAAGGAAATATCTCATATAAATACGATGCCATATCAAAATTTTTTTAAGTGCAGGTTGAAAGAAAGAACAACACATGAAAGGTAGCCTAAGAGGAAAAAATTCAATAAACTTGAGGTGTATTGGATACAATCCCTGACAGTTTGAAAAGATGCACAATCTGTGGCAAAAACCATGGCCATTCCACAAATGGCAGGTCAACCCGACCTATGCAAGCCTGTTCTGTTTCTCTTCCATGTTGCTGAGGCAACAAACTCCAAAGCCAAAGCAGAGGAAGGTGAACACATCTCTGGTATATCCCAATGATTTCCTTTTGAGGTCTTGTAAAGGACTTCAGGTAATTCTTGCCCACTTGGCAAAGGAAACCACATCCTTAACAGGAACATTCCTTGTGTGTGCTTTAAGTCTCAGGTTTCTATCATCAGTTAAGAGGACAACTTCTCTGTAAAGACGCACTGGTGTATCTGAGGGAAGAAAATAAACATGTTCCAATATGAACAACATGGTAATATTTTGAACATAAAAAATTATTGGCTGCTTAATATTACTTCTCATGTTTGACCAAATGTTTGCAAAATACTACTAAATACAGCAATTATAACACCTCTTCACTGAATCAGAGTTCAGTCATGAAATCAAAAGAAAGAAAGGGCTTCTCCATTTTCTCCACTTGGTAAACTAAGACTGCCTAATACTTTCAAAATTTGGTACATCAGACACAATTTATGTGTAAATATTTGAGAATAAAAAGTATTCACTGACAGATCAAGTAAATCTGGAGCTGTAACAATAGTCCGAATGTTTATTGGTCCGAATGTTCACTATAGACCCTTTGGACCAATGAACCCTTGATTTAAAAAAAACGATGAAAATGTTAGCATTTTTAGGACCAAAGAACCCTGGTAAATCTACTTACTTCTCTCCCTGGGCATAAAATCTCTGGCTTTATCCTGGCAATAATGCAGACAACAAGAAAGAATAAGGTCATCATTGTTGCCCTGAAATGTAAAAAAAAGAAATTAAAATGGTTATACCTGCATTGGATAAGAATTTGCATTTTTAATTCAAACTTAATCTTATATAATTTTGTTTTATCGTTGTGTATGCATGCGAGTGTGTTTAAGAAAATCTCAATAAAATTCTTATTCCAATTATACATTACTTGTTAACATTAGAAATACACTATGCCAATTACAAGTTAACATTATGCCAAACCAGATAATCACAAAGGTATTGAAAATTATAAGTCAGTCTCATCTACAATTTTACAGAAATTGCAGTATGTTAAACACTGTACCCTAAAAAATCAACTTACAATATGAGATGTCTCTTCACTACGATATGATATTGTTTCCATCACAGTTCCTTTGGAAGTGAGAGCTTTAAGATGTGAATTTCTGTTCTCAAACTCTTCCTCGAGGTAGGCTACAGCTCCCTTGGCACAGGACTCTAAAGAACCTGCATGGTCAACACTCTCAAATGCACTGGATTTATCTCCTTTGGACAGGCCATCTAATTCATTCATTACTGAAAACATAACAGCCAGATTTAATAACTGACAGATCTTATCTCTGAAAATAAGAAATGTACCACAAGCTTCAGTTTTAAGGCCTGCAGTTTCTTCATTTTCAAATCCTATTATGATTGAAAATATGATGATGAGGATGGCCCACAACATCTCTGGCACTCAGTTTCTGTAAAAATGGTGCTTTCTTCTTAAATTATTTAAAATAAATAACTATTGTAATTATAATTAATCACCTTATACAAAAAAAGTACGTTTTTCTAGGAGAAACAGATATATTTGCAAGGCTAATCTCTATAACATGTATCTGATGGAAGAACACAAATACCAGTAAAATTTAAGCTAGTCTAATAAAATTGTATAAATTAGCTCAGTTTCGGGTCACTGTTTTGCTTTGGGTCAGTAAATTTTTAGACTTTGTTTGCCTGAAAGGCCAGTAGGCTAAAACGTTTTTGGCTCACACCGTAATCAAACAAACAACTCACCAACTAAGGGCACAACTATGGTGTACTTCTTTCCTTCTAATATGGTCTTAATGGTCTTCAGATGATCAATAAAACAGTTGGTGTCTGGGATAAGGAAAAGAGGCCGCACCTCAAGTTCAATTGAACGACTTTCTTTCTCAAAAATAGCCTGAAAGCAGGGGAAGAAAATTTGCATTATTAAATTTATTGAATTCTTCAAATACAATCACATAATGGTAAAACCATAACATGTAAATTCAGGATCCAGAAAAACATATGATATAACTCATAGTCACAAATATATTTCAACTCTACCTAAACAAAGCATAAGTAATTTTAACCTTTAAAATATATACATAGTAGTATTTTGTTGGTCACATAGGCCAGGATGTCTTAGGCCAATGAAACTATTGTAACATTTATCATAACATCATTAATGTTCAAACCTGAATGTTTTCTTCCTGCTTCTGCTGTTGTTCCATTTTCTTTTTAAGTTCCGACTTCTTTTGTTTGAGCTGCTTCACATGCTCCTCATCATCACTGCAAACCTCTTCCTCCTCTTCACTCTCAACAATTACATCATCATCCTTGATAAAAATAACAACAACCATTATGTATATATAAGTCCATTTATGAGTAGGAGGTGTCCCTGTGATTAAGCAACTAACAAGTCCTGTGGCCTGTTTGACTGATTAACTTTAGCCCGAATATTGTTATAGACTAATTTATAACTAATTTATCCCAAGATAAATAAGTATTAGATAAATAATAACTAATAAATAAGTAATACAGTTTACATTATTTAAGCATATTAATATAATATTATTTTAAAATAATTAATCAATCACAGACCATACCTCCGATAAATTTTCCTGTTCTTTATCTTGTTTATTTTCACAAATGAGTTTCGGTGCCACAGACTTGTACTTCTTTGTCTGCACATCATACATCAACATGGGAGGCTCTATACCACAGAGATATTCACCAAACAGCTTCAGTTTCTCTATTCTACAGCAGTCCTTTGCAGATTCCTGGAATATCAAAACAATAGTGGATTCATAAAAAAAGCTTTCAAAAACTATTTTGATACTCAATATATACAACAGATGAACAAATTTCTTTAAAACAGATAATGTGCTCAAACCCTAATACTTTCAATGAAAACATTATTTTGCAATAGCTAGGCAGAATGACAAACAATATATACAGATAGTGAAAATGTGATAATATCATGTAAATAATAACAGTACATGGAAATTCCATCTTAAATTTCAGCAGGGAATGTCACAGTTACTTACCCTGTCTTCATCTTTGTGCACATATGCCCTGTCATCAGGGAGACTCAACAAAGGCACAAAACCAGCTAGCATCACATCCTCTTCCAAGATAACTGGTTCAAGCTCTGTAATAGATAAATTACAAATAAGTTACAAGAAATTACAATGTCCTAGTAAAAAATTAAATATTTCAGAATGACACAGGAAAATAAATACATAACTAGAGGATCAGAGAGGCGATACCGCCTCCGATATTGTACCACCAGCTGGAGTAAGCGCATTCGTATGCCCCCCCCCCCCAAAAAAAAAGGGGACACCACCCCCAGTCTTGTGCTTGACAAGCTCTATAAAATACAATCAACAAGAGTTCTCAAAATATGCAAAAAAAAAAAAATAATAAATAAATAAATAAATAAATAAATAAATAAATAAATAAAATAACTAAAAATGGTACAATCAAGCAGATTTTCAAATTGACTTGCATTTTCCTACCATTGATCACTCCTGTGATTCTCTAGATAAAAGGCCTATTGGTTTCCCTTGAAATGTGTTGTCAGTGGTGCATATATGCTGACAAAAGAGAAAACCTAGGGGCAACAACGGGCACATCTCTGCTAGTTTGGAAGATATGAGGGGCAAGAAATATGCAAAGCTCAGTTCATGGTGAAAAAGTAGGTCAAAGGTCAATTTCAGTATCATAGTATATGAATTTCTATTCAAGTTCAATAGTAACCATGGGCATTTCTTTGCCAATTTTGCAGATTTAAAGGCCAGAAAACATGCAAAAAGCAGTTCATCATAAAAAAGTAGGTCAAAGATGAATTTCAAGGTCACAGATTGCCAGTGTATTACTTCCTATTCAAGTTCAATAGTAACTATGGACCTATCTCTGCCAGTTTTGGAGATATAAAGGAAACCAAAATTTGCAAAGTTCAATTCATTATGAAAAGTAGGTCAAAGGTCAATTTTAAGATCATAGTAAATTGCCTGTAATGACTTTCTATTCAAATTCAATAGTACCTATGGACCTATCTCTGCCAGTTTTGGAGATAAAGGGAATGAAAATTTCCAAAGTTCAGTTCATGGTGAAAAGTAGGTCAAAGGTCAATTACAGTGTCAGAGTTAATTGCCAGTNAGCCGCAGGAGCCGGCGGAGCCGCAGGAGCCGGCAGAGCTGTACGAGACGGGTCGGGACTAAAACCATGAGTACCGCCAGCGTACACGCTGGTGGTACTAAAAATGCAGCTTATTCTGACCCCATAAACAATCATAATTTAAAAACAGCATTTGTGTTTTTGACCATTCAATAACATATTGGTTACAAAGCAATGCTGATTCAAAGTTGTGTTTGTTTTTCTTACCTTCCATTTTCTCCCTGTATAAGCTGATATGGGAGATATCAAGATTATTGAGAATGTTACACAACTCTGCCAAGGACTGCCATACATCTATCTCTGGACTGAAATGTATAATACAAATAATACATACTTAACACAATAAACATTTAACATAACATGCTTTATTTAAACAAAATTAATATTAGATCATAAAGTTATTTCATACCAACAAAAATCTCTTTAAAAATTTCTTCACTTGTTCATTAGATTACTTTGGATCTTCCTTCTATTCCTTTTTCTCTTTTTATCACTAGTGTAATTCTAGACATCAAAAAGTTGGGCTGAAATATTACATCTGGCTCATCTGTCAGGAATAATGTAGCAAGATCATTCAACAAGACTATCACAGTCTCTACCAGCAAACAACATCTCTTACCCCAGAGTTGGATCCTTCTGGTTTGGAGGAGGGTTCCACAAGGCAGAGTGACACACCATCCAGTCAGACCACACTTTAACACTGGGCAGCAAATGGTGCAAGTCTTCATTCATGAGATCTTCTGAGCTTGTGGACTCTGAAAGGTGATCCCTATACAGCTGGACACACCTCTCCAACAGCAGTCCAAACATGTCCAAGCCAAGCTGGATGGCTTGTTCCTGTAACAGCGACCTGCACTCATTTTCAACTGTTGTGGCTGTAAAGGAGAAAGTGAAGTTCAATGGATATTGGGCACTGTCTAAATACAATTTTGTAAGTAGTGGCACTTCTATAGAAATAAATTTCATAATCACCGCATTATTGAGATATCATCTTCAATCTAGATACATTGTACTCATAAACTTTCCTACTGAGAAACTAACATAAGGATCACTGAGACATGTTAAACACACACACACGCATGCATGCACGCGCACACACACACACACACACACCATAAGCAGTTGATAAATACTCTCTCCTCTTACATTTGAGTGAAGTGCTGTCTACAGCAAACATGTTGATCACAATAAGCTGTAGAAGTCTGCTGTCTCCCACTGGTACAGGGCTGTGCTGCAATAACACCTCAAACTCCTGCAGCATTTGAGATGCTGCTTCTGGAAATGTCTCCATGCTAAAAAAAAAGCAGAAATCTTCATTTAATGTTATTTCAAAATTCATTTTTAAATGGTTCCATCAACCAAGTGTATAAATCAGGACTACTTTAAGAAAACTGTTATTTTCTACTCTATTTGGTTTCAGTTTGAGAAATTTCAGGCTAAATAATTTTTAACAGTTATCAGAATAGTTTACAGATTTTATAAAATCAATAATCAAAATAATCAATCAACACAACTAAAACAAATGATCAAATAAATAACACCTACCCAATTTTAGTAAATAACTTTCCATGGCAAATTAAGAAACTCAGAGAGAATCGTTTGTTCAACTGAAAGAGAATGCGAAAATATTTTATCAACTCTGCCCATCGATTACAATTATTCTGTCTGAATGTATCGACACTTATGAAATAAACAGCATATCATTTTACATATATACAGTGTTAGAAATTAAGGTTGGACCATCTGCCTGGGGTCGACAACTTTCAGAACGGGCCGAGAAGTTTTCCCACCCGTCAGACATTCAGTCCAGCTACTTTTCAAGATGGCTGGACCTTAAGTCCAGCAACTAATTTTCCTAAGAGGTAAACACTGCATATATATTTAAGGTATTAAAAAATGAAATATTTCTGTTTGAATAGATTTACATAAGATGATATGTTTTAATTCCAACATTTTAAATAACACACACTCAAATACAAATGCACAGGCACACATGAATGCACAAACACAATCTAGCAAGCACATGCAAACTATTTGGTAACCTCAATGGCAGACAGCTGGTGAAGATTGTCAGCCTCATCATCTATCATGTCCTCAGAACTGGTCCCATCCGGAGCAATCCAGATCTCAACCCTGTGACCCTCCTCCTGATTATGCAGCCTCTCTCGCTGTCTCTTCCTCTGCAGCCTTTCCTTCTCTGCTTGCTTTTTCTTTTCAGTAACTTCTGCCTAGAATAGGAGAATGAATGGAGTCTTAGGACTGCAGCCCATTGCTGAATACCATGATGCTATGTCAACAAGAATACTTTCCTAAGCACATATCAATATTTGAAAGCAAGTGGACAGCTAGCCCATACTTTATGATGGAAAAAATCATTTACAGCATCATCATACAATCACTGAATTAAGACTCAAAGAAAAGAGAATAAAGGGGCAGGCCACATAACAGTATGCTAGACCGAAACAAAATATGAGAGAAGGACAAAAGGCTGCATCCAGTTCAGAGCTTTTTTTTTTAATTTTCTGACCTGTGGAAGCTGATGGAATGACAGGGAGAAGACAGACAACAGAGTCCAAAATACAAGAAGCTGTAGTGAAATACATATTATCAAAATTTAACGTGTCTATACCTTTTTTCTTGCCTCATCAAAAAGAGACATGAGACTTTCTCTCGCAGTGAGGAAGGGATTGCTGGCTGCCAGGCTCCTCATGTAGTAGTATACCGCATCTAGTTTTCTTCTCTGAAGCAAGGGAAAAGAACACCATTGGCTTTGTTTACAGGAATCAAACTTCTTTTTGAAGTGGCATCAAAATTTGAAATGTTCTATTGAATGCAACTTATTCTAAATGTGCATGTTTTTTCTTTAGTAAAAATAAACAATCTGTTTTTGTATACTTACTGTGTAAAGAGCCAAGATTGCTAATTGATTGTATGGCCTTCCATTTTTTGGAGCAAGATGTTGAGCTTTCATATACCAGCTGCAATGACAATACAACGTGAATTCAACAAAATCAGATCATAAAAAAACAAGGCAGCAAAGCTGTCAAATGTACAGACAAAAAGCTGAAAATAACAATGCACAAAATAGGCTACTGTCAATTCTGATACAAAAGTACATTATGCTTAACTGCAAATTCAACATCAATAATTATGCTCAACAGGTAACACCAATGTAAATAAAATATGAAACAAGCATAAGGCTTCAGGCCCATGAGAGTTCACGCNTTTTTGTAGGTCACATAGGCCAGGATGTCTTAGGCCAATGAAACTATTGTAACATTTATCATAACATCATTAATGTTCAAACCTGAATGTTTTCTTCCTGCTTCTGCTGTTGTTCCATTTTCTTTTTAAGTTCCGACTTCTTTTGTTTGAGCTGCTTCACATGCTCCTCATCATCACTGCAAACCTCTTCCTCCTCTTCACTCTCAACAATTACATCATCATCCTTGATAAAAATAACAACAACAATTATGTATATATAAGTCCATTTATGAGTAGGAGGTGTCCCTGTGATTAAGCAACTAACAAGTCCTGTGGCCTTTTTGACTGATTAACTTTAGCCCAAATATTGTTATAGACTAATTTATAACTAATTTATCCCAAGATAAATAAGTATTAGATAAATAATAACTAATAAATAAGTAATACAGTTTACATTATTTAAGCATATTAATATAATATTATTTTAAAATAATTAATCAATAACAGACCATACCTCCGATAAATTTTCCTGTTCTTTATCTTGTTTATTTTCACAAATGAGTTTCGGTGCCACAGACTTGTACTTCTTTGTCTGCACATCATACATCAACATGGGAGGCTCTATACCACAGAGATATTCACCAAACAGCTTCAGTTTCTCTATTCTACAGCAGTCCTTTGCAGATTCCTGGAACATCAAAACAATAGTGGATTCATAAAAAAAGCTTTCAAAAACTATTTTGATACTCATTATATACAACAGATGAACAAATTTCCTTAAAACAGATAATGTGCCTAAACCCTAATACTTTCACTGAAAACATTATTTTGCAATAGCTAGGCAGAATGACAAACAGTATATACAGCTACTGAAAATGTGATAATATCATGTAAATAATAACAGTACATTGAAATTCCATTTTAAATTTCAGCAGGGAATGTCACAGTTACTTACCCTGTCTTCATCTTTGTGCACATATGCCCTGTCATCAGGGAGACTCAACAAAGGCACAAAACCAGCTAGCATTACATCTTCTTCCAAGATAACTGGTTCAAGCTCTGTAATAGATAAATTACAAATAAGTTACAAGAAATTACAATGTCCTAGTAAAAAATTAAATATTTCAGAATGACACAGGTAAATAAATACATAAAAATGCAGCTTATTCTGACCCCATAAACAATCATAATTTAAAAACAGCATTTGTGTTTTTGACCATTCAATAACATATTGGTTACAAAGCAATGCTGATTCAAAGTTGTGTTTGTTTTTCTTACCTTCCATTTTCTCCCTGTATAAGCTGATATGGGAGATATCAAGATTATTGAGAATGTTACACAACTCTGCCAAGGACTGCCATACATCTATCTCTGGACTGAAATGTATAATTCAAATAATACATACTTAACACAATAAACATTTAACATAACATGCTTTATTTAAACAAAATTAATATTAGATCATAAAGTTATTTCATACCAACAAAAATCTCTTTAAAAATTTCTTCACTTGTTCATTAGATTACTTTGGATCTTCCTTCTATTCCTTTTTCTCTTTTTATCACTAGTGTAATTCTAGACATCAAAAAGTTGGGCTGAAATATTACATCTGGCTCATCTGTCAGGAATAATGTAGCAAGATCAAAAATAAGACTATCACAATCTCTATCAGTAAACAACATCTCTTACCCCAGAGTTGGATCCTTCTGGTTTGGAGGAGGGTTCCACAAGGCAGAATGACACACCATCCAGTCAGACCACACTTTAACACTGGGCAGCAAATGGTGCAAGTCTTCATTCATGAGATCTTCTGGGCTTGTGGACTCTGAAAGGTGATCCCTATACAGCTGGACACACCTCTCCAACAGCAGTCCAAACATGTCCAAGCCAAGCTGGATGGCTTGTTCCTGTAGCAGCGACCTGCACTCATTTTCAACTGTTGTTGCTGTAAAGGAGAAAGTGTAGTTCAACAGATATTGGGCACTGTCTAAATAAGATGTTGTAAGTATTGACACTTCTATAGAAATAAATTTCATAATCACTGCATTATTGAGATATCACCTTCAATCTAGATACATTGTATCTAAACTGAAGGTGATATCTCAATCTAGATACATTGTATGCATAAACTTTCCTACTGAGAAACTGACATAAGGATCACTGAGACATATTAAACACACACACACACGCATGCACGCACACACACACACACACACACACACACACACACACACACCATAAGCAGTTGATAAATACTCTCTCCTCTTACATTTGAGTGAAGTGCTGTCTACAGCAAACATGTTGATCACAATAAGCTGTAGAAGTCTGCTGTCTCCCACTGGGACAGGGCTGTGCTGCAGTAACACCTCAAATTCCTGCAGCATTTGAGATGCTGCTTCTGGAAATGTCTCCATGCTAAAAAAAAAAGCAGAAATCTTCATTTAATACTATTCCAAAATTCATTTTTAAATGGTTACATCAACCAAGTGTATAAATCAGGACTACTTTAAGAAAACTTCACTGTTATTTTCTACTCTATTTGGTTTCAGTTTGAGAAATTTCAGGCTAAATAATTTTTAACAGTTATCAGAATAGTTTACAGATTTTATAAAATCAATAATCAAAAAAATCAATCAACACAACTAAAACAAATGATCTAATAGATAACACCTACCCAATTTTAGTAAATAACTTTCCATGGCAAATTAAGAAACTCAGAGAGAATCGTTTGTTCAACTGAAAGAGAATGCGAAAATATTTGATCAACTCTGCCCATCAATTACAATTACTCTGTCTGAATGTATCGACACTTATGAAATAAACAGCATACCATTATACATATATACAGTGTTAGAAATTAAGGTTGGACCGTCTGCCTGGAGTCGCCAACTTTCAGAACGGGCCGAGAAGTTTTCCCACCCGTCAGACATACAGTCCAGCTACTTTTCAAGATGGCTGGACCTTAGGTCCAGCAACTAATTTTCCTAAGAGGGAAACACTGCATATATATTTAAGGTATTAAAAAATGAAATATTTCTGTTGAATAGATTTACATAAGATGGTATGTTTTAATTCCAACATTTTAAATAACACACACTCAAATACAAATGCACAGGCACACATGCATGCACAAGCAATCTAGCAAGCACATGCAAACTATTTGCTAACCTCAATGGCAGACAGCTGGTGAAGATTGTCAGCCTCATCATCTATCATGTCCTCAGAACTGGTCCCATCCGGAGCAATCCAGATCTCAACCCTGTGACCCTCCTCCTGATTATGCAGTCTCTCTCGCTGTCTCTTCCTCTGCAGTCTTTCCTTCTCTGCTTGCTTTTTCTTTTCAGTGACTTCTGCCTAGAATAGGAGAATGGATGGAGTCTTAAGACTGCAGCCCATTGCTGAATACCACGATGCAATGTTAACAAGAATACTTTCCTAAGCACAGATTCATATTTAAAAGCAAGTGGACAACTAGCCCAAACTTTTAGATAGAAAAAATCATTTACAGCATCATACTATCACTGAATTAAGACGCCCAAAGAAAAGAGAATAAAGGGGCAGGCCACATAACAGTATGACAAAAGGCTGCATCCAGTTCAGAGCTGTTTTTTTTTTCTGATCTGTGGAAGCTGATGGAATGACAGGCAGAAAACAGACAAAAAAGTCCAAAATACAAGAAGCTGTTACAGTATTAAAATACTATATGCCTGCATATTATCAAAATTTAATGTCTATACCTTTTTCCTTGCTTCATCAAAAAGAGACATGAGACTTTCTCTCGCAGTGAGGAAGGGATTGCTGGCTGCCAGGCTTCTCATGTAGTAGTATACTGCATCTAGTTTTCTTCTCTGAAGCAAGGGAAGAGAACACCAATGGCTTTGTTTACAGGAATCAAACTTCTTTTTGAAGTAGCATCAAAATTTTGAAATGCTTTAATGAATGCAACTAATTCTAAATGTTCACGTTTTTTTCCTAAGTAAAAATAAACAATCTGTTTTTGTATACTTACTGTGTAAAGAGCCAAGATTGCTAATTGATTGTATGGCCTTCCATTTTTTGGAGCAAGATGTTGAGCTTTCATATACCAGCTGCAATGACAATACAACATGAATTCAACGAAATCAGATCATACAAAAAAAAAGAAAAGAAACAGAACAATATAATAGGAAAGAATATTTTGATGACAAATGCACCGCACTGCTGTGCAAACTCTATATGCTTCCATCACATTAAAAAGAGGACAATTTTCTATGCCTCCTGGTCCTTTCAAAGTTGTGAGCATCATTTGATTGCTCCTTGTATCTCTTTATATTTAATTAGCATTAAAAAATAACAAAAGGACAGGGAGAAGAATAGTATATAGCTTCCAGAACAAGCTTTTACGTTATGACTTTCAGTTTTAAAGTTTTGATATTATATATATATTATATATTATATGATATGATAAATATTATTAAAGGGATATTTTGCCTTACCTCCTGGCCCTTCCAAAGTTGTGAGCATCATTTGATTGCTCCTTGTATCTGTGTATGTCCCCAAGGAAAATCATGCACCTCTGTGCGCTCAGTAAAGCCAGCTTAACATGACGAGACAAATTTTCAGGAGGAAGATGGCTACTGTCTAAGAAGATGGACAGATTGAAGTTGAATGTTGTCTGCAGCTTTTGTAAGAGGTCATTGTAAAAATTTAACCCCTGAAAAAGGAAAGAATACTTTCAACTTATTTCAGAGTCAAACTGAGGATTTAACTAAGTGCAATGTTGCTTTTTGGACTCTTGGATAAAATTATAGCTGTTTTAAATAAATCGATGTATAAAAATCTTCAAAACTCTAATTATTTTTAATGCTTTGAAACCAAAGTAAGAACAAATTGCATTGCAAGTTTAATCACTAGTACTATAAGAGTCAATACCTCTTCCAAAACATCCATGAGATTCTGCTTTACTCTGCCATCCTGGTCTTCTTCTTGTAGCAGCTTTCTGAACATTTCTATAGCATGATAATAGACAGCTTTCCACAAGTTCTGCTCAACATTGTGTCTATTAGATAGATCTGGGTCTAGCAGGATTACCTGCTCATATAATCTCTGCAGTTCACGTCTGAAACCAAGTAGAAGAGGCATAATAGCTTTTTTACTCGGAAAAAATTGGTATTTTTTTCTGCTTATGTGAAGATGGCGCCCTACATTAAACTAAAGCAATGATACAGTCCTATAAAAAATTTCACTGTCATTCACTTTGAAACAATCACATTAGCATCCACAAACAAAAAGAAAAACATTAAGATTTGGAAATGGTTGCATTTCAAATGCATCGAGATCAAGCCCTCACCTCATTTGGTTCATTCTCTCCACACCCTCAGCATTTAGTCTCCTAGACAGAATGTTTCCCAGCTGACCATCCAGTGGTATGGCTTGACTCAGCATTTGTTCTGCAGCCATCCTGTTAGCTGACCTGGATCTACCAGACAGCATCATCTCTTGTTCATAACCACTAGAATATCAGTATTAACAAGATTACTTTAGATTTGACACAAACAGGTTTATTTTTGTGAAAGAATATTTTTCACCGATTATATATAATTAAGCAAAATTTGTGATTGATTTCATAATTTCTTACACTATGCAATCAATTATGCAGCCATGTTCTATACTTCATACCTGTGATAATAGGGATCCCTTGAATAAGTATCATCATGATAAGTTCCACTGTCAAAATATGCCATAGGTGGGTATGGTGGGTATGGGAACCCCACCTCCCTGGGGTACCCTTCTGGGTACTGCACCTGTCTGATATCACCATAGCCTCCCCTGGGCGGCTCTGGGGAGTAGGGCTCATTGGGATCATGAAAGTGAAGCTGTGGCTGAGACTGCTCTATTACAATTGGCTTGTTAGGATTCTTAGGATCAAAAAGTTGTCTCTGCCCTCTGCCCCTCCCGCCACCTCGCCCTCTGTTGTGCATGTACCCTCGCTGTTGTGGATGTGGGTAGTTTGGCTCTGAAGCCTGTGGCTGACTACCTGGGAAGGGAAGGTGGATAATGCCCCCGCCCCTTGCAGTCCTTGCTGGGTTGGATTCATCTTCATCCCAAGAACTGGTTGAAGACTGGCTGTCCTGTCTAAGCCTTCCATGTCTGTTTTGATGTTGGTGCTGCGGGTGTGGCTGTCTCTGCCTAACAGGACTTCTTTTATTTCTCTCAATTACCTTTACCTGAGGTTCATCATTGGTAAATGTGACATGCCCTCTGTGTTTGTTCTTTTTTGATTGCATTTCTTCATTCTCTTCATCCTCTGCTTCATCTACTAAAGAACCCCAGTCTTTTTGTGTCCGAGACCCCTCTACATTTTCATTATACTTTTTCCCTTGCTTTTTCAACCTGTTATTAGATGCATCTGTTTTAAACTGACTTTCATCATTAGAGACTGTTTTCCTCCTGGCTCCATTATTGTTGGCAACATTTTCAGATTGTTCATGGTGATGAGAATGTTCCCTTCTATCAGGCTTATTTTTCTTCCTTTCTCTGTTATCTCTTTTGTGCTTTAAGTCCTCTTTCAGCTTTACCATTTCTCTCTCTGTCTGGGAATTACTCAGATACACTTCTGTATCATTATCCTCGACTGTGACCTTCATTCTCCCAATCTCTCTCTCTATTTCACTATCCCATTCCTTGCTGCTGGATAATGGATCTTCAAAACTGTCCCTGTCTACTGAACTAATATCACTGTTATTGCTTGTAGCCCTGGGTCTTCGTTTGTTTGCAGAATAGCGTCTATTTTTTGATGGTGATTCTGGTGAGGCCACGTTGGCAACTGTTATAGTGAGGTTAATCCCAGAAGTGTCCACCTTCCTTTCAACTGAAGCTTCTTCAGAGTCACTTCCAGATCTAAAAACATTCTCATTGTCATCTTTTGATTTGTGTGGCTGGTGCAGTGTCTTTTTGTCAAAATTTTCTTTTCTTGATGTGTTTTTCTTAAAAGAAGAATTTTCAAATACCAAAGTTTGAAAAGATTCTTTTGGTGATTGATTTTTGTCCATTGGGGTTTCTTCTAATCCGGTGGAGTTCGTTTGTTCATCCAAATTTTTCTCTCCTGCAATTAATTTTGGTTTGGGCACATATACTTGCAAAGGAGGTCTCTTTTGTTTTTTCTTGATATTTGAGACTGAGGTGGTGTCGTTTGATTCATTATGTGTACCTTCATCCCTTTTACCTGCCCTTGCTGAGTCACTGGTTGATCTTGACACACCATCTTGTGTTTTTGTGCCTCTGCTTTGTTTAGATGTAGAACTATCAGAGTCTTTAGAAAAATAACCCTCTCTGTCTGAATAGCTTTGTCTGTCAGTCTGTTTATCAGTGTTTTTCTTAATCTCATGTTCAGATGCCTCTTTTTCATGTTGCTTTATATTATCATTTCCAATTTTGGTATTATCTTCTTCTTGTTCCTTTTTCTGAAATCTCATGCGTGGTTGGTAAATTGCAATGTCTGGTCGTTTCTGTCTATTTCTTTGTTTTTTTCCTTGATCCTGGGTTGGCTCATCAGGTTCTGAAAGTATAAACTCACATTCTATGCATGTTTTACTGATTACTGTTTCCCCCCTTTTTCAATCATTTTAAACAAGACACAAGTTGGTTTACAGTATAACTACTAGTAATAACAAGTAGTACATGAGACCGTGTTGTCAGTACACAAAAAACATAGTATTAGAATTGCTGTAAATGAAAAACTGAATGTCAATGCCATTACACACAGCTGTTCTAGTAGAGTGCACCAGCGTATCACCAGCAAAACTGTCTCATTCAACTTTACCTGCCTGAATGTAAATACATGTTGTTGGTGTCAGTACACTGCACACATACTTTGAATTTTAATATATGCGTACAGAAAACTATATCAGCTTTTTTTAAAATTTGTTCCCATGTTATTTTAACAAAGAGCTGATTAATAGAATAACTCAAATTAAATTCGGTATCTGTTAACGCCTCGGCGTTGCCCCTAGACTTGGCTAAAAAACTCCGAATCTGGCCTAAGGTGGGCTGTATGGCAGCAATCTAAGGATGAAAATCACCATTTCTAAGCAATTGTGACATCATTATTTTCAGTTCTTACCGTTTCCGTGGACCTTCGGATTTTTGGCATGCTGATTGCTTGCCAAATGTTCGAGTTCTTGATAGGAAATCCGAACAACTTTTTCTTTTGAAGCCATCATTCGCTCTTTCCGGACTTCTTTTCAATGAGAGTCCTTATCCAGGATCCAAGAAAGGCAACAGTCGATTTCTTTTAACAAAAGATGACAGCCATGACAGCTTTCAGAGGCATTGACAGTTCTTTAAAAAATGTGAAATAATTGTTTCAGTTTTTTGTTACACTCCTGGGTTTTTAAATTCAAGACCTATGATATAAAGATTTTAAAAAATTTATCCAGTTTTTATGTGAGCACTGCCTTTTTAATGTGTATTTTTTTTTGCATTACTAGTTTATTTTACACAATACCAATTGAATGATTAAATTAATACTCNTTTTTTAATTCAAGACCTTTGATATAAAGATTTTAAAAAAATTTATCCAGTTTTTATGTGAGCACTGCCTTTTCAATGTGTAATTTTTTTTACATTACTAGTTTATTTTACACAATACCAATTGAATGATTAAATTAATACTCTAATCATCATTCCAAGCGATAACCTATTTTGCAAAGGTAAATGCATCCTTACTGACCACCTTCTCTTGGTAAATAAGAAAAACAAAAAAAAAAAAAAAAAAAAAATATATATATATATATATATATATATATATATATATATATATATATATATATATATATATATATATATATATATTTCAATGAAAAAATAGTGAATAAATAAAACCAGAATGCACTTCATTTTCAACCCCACTTTATTTACATAAAGAATCAAAACTGAAGGCTTTATATCTGAAGAAACCATATGAGAATACAAACTAGTATTGCACATTTACAGCATATTCTGTCCTATGTAACATCTGAATTTCAGACATCCTAAAATGTTGTGTGGACTCATGTGACAAATATATTTTTCTAAGACTAGGGTGATCAAAAGATTATAATTTAAGTACCCATTCACTATATTAATCAAAACTTACACGATTACTTTCTTAACACAATACTAATCTGCATGTGAAAATACCACAGTGACAACAATATATACTGCTAATTATATAAACACAGAACTTTTTTGTACAATTAACAACTTAATTAAGGCCTCTTTTAATCTTTTAAATTCATAAACAATATAAAATTCAATACATTTGCAATAATTAAATAGCTAGGTGAAACATTAAAGGTAGTACCAATAGTTACTTAGACCAATTTGAAAAATTACTTATTCCCATAATGCTCTATGGTTATACTGAAACTTCAAACCAAATAAAAGTGGTCTCAAACACAATAACCAAACAGATAAGGTAAAAGCAATACCTCCTTCAAGAGACAAGTGGTACAAAAATGGAACTATGTTTTCTTTTTTTTATGACGATTTTTTAAAAACTAATCAAACCTCAGTCAGAGGTGGAAAAATGGTGTAATAAACCACACCCTTCATTGAAGGGGGGGGGTGAGCAGAACACCCTTATGGGGTCAGATTTATTAGTAAAACAAATTTACCAGCATTGACATCAAATTAGCTTCAGTCATGCCAATTTAAATCCAAAAATAGTAAAATTGTCATGTCAAATTTGCATGGCATTTAATGAATTGTAAGTTCTGACCAACATTGCAGTTTATACAAGTTTTATAGCTCGTTCATTTCACTTGCTTTTATATTTATATAATTGGAATTCTAAAAACTACAAAAATGAAATGATACTTTTTAAGGCAGTTTGAAGAATTTTTGACAGCATTAGATCATTCAAACAGAGATGGAGATGGATAGGACATACTTAAAGGAAACCACAGAACGACAACTCCAAATTAGCCCTGACATGTCCTCAGAGGAAAGAGAAAGAGAGGTTGGCCACAAACAAAATGTAGTAGTGCTGAAGATGAGCGAAAAGAATTGGGATGGCAGACATGGAGTGAAGCCTGCACAGCAGCAAAAGACAGAGGAAGATGGCGGAGGATGCTGACAAGCCTTAAAAGCCAACCATGGCTTGAAGAGGATAAGTAAGTAAGAAATATCATGCAAACTGTTGACTGATACCTTTATAAGCATGCTGTAGTAGTTGTGAAATGCAAGGTAGCTGACACTGCCAGGGCCCTGGGTGGTGAAGGAAAACAAGTCAGTGTCAGCTCTAGACTGGAATGGGGACCCCATGGAAAATGATGTCAGATATGGAGCAGCTAGCTAACTACACAAAACACTGCAGAGTCCACTTTGACATCCAAGATTTTCATGATGTTTAAACAGTGATAGAAGCAAAGCAAGAAACATATCATTGCACTAAAGGGCATTCAACATGATTCTCAATGACAAACAAAGAGCTTGTTATTTTTTAAAGTCAGTATCTTATCAAATATCTAGTTAGTATCTTCACAGCCATGTGAATTCTTCATGGTTGACATAATATCAAAGGCAAATGACACAATTTTCTCTGGGAGCAAGACTACATATTTCAACCAATATCTCTAGATTATCAACAAATCATAAAATCACACAATCTCTCAAAAAACATGCAACTGCCACCAAAATACACTTGACCACAATTACAGCATCAAATATGTCTCCTCTTACAAACAATTACATAGTCTCAATCAAAATATTCTTTCATAAAATAGAAGATAAGCCTGAGCCCGTAAAACATTGGATTCTGCTGCCTCACTGACTCTGCTGTCACTAACGTAGAACCAACGTCCTGGAGGTGGTTTGGGTTCTCCCTCCTCCATCTTAGCCTCCTCATCCTCATCCTCTGATAAATCTCTAATGGGAAGTTTGGCTGTGATGCCATTGGTCTGCAGGAACTCCTTCAACCTTCCATTGGCATTGGGGCGGACTTTCACAAATGCAGTGTAATGTCCTCCAGTCAGACGACCACTGTGCTCTACCACTCCATAGAGGGCATACAGGATCTTCTTCTTACCAGGCTGAACTCTCTACAATTAAACAAAGCTATTGAACATTGTGTATCATTAACTTAAATCAATGCAAGTCTCAATGGAAAGAACCACCACTATATATTAGTTTCAGCCATATAACTATTTTTTACCAAATTTACTCAACTTGGCACGAAAAATCAAAATTGTTTCATTTTTTTAACCTGAAGTAAATTTTGTGTATCGTTTTTTACAAATAAATTCAGTCTGGCATGAACCTGACAGTGTGCATTATTTAATGATATATCTGGCTACTCTACCTGGCACATTGAAGAACAAAATGGAGCCAGATCCAAGATCAAGGGGAAGTCTACATGGCGACTGACCTTCCTGAGAGTGTAACCCACCTTAAACCAAACAAATCAAACTATTCTGTCAACATTTCTTTCATACAAATACCAAGAAATAAGAATACAACATGTTTCTAGTGAACTGCAAACACGAATCTTTAATGTTCAGCTTTTTTTAGGTTTCTGTACATCTTCCCTGATGCAATCAGATACTTGAACAAAAATGTTTATCTTTTCACAAAGAAAAAAAATGCACAATTGTAAAATATGCATATTAAAAACTAACATGAATTTATTCTCACAGTGCAGTAAAAATTAAATTTCAGTTGAAGATATCGCTAGGCACTTGTGATTAAGTTAAAATCTTTACTCCATTTACATTTTTACCTGTTGAAACCTTTTGAGCTGAAGGGTCAGCACAGCTGGTGGGCTGTAGATTTGTAACTGTTTACTTGCACTGGTGTAAGTAGTCCCTTTCTTGCCTGTACAAATAGAAAATGGAGTACAAATGGGGATGAGCATACACTTTTATAAAATCAGGATATGAAAAAGTTAATTTTCTAGAGCAATATTATCCCAATTTTTTTTCAGTCACCTGGTTAACCCTTATAAGTAAATATATAAAAACTCCTGGTACAAGAAAAGGTCTTTTATACCATTTAGTGACTCAAAAAGGACAAAACTTGTTCACCTACCTCCTGCTTTGCGGTTTCTCTTTGAGCAGAATTCACAACCAAACTTGTTATTGCCCGTTAATAACTCCATGGTGGTGAACTGGTTCAAGCAAGACAAAACGGAGCACTCATAGGGAGTAGGCTTATACCTTGGTGAGAGGGAATACGTAGAGCGTTTTACACACTCTCTTTTCATCTGGTCTCTTGACTTTGGCACCTTGGATTTGCTTTGCAGTGTCTGTGCACTAGAGTTATTGTGTCTTGGAGAAGAGTTCTGGGAATCGGAAGAAAACTTGTTGGTTTCAAGAGGTAACACCTGACCATTTACTAAAGAGTTATCTGACAAGCTTTTTACAGATTTAACCGAAGAATTCTGACCATTTTCTGAGGTCTGCTCAGGACAGGTGCTCATATCCTCGGCAACTTTCTCTTGGTCCTTCTCATCAGGTTTAGAATCTGTTTTTAAGGCATTATCATCAGATTTAACCTGAGAAACAGGTGCTTCTTCTAATTGCACTTGAGCTAGAGATGCAGTAATATTATCCAGGTCAGTTACATTTTCCTTAATGCTAGCACTTTCCTCAACCTGCTGACAAGTATTAGTTCCATTTTGTTTTATATGAACCACATTTTCTTTAGTCCTTTCTTCAGAGTTTAAAGAAGGATCCACATCTTCTGCAGTAGATGCTGTGCTTGCACACAGTCCATCTGAAGCTCCCCCTACTATTAACATCTTCTCTTTGCTGTGACCACCAAGATCAGCTTGCTCGTCGCTTAGATGCTGTGTGTTCTCAGTGTTTGTGTGTTGAACCTCTTCTTCTTCCTCCACTCTGTCACCCACTGGTACAGTCTCTGGCATTTCAAGTAGTTTGAACTTATTTCTCGAGGTGTCACTTGCTGTTTCTAGGTTGTCCTCTATGTCTGCATCTTAGCATAAAGACAAGGATATTGAACATAACACCACAATTATACATTAAGAATTTTGCAGAAGCATACAGCTCTTTTTTTTTTTGTAACAAATAAAATATGTTTTATAACTTACATCCATTATACGACTTAAATATGATGTGTAAAAAAACATGATTAATTTTATTTGATATAAAAAAAATCAAAATTCGATGGAAATGAAAATCAATTGGGATGACCAAATTTAGAAGAGTTACATGGAAACCATAACACAGGGTTTTGATAAAGTGGAATCCACATAGAGAACTATAGAGAAATGTACTAAATTTCATTACATGGTGCATTTAGCTCTTTTATTTTGCCTTCTATGTCTTTTAGATTTGCCCTAATGACAAACAAGAACCAGAACTTGGTCATATATCAGAGACAATTTCAAACCAAAACCAACCTGAATTTTCCTCAGTGCTCTGAGACTCCTCTTGCAGTTCTTTTCCATTTTCTACAGTCAGTTCTTCCTTATCTTCCACCTCCCCATCTTTACTCTCATTCTCCTCGATCTCCATGGCCCCATTAACCACATCATGCTCCCCACCCCCACCACCTCCATCACCACCACCAGCAGCATCTTCCTGTAAGACACACTGGGGCTGTACCTTGTTCTTCTTTAGTTTACTCATTTTCTGTAAATGAAAAGCAACAATACTGGTGAGAAATAAAGAGGCTGCACAGTATTCTTGGTCACTTCCATTAAATCTTTAAGTATGAAAACTTAGTTAAATAACGAAAATAAATGAAATGTAATTTTATATATGAAACTCTAATGAAAATCACTTATATATTTTTCTGCAGTTAATTCATTAACCTACAAATTTGTAATTTGTAAAATAAAGATTACTGGTAGGTGATATTCACCTTTTGTTGTTTCCTCTGTTTCTTAGACATGTGTTTGCTGGTGTTCCTGGCAAATCCATCCACAGCATTCAGAGGCTGTTCCTGGCTGTCTTCTTCCTTTTTGCTCACATGCAACCCTTGATCAGGCTTCTTCTTTGAACCAAAGCAACTGCTCAGGCTATTTGGGCGACTGGGCTGATAAAAGAACAAGAAAAAGAATTCCTAATATATAAAAAAAACATTAAAAATGCACAAATGATTCAAGGGTAGGTAAATTTATCAAATTTCTAATTTTACTCAAGATAAAGCAGTAATCATTTTAAATGAATATTTTCAACTTTTTATGACAGAAAGAAAAAGAAACACATTAAAACTGTTTGTTAGACTATTTAAGTTGACTAAAATTTTTGTCTGAAAGCCATGACCAAGTTTTGGCATGAAATGATTTTTGTAACAAGATCAAGTCATCTTGGGAATGAGAGGATAAATAAGCAATGTTTCGCCATTAACATACATCAACACAGACATCTTACTAAATGTACATAACAATTTTGGTTTTGAAAAAATCTTCTTACCTTTTCTTCAGCTATTGGTAAGGAAAGGTCAAGGAAAGGCTCAAATATCTGGGAAGACTGTAATTTCAATGAATATGCAATAAATATTTAATAAAACCAGTTTTGTAAATATTACTTCCACTTGTACAGAATAAAAGTTAAAAAGATGTGTGAGATACTTATTTACTCAAACTTAGTTAACATAAGCACCATCTTTCATTATCGCTTGTTGGTATATACAAATGAATATTGTATGATCAAACTGATAAAATACCTTGATATTTGTAACTGTGTTATTTTGCTAACACTTCAATAATTATAAATAACCATTTTTAACATGCTGCTCAACATACGCAGCCCAATACTACTTACACAGAAGCTTTTGGGCATTGATAACCATCAAACTGCAGCTTCACTTACCATGTTGCATTCCTCACATGTGACAGTACTCAGCAGAAGTCCCCCAAACACACTGTCCACAAATGTTTGCTTGGTATACTGTCCATAAACTGCAAATGAAAAAGAATGTGCTACATATTCATCTTCTGTTGAAAAATTTATCTTGAAACTCTTAAAACTAATTAAGAAGTCATACATTTTAGCACATACACTTGTTTTATGCAGCACAAAGAATGATCAGCAACCACTCACCTTTCAGTTTAGCTTTAGTGTCTTCATCACACTTCTTGGGGTTGATGTTCATCTTCTGTAAAATTGCAGACTGCACCCTCTGAAAATAGGTAATCCATTTTCTGGTAAGTATATTATAATCTTAAATAAAAATATGTCAGAAGTTTCTACATAAAATGCACATGATATAGATACATTGATCAGAACTTTGTGCAATATTGTGACAACTCCCACACACATGCATGCACCAACATGTGTGCATACATACATACATGCATGCATGCACACACACTGAATGATTTTTAGTGTCCATTTATAGCATACATTTTCTTTCCACTACAGTGAATGTCATACAGAAATGGTATACTGGAATGTTTGTTTCTCTCCTACAGTAAGCAAACTGACAAGCATCTAATATCCAACAACAATTTTACAAAAATAAATAAATAAATAAAACAAGCACTCTGTATACTCTGTAATTTTATCAAAATTACCTTGATTTCTTCTGTTTTCATTCCATCCAGCAGATGGCGCAGTAGTTCATGACTGTCTTGTTGCTGAAACCCTTTAAATCTGGGAGCTCTAAACAAGCAAAGATTGAAAATCAACATTTCCCTTTTATATCAAACAATGATATCTGTAAGGGCACCAAAATATAGAACTGTAAGGCCTTTTAACAGACAGAAATACCAAAATACAACTAAATAACCACTGTAACATTTATCATATAAATTCACTACACAACCATTCTAGTTTACCATCTTCCCAGACTGAAATGGTTAAGACCTGTGACTAGCAGGGCAGTGCAAATGTCTTACACAATTACGATTATTTAATTGAAAATTTCCTTTGTAACAATGTAACAACATGACCTACTTTTTACACACTTGTCCAAAGAGGTAGCTTGGGCTGATCACATTATTCTTGGTGGCTGAGTTCATGTCTTTGAGAAAAGACAGCATGGAGAGGGTCAGAGATCCAGCCTCAGGTAGCTCCACTGACAGAGGCTCCTTAAACAAGGACACAAGATCAATGACATCTAACTTATCATTTTCAGTAGATATTAATCAAGATTTGAACAGCCCTACAGTTTTACCTTGTGTGACAGTCATCAATATGTGCACTTGATGGGCAGTGCCCACATCAATTCACTGTCACTGGATATCATGTAGCATACACTTTCCCTCCAAAACTGTGATACAAAGATACAGATTGGGTCTACTGGTATGCTCTCTTCACGCAAACATGTACAGTTTGAGATGTTAACATTTGCCAATGCCAGTAAAAGTAAAGCTGTGCCAGTGAAATTTCATACATATATTCAGTTACTGGCCACCATTTATGCTTTGGTAAACTTGACCGTAAGTAAGACCCTTGTGATTTGATGGGTTAGTAAGCTAAAAAAATTGTTGGCACAGGGTGCAATTATTCCTTACAAAAGAATTCATGTGTAAAAAAGAACCAATTAAATGTTAAACCATCATCTACATATCAATTCATTTTATAAAGAGAATATATCTACTATTGATACCTAAAAGGTTATTTCTGACACTTACAACTCTGATCCTAGGCTGGAGTTTTTCCTCCGTATCGCTGTCCTCCTCACTGGACTGGTCACTGGAGCTCACATCTGCATCAGCATTGGAGGCTATGTGGACACTAAGTCCCTTCTTACTGTTCTCATTTAGGATCTCCTCCAGAGCATAGGTCTGGCTCAGGTTCTGAAAAAATAGGGATCTATCATTTAGAGAAGATAATGTCAGCAAAAAAAGCAAAAACAGGCTTACTGACTGTATTAAGCCTTATTTTAAGTATAAGACACCAACTAAACTTTATCTGGGTCAAAACGTTTTTAATCATCTGTCACAAAAGTATAAGACATTTACTATGTCAGTCATTCTTTGCTAGTGGTGCACTGCGGGGGGGCCATAACAAGAATGTAATTTAAATTTAGATAGCCAACCAAATTCTCATGACATCGTTGTGTATGTTTCAATAACAAATCAAAGAAGCTGCATGAGCAAGGACGATGCTGTTATAAAAGCAAAATAAGAGAAAAAGCAGAAAATATATCAAAATTACCCTCAAAATGGCATCCTTTTTTGTGGAATTTCGACCCTACCTCTATTTAGGAACAGTTTGTTTAGGATTTGAATGGATTATTGAAGCAGCAAATACACCTACTGCAAGAAGATATAATAAACAGAATGTGCAAATAGTTATTTAAATAAAAATTTATTTGAAGTCACTGAAAAATGATCACAAAATTAGCGTATCTTACGTCACATGCGGTGTCCCACCCCAATTAAAATTTCATCTAATCCTATCTTTCCGTATTAAAACTCTTCAATCGTCCAAAGTAGTCTGTCGGTTAGTTTGTGTCACGAAGTCCATGATAATATCAGTTTTCTTAAGAATTTCACATTTCTTTCTCAACAAGGTCGATTTTTCTACACCGCGTCCCAATGTAACGTTCGTTACGCTGAAACTTCGGAGATCGATTTTTATCAGACGACTTTAAAATGCCACGTGAAAATTATACATCGATAGCGATCTTCTTCCATACTCACTAACTGATGACGTCTCACACACGAATGGCTTCTTTTGCACACTAAAAAAACCAGCTCAAACTGGCGGGTGTCACATTCTGATAACGTGTAATGCAGTGACGCTTTCGTGATCGGATGCAGGGCACAGGTGTAATTCCCTCGATTTAACCGCCACAGGACTGTTTATAGGGATCTTCTTTGTATGAAGGTGAGAAATACTGAGTTTCGTTTCATTTTTCTTCAATTGTTTCAACATATATGTGTACCGATTGATTATTACCATTCGATAAGTAGGGCGACTTCGTCTGAACTTTCGTTTTGCGTCTGTGTCACATGGGTGACTAAAGTTCATATTGTACATGGTAACGCGGTGACACCGTATTCAATGTTCTCTTGTTCTCGAAAACTCAATCATTGAAATTGAATGACTTTTTTTTAGTTTTGTCTTGAATTTAACTGCTACTCTGTATTCCGTGCGTTTAAAATTTAACCGTCTGTAAAAACAGCAATAATGGATTACTCGCAACACTTAAGTTACGCAATGAAGCACCGAAAATTGGTGAAGAAAATGTGTGTCAGTAATGCGTGTTTGCCACTCATAATGCACTGTACTTTGTTTGAATAAGCAATAAACTATTTGTGATCATAGGTTATCCATTGTTCGTTATCAGAGTTAACAGATTCTTTGTACGATTTTTTTCAGAATCCCAAGAGTGGATGCCTTGGTGAGCACAGAGCAGATATCACCAGGAAGAATGTTATAATACTGAACTTTGTGTTACACTGAACTTCATTTTGTTAAATTTTGTATTTAACTGAACTTTATTGTGTTAAAATAATAAAAAATAATAATAATTCCGATAAAAAACTACAATCTGGAACATTCTTTAGATCAACTTTGTTCAGTGTGTATCCCATGTGACAGAGTTACAGTAAACAAAATATGTGCATTATTCCTCTGTGTTTGCCAATTCCATTTTAAAAGCATGTGAGAGTGATGTTCCCCACATGATTGAAGTGTGTGTGGATAATAGCAAAAATATTATAAAAAGTTTTTGTACCCGCGACACTAACATTACCGTGACCCACATATTCACCATTTTTATTAATCATGAAATGTGGATTGAATTCTTCAAAACCAGTTTTAAAGCATTGAGACAACACCCCCTTATGATTTAAACTAAAACTAAAAACATTCCATTAGATTTTCATTAGTTTTAGTGCCAAATATATCTCCCATGTAACGCGTCTTGGATTTGGAGGGTATAGCTGTTCAACTCTCTTGTGTGCCCTGACAAGGGCATCTGCTGTTTCCCTTTTGATGAAATGATAAACTGTGATGGTGTAGCTATCACATTGCAAAATTACAGCTTCCCAGAGAAAGTTTGAAATTTTCGGTCAAATTCAACATTTTGTAACCACTAGCAAAGAATGACTGATATATAAAATACAAACTGGGTCAAATCTCTATGGATTATTCTCACTATGAATGTAAAGAATAAAACTGTATATATAACAATATTAATGTAATTAAAGAAAATCAACTGCCCCTTTTTTAGCTTCTTAAGTATCCCTCCACACCCACTCCCCGAAATGAAATTGTACAAATCTGCGAGTCTACATACTCACCTGCATCACAGCATTGAAGAAACAGGTGTTGCCAAGGTTACTGAGGCCCTAAAATTTATACCTCAAGTTAACACATCAAACCATTTTCCAAAATACTCTAAAATCAAAAGTTTTTTTTATACTCAAGTAATATTGAGAACAGATCCTGCAATACATTTGAAAAATGACAATCATTAAATAAAATCCTAAGTCAAAAAATACACAAACCAGTTAGATACTGAACTTACCTTGACCTTGCCTGGTAATAAAGAGGAAGGAGCCTGTGTGGTGCTGGCCGCCCCCTTCACCTTGTTGCTCTGCTGGTTTTTGTTATCTTGGGAAACTGCCTCCTCTTCTGCTGCAACTTTCTTTACTAGAAGAGAATGTTTTGTCATTTCTGTATGCATAAATAATAAAACTTTGACTACAAAAACAAAGTTCGTTGCAAGGAAACAACTCAGTTGCCCTTTCAAGTCCTGAGTAATTACCAAATATGAATTCCCATTCTTGACTTGAAATTTATTTCACAGATCCTGGATTAAAAATTCAATTATATATATGAAAAGTCCAGTAAAAAATATATATATTCCATTAACTAGTCTCACCAGCTGCTGATGCTGGCTGCTCTGGTTTTGGCATCCCAGCTTGCTTCCTGACAAACTCCACACATTCCTCTAGCTTCTTACTGATGGCAAGATCCACCTCATCATCACACTCATAACACCTGAACATGAACATTACCAAACGTATGTGAAACTGATCAATTCAACTACTAAGTGTGACTTTGTCTTTTGAACTCTAATACATTTATCAGTCCTGTGTTTTGTAATTTTGTAAAATAAAGGTTTCATCAATTTTACATAGTCCACAGGGATGTTATGCACGTGGGTGTAGTTTTTTTTAAAGTACTATCATTGTTAATTAATTTTCAAAATTTAAAATATAACCCTGATTTTGTCAATTTCAACAAGAACCCAAAATGAAACAAGCCATCTGCAGTAATTGTGGAAAATGGCATCTACCGCAATCTTATATTTACTGATCTCCACACACCAATTCATTTAGCTCTGGTATCACTGACTTACCACACTAGCCAAGTGGTTAGATTAACTACCATAGAGTGGGACACAGAGCGTGGGGCCTGATAGTGCTTCAAAGCATGCTGGTGCTTGGAATTGCGATCACAACCCTGAAATAACAAAAACAAAAGCCTTGAAAATAGATGCAAGTAGAAATAAATGTCTCTCATGGTTCTCTTCAACTAAATATTACATTTGAATTGTCCTTAAAATTCACATTTTGCTCTGGACAGTGCCACACTGTGAAAATATCATAACTCACTACAAAGCTTAAGCTTGCCTATTAACTCACATAATAATTACAAAACACAAGGTTACTAAGCTATAAAAAATCGGAAAAATCAATTGGGTTATAATCTAAAAATCACCAAACTACCCAAGAAATAAAAAAATAATTTTTAAGTTCTCACCTGATTTCCACATTGTAAGCAAACCCAGATAGTTGTTTCTAATTCATCTAGCATGTCATCTGGATCTGGATCTGGCACGGCTGCAGCCCCAGAGGAGGCATTACTCCCACCTGTCTGATTCTTGCTGTTGGCGCCATCTTTACTACAAGCCTAATGGTAAATCAATAGCTTCGATTGAGATTTATCCTACCATTGTGTTGAATTTACAAATATATGTGAAAACAATGCAAGAAAAGTTGTTTGCATTAAATACTTGCAATTTTTTATAATTTACACTGCTGTACAGGGTCACATCTGGTTTATGAAATCAAATTAATAAGCATCAGTTCTGGAGTTAATGTTCCGTCACAGACCAAATGATAAGTTTACCAAGCCCCAAAGTGTGACACATTTTGGAACTGATTCCCTCACACCTGCTCTCATCCATATGTAACCGTAATGCCTTATAAGAGAAAGATAGTTACCAAGCAGTCCCCAATAGGTCCACCCTGTCTCAAACCCTTCCTGACAGCTGCTAAGTTCACAGACTTATTAATGTGTCTGCAATTTTTTGCTACAATAAAGAGAGATAATAAAAGTTCATAAATATTCTTCATCTTTCTTATATCCAAAGCATAAATATCAGACTAAGTGCACCAAAATAAACATAATCAGAAATAGGAAGTAGAAAATTTTCAAAAATATGTGAATATCCTGTCTGGTCACATCAAGCTATAAATACTTTCCGATTACAAGAAATATTTCAACTGGCAGGAACATTCCTCTCATATCTGTTTTATAGGAAACAATAAACTAACAAAAAATAATGTGGCTAACAAAGTTCCCCACGTTGACCTTTGTTGATTTCACAGCAGGTACAACTAACCTGCTGCTACAGCAGCTGCCTCATCATCTTCACTTGTGTTGAATTCATTCTCATGACTAGCCTTGCGCAACTTGTGCTTCTTTTTCCCCATGCTGTACTGAGATGGGATACTGGACTCAAGGACTCGCATTGGACAGGCTGTCACTTACTCATCTAATTTTATCTGGTAATAAAACATCTTCCTACATTCATATTTTAATTTGGAGAACAAAATGATTATTTACAATTTTTCATACATAAACAGCAAATGAATTGCTCACATTTTATCCTTCTTTCATTTTTATGATTGACTAAATGCTCTGTCAGAACAGAAACCATTCGAGGAATTTAACATCAGAACAGACTTGAAACTCTGGTACTTTTGNTAGTCCCTTCTTACTGTTCTCATTTAGGATCTCCTCCAGAGCATAGGTCTGGCTCAGGTTCTGAAAAAATAGGGATCTATCATTTAGAGAAGATAATGTCAGCAAAAAAAGCAAAAACAGGCTTACTGACTGTATTAAGCCTTATTTTAAGTATAAGACACCAACTAAACTTTATCTGGGTCAAAACGTTTTTAATCATCTGTCACAAAAGTATAAGACATTTACTATATATAAAATACAAACTGGGTCAAATCTCTATGGATCATTCTCACTATGAATGTAAAGAATAAAACTGTATATATAACAATATTAATGTAATTAAGGAAAATCAACTGCCCCTTTTTTAGCTTCTTAAGTATCCCTCCACCCCCACTCCCCGAAATGAAATTGTACAAATCTGCGAGTCTACATACTCACCTGCATCACAGCATTGAAGAAACAGGTGTTGCCAAGGTTACTGAGGCCCTAAAATTTATACCTCAAGTTAACACATCAAACCATTTTCCAACCAAAATACTCCAAAATCAAAAGTTTTTTTTATACTTAAGTAATATTGAGAACAGATCCTGCAATACATTTGAAAAATGACAATCATTAAATAAAATCCTAAGTCAAAAAATACACAAACCAGTGAGATACTGAACTGACCTTGACCTTGCCTGGTAATAAAGAGGAAGGAGCCTGTGTGGTGCTGGTCGCCCCCTTCACCTTGTTGCTCTGCTGGTTTTTGTTATCTTGGGAAACTGCCTCCTCTTCTGCTGCAACTTTCTTTACTAGAAGAGAATGTTTTGTCATTTCTGTATGCATAAATAATAAAACTTTGACTACAAAAACAAAGTTCGTTGCAAGTAAACAACTCAGTTGCCCTTTCAAGTCCTGAGTAATTACCAAATATGAATTCCTCTTGACCTGAAATTTATTTCACAGATCCTGGATTAAAAATTCAATTATATATATATGAAAAGTCCAGTAAAAAAATATATATTCCATTAACTAGTCTCACCAGCTGCTGATGCTGGCTGCTCTGGTTTTGGCATCCCAGCTTGCTTCCTGACAAACTCCACACATTCCTCTAGCTTCTTACTGATGGCAAGATCCACCTCATCATCACACTCATAACACCTGAACATGAACATTACCAAACGTATGTGAAACTGATCAATTCAACTACAAAGTGTGACTTTGTCTTTTGAACTCTAATACATTTATCAGTCCTGTGTTTTGTAATTTTGTAAAATAAAGGTTTCATCAATTTTACATAGTCCACAGGGATGTTATGCACGTGGGTGTAGTTTTTTTTAAAGTACTATCATTGTTAATTAATTTTCAAATTTTAAAATATAACCCTGATTTTGTCAATTTCAACAAGAACCCAAAATGAAACAAGCCATCTGCAGTAATTGTGGAAAATGGCATCTACCACAATCTTATATTTACTGATCTCCACACACCAATTCATTTAGCTCTGGTATCACTGACTTACCACACTAGCCAAGTGGTTAGATTAACTACCATAGAGTGGGACACAGAGCGTGGGGCCTGATAGTGCTTCAAAGCATGCTGGTGCTTGGAATTGCGATCACAACCCTGAAATAACAAAAACAAAAGCCTTGAAAATAGATGCAAGTAGAAATAAATGTCTCTCATGGTTCTCTTCAACTAAATATTACATTTGAATTGTCCTTAAAATTCACATTTTGCTCTGGACAGTGCCACACTGTGAAAATATCATAACTCACTACAAAGCTTAAGCTTGCCTATTAACTCACATAATAATTACAAAACACAAGGTTATTAAGCTATAAAAAATCGGAAAAATCAATTGGGTTATAATCTAAAAATCACCAAACTACCCAAGAAATAAAAAAATAATTTTTAAGTTCTCACCTGATTTCCACATTGTAAGCAAACCCAGATAGTTGTTTCTAATTCATCTAGCATGTCATCTGGATCTGGATCTGGCACGGCTGCAGCCCCAGAGGAGGCATTACTCCCACCTGTCTGATTCTTGCTGTTGGCGCCATCTTTACTACAAGCCTAATGGTAAATCAATAGCTTCGATTGAGATTTATCCTACCATTGTGTTGAATTTACAAATATATGTGAAAACAATGCAAGAAAAGTTGTTTGCATTAAATACTTTCAATTTTTTATAATTAACACTGCTGTACAGGGTCACATCTGGTTTATCCCAGCATCAGTTCTAGAGTTAATGTTCCATCACAGATCAAATTATAAGTTTACCAAGCCCCAGTGTGACACATTTTGGAACTGATTCCCTCACACCTGCTCTCATCCATATGTAACCGTAATGCCTTGTAAGAGAAAGATAATTACCAAGCAGTCCCCAATAGGTCCACCCTGTCTCAAACCCTTCCTGACAGCTGCTAAGTTCACAGACTTATTAATGTGTCTGCAATTTTTTGCTACAATAAAGAGAGATAATAAAAGTTCATAAATATTCTTCATCTTTCTTATATCCAAAGCATAAATATCAGACTAAGTGCACCAAAATAAACAATCAGAAATAGGAAGTAGAAAATTTTCAAAAATATGTGAATATCCTGTCTGGTCACATCAAGCTATAAATACTTTCTGATTACAAGAAATATTTCAACTGGCAGGAACATTCCTCTCATATCTGTTTTATAGGAAACAATAAACTAACAAAAAATAATGTGGCTAACAAAGTTCCCCACGTTGACCTTTGTTGATTTCACAGCAGGTACAACTAACCTGCTGCTACAGCAGCTGCCTCATCATCTTCACTTGTGTTGAATTCATTCTCGTGACTAGCCTTGCGCAACTTGTGCTTCTTTTTCCCCATGCTGTACTGAGATGGGATACTGGACTCAAGGACTCGCATTGGACAGGCTGTCACTTACTCATCTAATTTTATCTGATAATAAAACATCTTCCTACATTCATATTTTAATTTGGAGAACAAAATGATTATTAACAATTTTTTTCATACATAAACAGCAAATGAATTGCTCACATTTTATCCTTCTTTCATTTTTATGATTGACTAAATGCTCTGTCAGAACAGAAACCATTCGAGGAATTTAACATCAGAACAGACTTGAAACTCTTCCTGCCAGGTTGGGCAAAAGGGCAATTTTAAGCCAGGTTTTGTGTTACAAGATTGGCATGCTTTAATTTCAAACCGAATTGAAGAGAATCACGCCAAAACTGAAATTTCTTAGTACATATTACACTTTATAAAGTTAGTTTCATCGGTAAGTCACGCAAGCGACATCTCTCATCAAACGATCAACCCACGCGTGAACTTGCCATTCTGACTAAACCATAATTATGTCAAGCTGTTTCCAATGGCTGGCAATTCATATCGCTTATCTAGCTAGTTATCCTATTACTATATCAATCGTTTATTATTACGAATGACAAACAGGTGACAACTTACCTACTTTTATCTAAGAAAACGAGAGACAAATACCAGGAAGGTCCTCATGGTTGATATCATGGCTTCACCTGAACGAGATGATTTACGTCAGGTCGTTATCGTAGAACTCAATCTTAGTAGCAAGGAAATTGTATATAAAAATATGTAGCTGGCAAGCAATATTAGACTTATTCTTGCATACTCGCAAGATATTGATACCAAAAGCATCTGTTATTATTTTATGAACAATCTCAGTGTCGTAATGGGTCCAGAGGGCAGCACATACTAGATTGAAAAAAAAAAATTCCAAGATAAACCAAAGAAATCTAAGATGTTGAGTAAGCTTGTCTTGATTGTAGCCGCACGACACTGATAGGTGCTGCCATCCTGCAGGTGAAATTTTTATTCTCATAAAATATCACCATAGTGTCACAATTTATAAATTATTTTCATAAGTTAAATGGTCTGAAGCGTTTTAAAGTTTAAGAAAACATACTTAATGGGTGCCGGCATTAGTTCACGATTTTATAGAGCTTCTTTTTAACAAATATTTTCATCGATATGATGAAAGAATAAGAATTGTGTTGAGAACGACTATAAATTATTTAAGAGCATTTTGGGATTTTTTGTAAAGTTTGTATTTCAATTAGTTCATTCTTTAATATTATGAATTTTGGGTTTAATTTTTTTTGCCTATAGCGTATAGGCCTATCTTGACCTATATCTTTAAATGACAAATAACATTTGTGTGGGTATAAATCTAATCTAACAAGTTTTTCAACCTGCAACACAAAATACCTTTGAAATTGTAATGTTAATCTATTTTAGTGGTTTTTCCCCTGACTCTCTCTCTCTCTCTCTCTCTCTCTCTCTCTCTCTCAGAACATCGTCTACACCACACAAATACACACACCTCTATACAAAAACGAAGAGCTCTTAAATCAACCATCAAAAGAAGTTCCTTCTCAACAAATTATTCCTTTAAAACACTGCCCTCCATTTCCAACCCCTCTTTCATTGCATGTAAGAAAAGAATATCAAATTTGTTGCTCTGAAATTTGACGACAAGGGCTTTCTGTTATCGCCCTCGAACGGAGCTTTTTAACTGTCACATAGAATTACCGAGGCGATCGACAAGAACAAACTCTGTGCAGAAATCGGAAATCTCTTTCTGTGGAGTTATATCAATTTTCTGGATGTCTGAATTTTCGCCGCAAAACCATCTCTCTGCAGTGGGTATCACTGCTTAATCAAATCAATTAGTTGGGCGTTCGATTTCGGAAAGCGTCGTTGCGATTATTTCATTTCGGTATGGCTGAAGTTACAGGTGGGGGGATCTCTACCTAAGGCATTGTAAACTGAGAAAGTACGAAAGGAAATCACTGCAGTATAGATTCTAGAAAAGCACATTTTAGTGCGGATTAATTTTATCTCTCGTCCAGCTGTCGGCTAAATTCCGATCCCATCCCGCAGTGCCAGTATGTGGGTCTAGTTAATAGATGATAGGCTGCGACAGCATATCGCTCAATTTAAGGATATGTCGTCATATTATCTTCACAAATTTGATGGATGAGAGCTGTTTTTTTGCACGACCGTATCAAGGCTTGTCTGCTTCGGTGAGCATATTTCACAGCAAATGTTTGCAATAAACTTGTTTTATTTCTATCTCCTGCGCGCTCAGCGTGATGGGTATATGATGTAGTATTTCAATTTTAGGGTCTCTCCCTATATTTGCCATATTTTTGTGAATTGTGCCGACGAGAAAAAGAAAGCAATGGGCGGTGCGGTGTAATAGGAAACACAAACATGATATTTGCTTTAGCACACTTTCAATTTAAGACAAGAATGTGCTTTATTACTAAACCAGGCTGGGGTGCTGCTCTACTATGTGTCTCCAAGCGCCCTAGGGCCAACAGTTGGTTTTGTGGTATTTGGTAATGATTACATTTAGGCAAGAATAAAGATCTTAAAGCTATCTTAATTTGTTTTCCACAATAAACATGTTTGTGGAGGATCTTTTCTTGAAAAGAAACAACAAAGGTGCGGGGACGGACAATACATCTAATCCACTTATTACAGTAGCAATATTATTTGGAAAAAATTTCCATCCGTCCCTTTCTCTGCGGTCTTTTTTGTTGTTGTGTCGCAGTTTATTCATAAATCCTAACTTTGATCTCTTAGATACACAATGTAGATTGTCAAAGCGGAGTAGAGGAACTTTGATGAATCTTCCCGACTCAAAGCCTCGGGGCTGGAAACACACTGCAAGTAGACGGTCGGATGCCAAGTGGATGCAATTTATTGCAGTCACTCCGGGTAATCGCTCTCCGGGCCAAAGGAACAGATTGCTTTCATTTTCTCCCTAAAGGTTAACCAGCCGTCCATCCTCAGCAGCTACCATGAAATATTCTAGAATGTTAAGGTCGATTAAATCAAGAGGAACACGTCAAATACAATGTTCATCTTTTGCGTATGATATTGAACTACTTACATTCTTACTTTGTTTATTATCAACGCATATCAGAAACGGGGGAACATAGATGATTTTTTATATCTCTATGGTGGAATTACATTGGAATTTTCACTAAAAAAACAAATTTCTTTTTCTGATTTTAATGTCCAAGATAACTGCAGAGGAATGTCACTTTGCGATTTTCTTTCTTTTTTTCCCTATTCGATCGACTTAAATTGCCCATCACCAGACCCGTTTTTACGAAACTACACATCCATTTGCACCGTTAAACCCTGGCCAGGGACGTCATGTACCCCATAAAGCCCTAACCTTTCACTCATTGCCCCTTCACATGCGAAAAGAAAATGAAATTCTGGTCGAGATTAAGACCGTGGCGCATGCAAAATACTCACTAGAACATCTGGGGATGAATTTTATCATTCATGATATCTGAATTAGCGGCCGAAGTAAGACGGGCATTAAATGAATCACGGCAAGTGGATCAATTACAATTATGCTCCTCCGCGAATCATAACACATCTAAAACTAAATTAGCTGATATACGCCTGGGTGTTAACAGTGCCCGTTTGTTTTAGCTGTATGTTGAAATCTACACACAAGATAAGAGCAAAGAACTTAAGAAAATGCGTCTTTGATATTGGATTTCTGTAATTGGATCTGCTTATGCTTTATACATCCACGAAGCTGTGGATATGGTTCTGTCGTCTGTAATAATCATTTAAGTAACTTAAAGACTGAAAATTGACCATATAAAGAGACTCAATTTTGTTTCATTTTGTTTTATTTATTTATTTATTTGTGGAGGGAGGGTATAAAAGAAATGATATTATTTTGAAATATTGTGATGCATGCAAAAAAAAAAAAAAAGAATATCCCATATTTTGTTCTCCATTCTTCCTCAATCAGCATACAATCATTTCAGCTCTCAATCATACCTACCCGCAGCCAAACAAAAATTACATTTTAGATGAAAACCACAAGTACTCGGCCATGACTGACTTGGCTCGTCCACGATAAGAACAATCCGATCAACTTCCCATATCACAAACAGTATTTGTTTTTCTTCGGTCTTAAAGGAAGGGTTAATAAGCACACTGATATCTAAATTTGTGATTAGTCACAGCACTGGCTGCATGTCCTCTAATAATGTTGGGTCTACAGAAATGATAAACCAAAAATGACATATATATATCTCACAGCCAGTTGCGCGTTGACACGGAGTTTTGTTTTGTCAGCACTTATCAGATGCTGATAGGTCAGTTCACCGGGTTTATCATCGACTGGCGCAAACTGTTTTTTAATGTTAGAACAGTGCTTTGTTGAATGTCAACTACGGGTGTGTACGTGCAATTTTGCAAGATAAATCAAACTATCGGAGACATCCACATGAGCTTGACAAGATTATGACGGAATGCATTGCTCCTTGGTCTATTCGAACAAAGATCTTATCGGTGTAACAGCAAGATTGCATGTACATGAGTGAAGATGTCCCTCTAGAAGTATTAATGGATAGCATATTATTAACACCTCGCCCATTTCTGAGCAGTGGGAGACGTCAAAAGTGATCCCAAGGGTTAACCCTCTGTCAGCATTTCATATCGTCATTTTCTATCTTCATATTCCCACATGAAATGAGAGTCAGTCACGCAGCGGGGAAATATGACAGGGATCATATTGTACATTATAGTTCTAGTCGCGTAGAAAGAGAACAAGCCAAAGGCAGTGGTTACGTAGTTAAACATTTAAATATATACGATCTCAAGTGTTGCAGTTTGCTTTGTCCTTTTAATTAAAACATGATACAGATGATGATTATCATTATCATCATCATCATCAACGGCATGATGGCTGATGAAAAAGATTACCAAACGAACGACAAGAAGAAAGAAAATATACAGTGAGAACTATATTGTGCATTATAGGCATTATAAACAAGCCTAGTGACTAAAATCCAAGCTCCGTCAAATATTGCATACCAGATTGTTCTCATTTATGAGAGAGAAAATTAAACCTTCGAGACATAATGCAAGTTATATGTAGCGGAGACACAGGCGTAATATAATCATATATGGTGAATATAACGTGTGCGCACGTTTTTCCTATTTGCTAAAAAGCATTCATTTTGTTGGGCCATAATTGCGCTGACATGTCGAGCATTTTGGCAACGTCTGCTGCGAAATATTTAGTAACATATTGCAGACGACTTATTCAGTTCTAGTAGCTTAGTCATATAGATTCTAACAAATCCATATATTTATCATTAGTTAAGTATGATGAGTTGAAATGAGTTTAGAAGGAGACACGGCATGTCTATAACAGGAGGTAAATGCATTCTTGAGACTATTTGACAGTCCTCTCACGTGCGTGCTTTTTAGATTTTATCTTAAATACAGCCGATTTGATCACATTTGGGAGTTGGAACCACCTTGTGACCCGAGGTGCACTTTGTTGATAAGTCAAAATGGTAAAAGTGCCATCAGTTTCGAAAAACAAAATGAGTAGGCTTTTAAGCATGGTTTTTCTCTTATTTCACGCGAACAACAACAACAACAAAAAAAACTTTTTGAAACACGTGAACACATTTTAAAGACAGGCAATGTGCGTCTCAGGTTCGAATCCGTGCTACAAACTATGTACTCAGCAGATGCTAATGTATTTCTATAATATTCACACGTATGTAGTACCACATATACTTCTCAAAAAAACAGTAAAGGTATGCTGGTTCGTTTTACATCAAACAGACTCAGAATATGCGACGTGCCAAGCACGCTACGGGCCTCGGATGGAATTTTCTGCAAATTACCCCTTCTACTTTACGCTACTATTAAAGATCAATCCATGTTCTTTGAAAAAAAACAATTTTGTTGAGTTTTTTGTCTCTTGACAGAGAAGCATTTTGGCAAGTTCAATCTCTTCCCACAGTTAATCAAAGTTGATGAAAAACGCAGTCTAGTGATATCTTCAGAAAATTGTAAACAGCTAACACAACTGATCAACATGCCCGTTAGAATGTTGTAAGTTAAATCTCGTAGTTTGTGCTCTACTCGGTCAACGTGAACCTCACGTCGCTCAAACACTGCAGAGTTTGGCAGACGTGCCGTTTTGAGTAGACCCCCTGGGTCGACATTGCAGGATATTACACCGCAAAGATGCCCGACATCAGTTCTAACGCAAAGCTGATCGCGACCATATTATGGAAGATATGACGTCCTATAAAAACATGAAAAAAAGAAGGAAATTCACACCAGAACAGGATATTCGATCACAAATTATTAACACTATAATGCATTTATGAAATCAGGAAACTAAATTGATTTTTCTTCGTCCTTTTTGAAGTTAAAAGCTTCTCTGCAAAATTACAACAAAGAATGTATTCAGTTTTTATGGAAAACGCATCAGATCAGTCAGATGTGTTCATTGTGCCCGGTACAAGTTATTAGAGACACCGGGGACTCGCATTCCTCTTCTCTTTGGTATTATCTCTCCAATAAAACTCGACCTCTGACCTCTTATCATTTAGTTGTAAGCTTCTCAAATCAAGAACCGATATGCCACTCACGCTGCAGTGTATTTCAAACCCCGCCATTGAGACTACTTAGACAAAATGGCCCAACAAGAAAACTTCTAAACTGATAACAGCATGACGCGCTAGATATTTCCGATGAGAACACAATAGAAGGATTTAATCCGGTTTAGCAATGGTGTTGATAACAGGGAATTAAGACTTCGAGGAGCGACTAAGTACAGTAAACTACATGGAGTTAGAAGTGCGCACACATACACAATCAAACACTACCCGGGCATGCTTTCTACCCCAGCTCATTATCAAACTTAGAAAAAGCCCCGCCAAACGTCGTTAACACAAATTTCCTGCGTTGGAACAGATCAGCGACGGGTGGTGGATATGAAATGGATTTCTCCGTGCCAAATTTAATTGATTTACTATATCTTTGGGTCTCTTCCTACGCACGGAAACGGAAGAACTGCTGCACACTACATATTTACAAAGCGAAATTTAGACTTGGGAAGTTTCATCTACATTGCACGAATCTTTACAGGGAAAACGGTACATATGGTGGGAAAACGCGCGCGCAGCAGCGCGGGCCTCGACCTACGTAATCGTGTCAGTTAGCGGACCGACTGCGTTATTCAGATAAAGCACAGATGTTGTCAGTACTATGCCGAGTACAAAACACAGCGTGTGATTAGAGGCGCATCGAGTGGGGGTCTAAAGCTTTAGCACTGGAGTGTTACACAAAGCACAACACAAACTACAACCTTGTTTTCTTTCCTTTAAACCAGGTGGCCGGCGTTACAACTGATGCAAAATGAAGCAACAACAACTTGTGAAAGCCCATTGTGACAAATATATCGAGCGTTTTATTATAATTTTCGATCCAAACGGCCGAGTGATTGAAATCAAAAACACCAGCTTAACTGCTTTGTTACAAAATTACAACTCCACATTTTATGTTACAAACGTGAAATAAAAGTTCCCTTACATACTAATCGATTCAGTATTGCGTTTGAAGCATGGACTCCCATGTTTCATTATTAGTGACGTGCGAATTAACACAAGGTGACTATTTTAAGTACTATCCCAACCCTGCACGATATTTCTAAATATAAATAAAAGTAAAAAGAATTACTGTGCACAATTTTGTTCACCTTGGTTCTAATGATCACTCAAAAACGATCTAAATTATCAGTACGGGTGGCAAATGCAGGTTTCCGGAAGTGAAAAAAAAAAAGGATGCGCGATTATTGGCATCGTAAGTAAACTGCAACTATAGCACCAGCAGAACGAGTCTTGCAAAAATTTCTGCAGACCTAAAATAAAAATAAACAAACGGCAAGAATATGTGAACCACTACAATGTTAAAGTATCTGTTTGACATCTCAGAGTAATAGAGTTCATATGAAGACTTCCATCATCAATCAGCCCCGCTTCACCTTGTGACAGCTGGCTGCCGTAGCATTTAGGTCAGAAAAATATCATCTGCCTATAGTTCTATGATCAACAAAACATTCAACTCAAATAGAAGACTAAGGAAAATCCATTCCCTTTGATATCATTCCACTTCAATAGAAATTCCCCATTTAAAGACCAAGGGCGATTGGTCCCGGTGCAGAAAATTCTTTCAAGTTTCCTGATTTTTATCGAGAGGCACCAGACGTTATCTTTCAGTACCTGATCCAAAACGGCAGACTTTTGGATCTCTATGTCGAAACTGAATAAATTTGCTGTGTTTATACAACACACTTTAACAATACCCCATCTAATTAAACTCATACGGGCTCTCCTTTCCGGCTAGTGCACATGAATTACCTGTATGGCACGGTGGGACAAAGCAAACAAAAGAACGAACTAAATGCACAGGGACCGACCCCCACTTTATGGGTACCTTCCAAATAAATTAGTATCTGTGCTCACATAGAAGTCTTATCACTCATCTTCCAGGATGAACCGGAGAATTCCAAGGCTTTGATTACGTTTAAGTACAAACAATCTAGCCGATTGTTAACTGCCTTGAGTTCTCTGTAGTACAAAGCCTATTGTAATCAGGTATCCATTTGCAATTACTCTGCAAACTGGCTGCGGATTACCACTTAAAGTCAACACTTATCACACAAAAGCTATTTTAACTGTAGCTCTCCTCGCTTATTCATTGCACAATTTTGTAAACCAGGAAAATTCAACAACTCTGTTGAAGTTGGGGTTAAATAAAAATAAAGTCTCTCTTAACTTAAAGGATTTTGGCCACTTGAACGGCAGTATGATCATACTTCAAAGCTTTCCACAGCCCCTCAGTATCACACCCTGACCCCCACTACGTCCTTGTCTTTCTGACCCGCGGGGACCATTTTAACTACAGTGGCTTGTTGAGGTGCTGGGTATGCCATCACCACGGTTGGACTGGGAACGTTTGTGGTGGACTTTCGTGGAGAAAATCTCCTTGAGCAAAACATTTTCCATGAGTTTATCGTCTTCCCTGTCCATATCCACATCCCACTGGTGATGCCAACAATTAGAGACATGAAGATTTTGAGCATGTAAACTTCCACTGTGGGAATGGAGGCTTCTAAACTACAGTCTTGTGCTCCAAACTCTGTTTCTTTACATGGTCTGGCCATTGCTATTTGTCTCCAAGCATCAGCATTTAGCTGCTCATAGAATAAACACCCAACCACACAGGTGGCTGGCACAGTATATAACACAGAAAAGATTCCTATTTTTGCCATGAGTTTTTCTAGTTTTCTGAGGTTCTGTCCCCCATTGTTTTTCAAATTTTTCCTGATGTGCACCATGGCAACAAACCCGGCTAGTATAAATGCTGTTCCAAGGAGGAGATAAGTAAACAGTGGAGCTAGAACAAATGCAGTTAATGCTGTCTTATCTTGATGTCCAACATAGCATAATCCAGTCAGCTCATCCCCATCGACACGCCTCATTGTGAGGATAATAATGGTCTTGATGGCTGGGATGGCCCAGGCAGCAAGATGAAAATAACTACTCAGAGCCTCTATTGCTTCCTCTCCCCACTTCCTACCCGCAGCCAAAAACCATGTTACTGTCAGAATCACCCACCAAATCGAACTGGCCATACCAAAAAAATAAAGAATCAAGAAAACGACGATGCACCAAGTGCTTTCAAGACCCTCTTGAATTAAGAAGTCTCCTTTCTTGCTATGATCACAAGAGATTGGGTCAGCACCAATGCTGGCCCGTATTATATAGGCTGTGGAATAAATCAAGTAACACACAGACAAGAAGATGATGGGTCTTTCTGGGTACTTGAATCTTGATGTGTCTATGATATATGTGAACACTGTAATTAGGGTAGAAAGTGAGCATAACGAGGCCCAGATTGTCATCCATATAAATGCAAATTCTTTGTCACTATGTCGGAAATATACATCTATGTTACACTTGGGTGCACATGTATCATTTTCTCCTTGTTTACTGATATGTAAAAATCTATCCGTACATGTCAGCTGTCCCTTTTCACCGACCACCCCATACCGGGGTCATCTTTGGGTATTTTGACAGTGCTTGGAACAGTTGTAGTTGTGGTTGTTCTTTCTTTAAGGAATTCCTGTAATTTGTCCCATCCTGTGTTGTCCCATGGGCTCTGTGAAATACCAATTCCCGCAGGTAAACGGTCCAAATCAATAGGGTGTTTATCACGTTCAGCTTCACTTGGAATTTCCATATCTTTTGGAGCTTCCATACAAAGTTTTCCCTTTTTGTCAGGGAAATTTGAACAGTTTAACATACTTGGCCAATTGAAGTTGAATCGGTGTAGTACTGGCTCGCATTTTTCTTTCACTTTTTGACACATAGTCCTACATGGGGGTATTACCAGTATCTCATCGACTTGTTCGGTGCACATAGGCGCATGAAGCGAACACAGAAAAAACTTTAATAAACTCGTGCTCAGTCCTGTACATCCTATTTGAATCAATGGAATAAACTCCTGTACCCGCAAGCCCGCCTCATCTTGAGTCCTATGTCCCACGATATTTGGCATACTGGTCATGTTATATTTCATGTCGGAACAGAAGGTGATGGCTATACGCTCACACCGCTCGTGAGCTGTGTGAAAGTCCTGATATCCCTGGCCCAGCACCGCAGTACTTATGGTGCTTAACACCACTATCCATCTCCACAGGGCCATAGCAAAGCTCTGGGAGTCGCAGAATCCTCTTAAACAGCACTCGGTAAGAGTCTCCTGCGGCGTGCTCCTTCGCTAGGGTAAACAGCTCTTCAGCTGGAAAGACTTCAGCACTCGACTGCGTGAAGGCTGCTAGTATCACCGCTTAACTCAATGTTGAATGATCAATACGCCAACAACAGGTTCGAATAATAAATCTATATAAGATTCTTTTCACACACATCAAATGTGTACAAATATCGATTATGAAGCGGAAGGCTTTGACACTTTGAATAGTAACACGATCCGGGTTTTTGTGCGCTTTTTATAGTACTATTTTGCGAGCAATCAGCGTGTCGTCCGTATTCCTCCGCTCGGTAGGCGGAATGTTTTGCTCACTTTGAACCAACCGCACGAGCATCCAGCCATGTCAATCACCCCGCAGGCCCAGTAATGGGATACCCTTACTTTAATACAATGACAATCAGCCTTCAGCATAGCAAGAAAAAGAAAAAATACAAACTGCATTTAACTGGGCTTCGCTTGATCTCCACCAACAATTTATCTTTATTATCTTTTCTTTAACCTCTTCCAATTATGCGATTCTCCTGTCTAGATGCTTTGCCAGCATGGTTGAGGCAAGCTACTCTAAAAGATTGCCCTCTTTGATAAAAAGCCATTGGAAAGTCGTTTACCATTTTGATGCTATAAATCAACATGTTGGTGTCATATTTTCTGGTCACTAACATTGAACAAGCCTCAAAAATTATAGACCAATTACGTAATTCCGCAGAATACTTATCATGGATATACAATATCCCCGTTTTGATTTCAGCACGTAATGGCCATTACTGATATGTGAAAGCGTCACTGTCCGTTCTTATGGCTTTGTGCATGTGCCTACCAGCCTTGTGATATTTTTACTTAGAAATATTTAGAATTAAAATGTAATAAATATTTAGGTATTATCAGAATATTGTAAGGGGTGTGTTGCGGATGTCACAGCTTCATTTTTTTGTGGTTAGCATGTAGGTGTGAGAGGATTAGAAAAAACGAAGGGAGGGGCTATAACAGAATGAAAGGGGACTGATGAAGGCCTGCAAAGAAACTGGTTTTAGTTAAACAAGGTAAATAGAAAAATAAAGGGGGGACTTCTGCATTAAATAAGGTTCACCGTTATTAATTTACCAAAAATGAGTCCATCAACTTATATGCAGGTACTTAAATTATCCCTCCTCACCCGTTTCTTAGATATGTACCGGTAGTTAGTTATTACACAATGAAATGCTATATGGAACTCTCCTCCCATTTTTTTCTTTGCATTTTCGAAAATCTATTGCAAACTTTAACCAAATTTATTTATTTATTTATATTTTATTTATTTATTTGGTTGTTTGTTTGTTTGTTTATTGAAAATTGAAATTGCATTATTAGACAAAATAAAATAAGTGCAAAACAAGAGGGAAAGCTATCCCATACTTGATAACATTGCAAAATTTTATATATCATTGATTGAATGTAATATGACCAATATTATCCCCTTTAATAAAAGGGATTAGCAAACATACTGGAATGTCACTTAAATAATAAGAATTACTTAAAGTTAAAATGCAAGGGGTCGACAAAACTTGGAAATCCTTTTAAAATTATCTACAGTGTAATTCTGGATGAAAATCTGAACACAACCCGGGTTCATTTTCGAAGATATTTCGATTTACTACCTTTTGAAGCCTTCGTACTTTCACTGTTGTTGCCGAACTGTCATACGAGCACGCGTAAGTGACCTAGTTCTGTTGTTAGACGACATGTTGACAGGTGAGTGCGTTACGTTATCCGCCTTTTACCGTTAAATATTCAGTTAAATATAAATACGTTTTGCAAATTTAGGCTACAGAAACAGTGTCATCTTTCTCTCCCTCCTTCTTTCCCCTCTCCTTCCATCTCTCTCTCTCTCTCTCTCTCTCTCTCTCTCTCACACACACACACACACAACACAGATCACCACTGACGCGAACCTCAAGATTTTGGCTCTCACCGAATCGTTGATATTAATGCCATTTTCCACAGAGCTGCTGGGATAATAGTTAACTTGGACTTCGCCTACAATATTCAGATATGGTAACATTTTGAACTCGAATATCGGTTAAAACGATTAAAAATTATACCTTTACTAAGCTACAGTGTATAAGTCCCAATAAGTATAACTCCTATTCTCTCCGTCTACTAGTATATGGTCAAAAGTTTATAAATTTATAGTTACCTTAATCGATAATTTAGGATAAATCAGTGCGACCGATTACACATGTTATGGAGGTAGTTTTTCCTTTGATAATCTAAGCGGATGTTTGCTGTTTGTTTCCCTTACATTTTGTAGTGGTCAAACAATTGAAGGTTTGTCTGTTCCTTCCTATACTCTTTATACCTGTATCCATTCTCATTGTGTATTATTATGTCATTTGGTTTTAAGATAATTATTCATGAGCATCACTGTATCAGTTCTCCATTGCCAAGATTGCTGCTGAAAAATGAGACAATTAACGACATAGCTTTTCATATTAGCTTGTTTATTCTACAGTCCAGCAAGGTGACTGCCATAAGTGACACAGAACGTGGAGAATTTGACTACTTAATAAAGCATTTGATCTCCCTTATGTCCATATCTGTGGCAAGATTATTGAGATAAAGATTCTTTTTAGATGTAACACCCCTTTAATCTTGACAGCCCCCTATATTTCAGTAGTAACAAATGCATGGTTGGCTATTGTTCCTCGTTAACCATGTCCACCAGCGACAACCTTGGATGAAAAGTATATCTGGTTGTCTGGTGATTTGTCACCAACAGGAATGGCAGTAGTCCTAATCTGTGTCTACTACACAACGGAATGTTGCCACACTGTCTGAATAGCTCGTGGTAACAATGACAACAAGAAAGTTCAGTTAAAAGAGGAGTGGGCCCCAATCTTGACTTTTGGATCAATAGAGCCTCCATAATACATATTCATGTACATTTGTCTGGGATGTAGTATTACCATTTTATGTTGGAGGTAATAGGTAATTAGTAAGAAAACAACAGGCTTTTCTTTGTGACAGTTACATATTGAGATTATATTGAATTTTGTTTGATCTCTGAAATTTGCTATTCTGCAGGTAGTCCTTGATCTTACAACAATCAAGTTTCCAAGATTTTAGTCAGGTATATTTTCATTTTTGTACATGGTAACACCTTTAACATTTTGTTTAGAAATTCAGAGCTAATACAAAATACCAGAGAAATGCTTTACAAATTTACCTAACCTAAGGTGGCATAGGCCAAAAGTTAGTAATAGAGGTGAAATAACTGTCAGGGTTAGAAAGAGCTGTCTTTTCCTACTAGTGATAGTGTTGTTTGCACCTGTAGGCTACACGCTACAAATGTTTTGTCAGTGCTTTCCTTTTTCTTAAAGGTTGATGGATTGTGTGTCATGAAAAATTTTTTTAAATAATGGTGGATGGATAGGCATTACCCATCTAAGATATCTTACTCTTTTCTGATGAATAGGGTGGTACAAATTAAAAGTTTGATGGACACATGGCATTTAAAGTTGATTTTACCAGATTTCAGTTCCTGTTTTTCTGTGTTCTTATCACGTTTGGTGTAGTGTTCTAGAATTTCTAATTATTTAGCACCTGACAATTAGTTTCATTTGAAGATTGAATGTTTTAATTCAAGTAAGATTGTCTTATCTGATCTCAGTTAAGAAATGATTTGGAAACTTCTAATGTTAATACTACAGTATTTCTCTGTGGAAAAATTTCATCTTTTTGAATTATAACCCGGAAATTGAAAATAGTATGAATACCATGGAGTGTTATAGCTCTCTTACCATTAAGGATGGTATTTGGCTTGAGATATTGCTGTACTATGTTTCTCTGGGACAAAAATACTGTATGTATCAAATCCTGATTTGTTGTGAAATGTAGAAATGGCCTTAGAATAATTTGGGTGTGCATATGAAGGAAAACATTAAATTTGAATGCCTACCCTTTCAACTACGTATATTAAAAAAATATAAATTTGCACTCATTACCTTGGATGTATGCTGACACAGAAGACTTTGTGATTGACATAGGCCGTGAATTCCATGCTCAGCATCATGGGAGTTAAGACAATCAGTTTATTAACGAGCAGCAGGTCTTGTGATGTGACATTGCTAGGCAATAGACAGCCACTGGTAGATTTTGCAATACTGGAATGTGTAGGGGTACTCAATTCAACGATCAAGTGTCTGATAAGGTTTTTAATACAGGTAGTATATAAAAAGTCTATCTGGGGCACAGTACCTGTTATTTCAAATTAGGCACAGGTACAGTAATCAGCTAAGTAAAAGCTTGTGTTCTGAAATTTGTTTTACTGGCACTACAACATAAAATATAAGTGAGATTAACATTATTTAAAAGAAATTTTATGTGAATTGATAATTTCAGATAATTGACCTTGTTATGAATATATTTTTATCCATTGAAAATGGATAAAAATGATTTTGTGTTTTGATGGGCTGCTAGCATATTGTACACTTAGCTACCTGGTTTTATGAAAATAGATAATGAAAAATGCCTTTGTAGGCCAACAAGACAAACTGTTCTTTGGCACTAGGAGTGTCTGTAGACTACGTGAGAGTTGACTTCCTGTTGTAGGTTAACTTTTAAATGAAAGCGAAGTTTATAATTTTAAGTACCATTCAGCTGGTAAGTGTTTGGTGACTCCACAAGTTCTGTGTACTTGTTAGCTAGGAAAAGCCAAAGACTTAAAGAAAGAAAAAACTCTGCTTTTACTTTGAACCTTGGAATTCTATCAACATTAGGCAGACTTACAAAACGGGGCTCAACATCTGGAATGTGGGCCCATTATTCTTATAGATGCTGTGAAGGTGATGGTGGCCAATTTCATCATTTTATCAGCTGTTATTTGTCCTAAGTGAATACCATAGTTATGGCATGGTCTTCTGGATTACAGAGTTGGTAAGTTATACATGGTCGTATTTCAGCAGATTTATTTGAGAAAATGTTTCACAGTATGGGATACAGACGTATCTGAATGGCATGTTGAGCAGGGAATTGTACAATTGAATGTTCCGGGATATTAAACTCGATGTTTGTTTGCATTTTCTGATAGCATTGATTTGGTTCTGAGTTGAGCTTACTGCAGGCTAGAATCAAGAAGACAAAAGATATGTAATTTCATTTATTGGAAAAAAAAAGAATAGTTGTATCATGCCAAGTCTGTGACTACTACCATGCTATGCAAGAAGAAAGGGGAAGCGATGGCAGACCATTGAAAAGCACATTAAGGTTAGGATATCTAATTTGGTGTGACAGAGGAAAAAGCACCCTGGGTGTATGTAAGCAGTGTCATGTCCTGGTGCTGTCATATCTTGTAGTCCTTACTGGGTACTTGGATGCTATCAGAAACCTTGTTCATAAAACAAAACATGGCCTTACAGAAGTTGAATCCGATACCATGGGAAATGAGATTTTAGCCACTGCTGATCAGGTCCTAACTTTACTAGAATATGCTGGTCGTCAAGTACATGGATAAGTTTCTGTCATTGGAATATTGTGGTTTTTAATCATAACTAAAGTATATTTTCAATTGTATATATCAGGCCCAAATTGGGAGAGTGCTTTTTCTTTAAAGAATGCATAGGCATGCTATTTTACTTCTTATCTTTGTATGTGCATTCTTTGGTGTGTGACATGTCTGTATGTAATAGATTTTAAGAGGTCGAAGGAGGTGTCATCCAGACTTGTATGACCAAGGATGGGTTTTATGCCAAGTTCTTTATGGCTGACTATACTGCCAACAATGAAAATATTGGGGGTGTAGCTTAATGTAACTGAGATACAGATTCTTCTAATGTCATTATCTCATCTTATTCAACATATTCCCAGTAATCTTTTCTGGATCCAATGTGGTAAGTGTCAGTGCCTTTTCATGTATCATATAATTAATATTAGTTTGCTTTGACAAATTCCCCTTGTCTTTTTGCACTGATGTTTATATTTTGTGTGAAATGGAGGGGAACCCCATCTGTCTGCACATTGATTCTGTGGAAATGGTTTGAAAATGACATTAATGGCCATTTTATGTGAAGGGATTGTTTTGTGGGGATAGTTTGCTGTTTTTGGAACTTTACACACACACTGCTTGATGAGTGAAGGTAAACGTCTGGGTGATGCCAACTTACAGGATGAAAGCATTTTTAAATCCCATGTAAGTGGAAAGACTATGTCAGCATCCACAGTTAAAAGGTGTTGACAGTGACTTACCTGCCTTCCACTACCTATCAGCATTGCTTTTGACACTACTATGAATGTCAGGGTGGTGGATATTTGGCCTGTCACTTAGAAAAGATTAAGTGAATTAACAATGATATGCTACTGCATTTCTAAATGTGTTAATTTAATTCCACGAGCTTCTGGTTTTGTGCCTGTTAAGGATGGGCTGACTTCTTTGCAATAATGTGATAATGATAGGACTATTTTCTCAGGTAGGTATTAGGAGGTGGGAGGGTCATATAATGACAATAATAATGTAATGATGCAAAGATTAATCATAAGCCCAGAGCAACTTGGAGGATCAGGCAAGCTTTGTAAAGAGAACTTCACTGCTCTTTCCTGTGATAAAATTCATCTAGTTGGGGGTTCTCCTTATATCATAAATCACGATTATAATACCCTAGACAATTAAGATTGCATGAGGAATTAAATTTTTGTATGTTCTTCCCTTGCTTCCCACTATTTTAATTGATATCACCACAGGATAATAATACATACTTATGTGGTCAAGTCAGTCCATTTGAATGTAAGGGCCTGTAATATATTGGCCATCAAATGAGATGATCGTATTACCTGTAACTGATATGTGTCTCTCTGTGGTGGAAATGTCAGTTGTAGGTCATGGATGCATTCTGTGCCTTGGTATATTGTTTCTTTTTAAAGTGCACCTTGGTGAAGGGTACATTTTATATCGCATACTAGAGAGGATGGAGGATGACAGAGAATAGTATGGTTCATGTTTTACACTTAAGTGTCTTGGGCACAGTCTAGTGAGTTCACTATAGTGATAGGGTACGAAAATTCAGTTTGATGTCATTCTTGTTCAATAAGGTTAGCACCTAGTCTAGAAGTATTTTTTAGCCTTTTTTTATAAGTATAATATGGCTGCATCCATCAACTTTTTAATTCAAGCCAATTTGAACAGACTCCCTGCATTAAGTTGTATGTCAACACATTAAAAGACATAGGTGGTTGATAAATGATGGGTTCCAGACTGAGGCCTAGACTTTTAATTGCAATCACACTGTCTTCTTCCTGGAGTTCATTTAGAAATAGTTCAAGGACCAATCAGCATTCCCTTTTACCCTTCATATAACGCAGCAGAAGAACAGAAAAATAGTATTTTTACCCCCTTGTTTTCACTTTCTTTTAGTAATTATATGGAATGGAATTAAAGAATTCATATATTGAAGAGGGGAAAATTTTGTGGGATTGTTCTTATTGAAAACAAGGTTGGATGGGACCCATGACATGCATTTTAATTACTTATTTTCACTTGAAGAAACAGCACTAAGCAACAATATTTTTGCATATGTCCTATTTAGAATCTTTTGTTAATATCTGCAAAGTTATTGTTTGTTATTCAGGCTTTTTCATTGATTTTCAAGTGTGAGGAACAATCTCAGAGTTAGGCTGACCTTGTCCTGTAGAAAAGTCATTCCGTATGGGGTGTTAAGAAGTTCAACTTAACAGACCTTGTTTTAGTTTCATTCCCACTCCTCCCGACTCATAAACACTGATGTTTTTTCAGTGGTAATTTAGGTTTAGTGAATGTGAAGGGTACGAAAGTTAACAGCAATCTACATAGAGAAATAAAATGGTTTTCACGTGTAGTTAATTTTAAGCAGTTTTATTGCTTTTACCTGGAAGGAAGAATCAGTGGATAAGCTTAATTGAGTCGTTATAGCCAGTTTTACATGTGTCAGATCATAAAATTCCAACAGATTATTAGCATCATTATGTTCTTAACTTACGTCACACCAGTTAAATTGTCTGTGGTAAATTGTTTTGGGTCATGATAAGTTAACATATATTATTTGTAAGTTTAGAAATGGGAAATGTTTATTTAAAAAAGAAATAAAAGTAAAATTAAAACATCACATCATGGACAAGATGTTGTATGTCTAAATGTGTACTCTCTTTACAGTTCTGTTGCTGATGATTGAAAAAATATATTTGTCACTAGGTTGCTCTAATCTTGATCAGGAAATGTGCAAAAGTAAGAATAACAATTTCAGATACATAAGCAAGTATTAATATTTTACCAATACAAAAGAAATATTAAATAGAACAGTTTTAAGGTATGTTATTTTCTTTCAGACTGATTAACAACATTGGAGAAGAAATAAAAAGGATATAAATGGAGGGAAATTGGTGCTCAATTCGTCTTGAACGCCAGGTAAGATTGCTGTTTTTCTATCTGGATTTCTTAGTGTTGTACACATGAAAGGCAGTATGATTTTTAACAGTGTTATTTTTTCAAAGGTAAATAGTCACTCACATAAATAGTCACTCTCATAAAGTGTGCATTTGATAATGACCTAGGTGCCATGTTGCAAGTCCATCTTTTGGGTGGGGAGGGGGGGCGGTAGAGAGGCTTGGTGAACATTGCAGGGTAATCACTTAAATATTGTTCAGATAGAAATGCACCAGTACTAAGTTGTGACCCACGTGCTTGGCAAATGTCTAATTATTAGGTGCTGTTGAAAGCAAATATTAACAGCAAAGTTCAATACAAGAGACTTTAAATTTCTTCAGATTCATTGTTGGGTTTATGCTAATATTGATGGTTAAATTGTGATTCTGCAATTATTTCTGAAGGTTTTCATTGAGAGCAGATTAACAGGTCACAGTTGTACTATGGTAGCATGAACCAAATTGGAGGTGAGGTGCCATTGAGAAGTGGATCACCCACACACCAGAAGGATTAGCAGTTTGTTTGTTTGTTGTTTTTTCATATTTTCCAAGCACATGAGAAAACGTTCCAAGGCCCTCGTGCATTGATCTTAGCTAAATATCCATGTTTGTCTTCCACATTTACATCAGAATCCATTAACTTATGGCGCTTTTATTGATAACCCTGTCAGGCGTGCGCCCATTGTCCTGGGGTAGCAGAGAAAAGGTTAGCTAAATAATGGCAGTTGTTTCCCAACGCATACTTCAGAAGGTACAAAGCTTCGGGGTCCTAGAGACATACCAAATAGTGCAAAACTACTGTTAGAGGAAGATCGATTAGGATTTTATCTGCAGGGCTTGGAAGGTGTATTATGGTGGATGGTAGTGCAGTATTGCAGAATGTCAGGGGGAGAGCATGGCCGAGGTGGTGGTGGTGGGGACTGTAATAATAATGTGGTGGGTTCTCAGCAGTCTGTCAAGAGGGAGAATGCCTCCAGCTCAGAACCCTATCACTGGCATCACTATGAGGATATCAATGACCTAACAGGTTAGTTACCTTGTTCACAGATCGGTTAGTTATTAGCCCAATTTATAGCTAGGGATATATTAAAACATGTGGAAGAAATTACTAGTTGCTTGTTTTAAGAATTGTGTGATCATGATGTGGACTGCAGAGGGAGGGAGTACCCTTGTGATGTGACAACAGAAATACTGTTTTGATCAAGTGACGTACGTACTATAGTGGATTGTAAAATGTCATATTTGATAAGGGAAAGAGTACATACAATTACTGAAGTTGGTGTCGTGCAAACTTATACTTGTTAAAGTAGTGTGGGATGTGCCTTTATTGTCTAAAGACAGATGCAAGTTGATTGCTTCACCCCACACTGGCAATAGAGAATGGGCGTGGCAGCCATTTTGATCTGTTGCCCTTTGACATTAATTCCACAATGGGCCTAATTTATCTGGAGTTTTATTGTATGACAGTCTGTTAAAATCTTATCCAGTCTAGATTTATGAAGGCACTATATACTTTGGCTCAGTATCGAGTAAAGTTATCAGTTATTTTATCACTAACAGACATCTTTAAGTCGCAAACAGACGTAGGATTTCAGGCTATACTCATATAAACTCTGTTGTATGTTATCTTTGAGATTTTTTTCTCAGCCTAAAAGACTTGTATAGTCTATTAGTTGGATTTATAATCACACAAACAGTCATCAATAATATCTCAAACAGAAACAAGCTAAGGTTTTATTCTGACTGCCTCTTTGATAACCTGTCAGTTTTTTAGTATATGACAAAAACTGTTGTATCTGTATAAAGTCAGAAACAGACACAGGATTCAATGCAATCTCCTGATAGCTTGTTTGATAGCCCACAAGCTTGTCAAGGTTGTTTTGATAATTGGTAATAGAACCAATATGATTATCTGTAGTGTCATCAGGGTTAAGTCAGTGACTTGTCAAGTTATGTGGTACTCAAATCCTGTGTGAGATTTGAAATTGGTCAGCCAGTGGCATTTGTTCATTTGAGATGGTCAGTCTAACACCCCATTTCCATAGATTAGATCGACCTACTTTGGATCGACCTAACTCCCTGGGGGTTCGCGCTGAATAGCTGTCAGCCGGGCGGACACGAAAGTTAATTGCCCCTTACGGCTTGTAGTGGGCTGGGACGGACACTTAAGGGGGATTATCTGACGGTAGTCTGGTGAGACTCCCCGCGGTGATAGATCGATCTAAAGTTGTGAGAATAGACCCTGAGCCTTGTGTGATGATCAGTCCAGGACTTAGACCCCATTTCCAGATATTAGATCTATCTACTTTAGATTGACCTAACTCCCTGGGGGTTCACGCTAAATAGCTGTCAGCCGAGCGGACACGGAAAGTTAATTACCCCCTAACAGCTTGTAGTAGGCAGGACAGATGCTTAAGCCAGATTATCTGACAGTAATCTAGTGAGACTCCTTGCGGGGATAGATCGATCTAAAAGCTCTGGGAATACAGCCATAGTGTTTAATGCTCAGTATGGGTCAACAAGGGCTCTAAGAAGTTTTTCAACTGTATTTGCTGTATTGGTTGGCTGGTTGCCTGTTTATCTGTAGATGCTCTTTGCTTGAAGAGCAGTGCATGTATAGTTTTTGAATGATTCATGTTGAGTCAGGTTTTTTTCCCAGGATAGGGGGTACAGGTCATCTAAGGCTCCATTCAGAATTGGGGACTAACTAGTCAGAGGGTCAACAGAACTTGCTGTCTTATCTGCTAATAGACACCGAATAGATATCCTTTGGGGAAGTATTCAAGTGTGTCGGCTATATATGACCCTCGGACTAGTTAGTCCCCTATTCTGAATGGGGCCTAAAATTATCACCTATAATTTCCTTCAAAATTTCAATGAATCCAAGCCATAATTTTTCAAAAAAATTCATATGTGGTCCAGTTGTCTTTGAAGAAATTGGCTGTCTGGATGCTGGCAGCTGTCCAAATGATAGCTGGACAGTTCGCTGGGAAAAGCCTTATATTAAATATATCTTAAACATCATATTAAAGTCAGTACATACATTGTACTTCTTGATGGGATAACTTTCTTGTTTGATCTCTAGCATTCATGTTTCATTACTGCCTGAAAAATATTTAAACTAATTATGGTCTCAGACAGAGGTGGGTGTTTACTTGGTCGCCATCAGGCTATTTCTGAGTGCCATCATTTTTCCTACAGACTTTTTATTTATATATATTTTATGTTTATATTTATATTATATGTAGTTCTGTTTGTACTGGTTTCATAAGGTATTTCTACTAATTAGGTCAGAGACCAGTATTTTTCTTATAATGCTTAAAACCTGCATGTTTTTACTTCACTACATGGTATGTAACAGTAAGCATAGGTATTTCTCTCTCCTGGGGAGTGATTAAGGTAAAGAATGGCTCATGTTTCCCCTGTATTGGATAATCCAGTTGCAGTGATTGCCTGACCTACAGAGCAGCACACAATATACAGTGTCATGTTTTACTAGATCAGCAGGTGTCCCAGACTGTTATATTACTGGTTGACCACATAATGGAAAAAAATTATGACCAGAGACAATTTTAAGCTGATAATTTATAAGTAACTGACATGCAAAGGTTATATCAGTGAAGGACCTTGCTGGACGGTTGGTTCTTTGTAGAAAAATGGCCAGTAGTCATTTTAGATTGTACAAAAGGACATGATGAGTGCACTTTATTCTCTTTAAGTGAGAGAAACTTTTAAAATGGAAAAGAATCCTTAATCAGTATGATAAATTTTACCTCTCCATGAAAGTAGGGGGGGGGAGGGGCAAGAAGAGAAAGAGGGGCAAGTAACAGTGACATTTTGTCTTCCTGGGGTCCTGTTTTGTAAAACACTGGAAATGACCTACATAAGCTTTAGAAGTGAGCCAGGGGTTTGTAAATGTGATCCCCAAATTAATGACTTAAACCATGATTTCATGTTGCAATCATAAAAATACTTGGTTGGGAACACCACATTTCAAACTGCTTATCGAGATCAAGATAATAAAGGGACCCACCTGTAAGATTTACTTTTCTAGAGTGAACCCAGCACTTTTAAGAAGATATTTGTTTTTTTAAAAGCCTTTATTGCAGATTAATTTGACAGTAAAGTAACATACACTGCCCAAGTGCAGTTTGCACCAAAAGCCAGGGGAAAGCAATGAGGCATGGTAATCACAAATTTCCCCCATTGTTCACAGTCACACCAGTTGTACACATATTATCTGTCAACCATTCATAAAGCACTGTAGGTGGCCAGGTTCTGATAAAAAATTAATGAGTAACCAGAATTGTTGGCTTTTAAAGGTTATGCTGTAAATCTTTTTAATCAGCCCAAAGAAGAGGAGTAAATTAATGTAACTCACTATATATATATATATATATATATATATATATATATATATATATGAAAGATAAAAGTAGTGAAGTAGGGAAATACACCTGGCTGGTTTTCAGTTATTTTGTCACAAACTGGGTTTTTGTTAGATATGCATGTCACTGTGGGTTTATGTTTGCTTATGAGCTTCGCGCTAGCCTGACATACTAAATCAATCAATATCTTCTTTGTATTGTCAAAACATGTGTTAGTTGCAAATAATAGGTCAATACACATTTATTTAAGGCAGTAAATATCAGCAATTTGATCAGAGACCATTGAAATATTTATGTAGTAATTAGAGGAGTTTGGGATAAAATTGATCAAGGTAATGAGGAGAAAGAACCTGGGTATATATATATATGTAGATTATTCAGTATTCATTAAGGCAGTGAGACACATTTATTATTTGATCATTTTCTAATTCTTTACTGTGAAAAAGATCAACAAAAATATTCTCTGGTAAAGAATGAAGCATGGGATTTTTTTTTTTTTTTTTTTTGGAATAATTGAAGAACAGAGTGTCTAGAGTCATTTATCAGATATTTTAAACATATATATCAAATAGAAAACCAAACTGGGGAAATACAA